TCAGTGTCCTGAATGTAATGAACGCTGTGATATTTGGACATTTTTGTCACCGACAAAGTGCCTTCTGTGCACATCTGTTACTGAAAAGGGTGTGATGGTGCTTGAAAGAGGAAAAGGGGTTGTTTTGATAATCACTTTGACTTGTTCTCCCCTTTTTACTCCCTTTAATGTGGTGTCATTATTACTGAAATGTAATTAGCTATGCTAATGGGCTGACATTTGGACTTCCGTCTCGGCACTTTACTGGGAGAAATGTGTTGTAAATGAAGTGGGATCACAAATGGAGAGGCTGAATGGACGTGTGAAGGTTTGAGTGGAGGTACTGAGAGTGTGATGGAGGGTGTTGCCGAGAGCCGAGGGGCTGAAGCACTCCACAGGAAGTGCTGAGAGCGGTTTTTTAAAATTAGGAATTGTTGGGGTGAAAGAGCTGGAATCAGGAAGTGGATAAACAAGCTTGTAGAGGAGAAAAGAGGCTGAAAAAACCTCTATAATGTGTGAAATTTCCTTGCAGAAGTGTGTGTGTGTTTGGAGAAGCTGTTAGATGTGAAGCAATTACAGAATGCTTCTGCAGAGCACAATAAAGCCATGCTTTTAGAGCTGGGTGGCTGTAACAGACTGCTCTGTTAACGTTCTCTTCTGCAGGAGAAGATGCATTACTGCAACAGAAATGTGTGAAAAAGCTTCTTCTCAGCATCATGGGATCAACACAGCATCTCTAATGATCATTTCATTACTGCCTTAACCGTCTCTCAAACATAAACATCCATTAGCTTCATTAATATGGATGTTTTATGGTCGAATTAAATCTTCACACAGACACTTACCAGGATCGATACACACAACTAAAGCTGCATCTCTCCACTAGGTGGCGTTGTGTCTCTTTACACGTCTTTGGGTTTAAGCAAACCCAAATATCCTCAGGGTGAGTTTAGTTGGTTTTTCCTTTAGTGGTTGAAAAGACGTTGTTCCTGCTCTCCTCGGGAAGCGCTGCGTCCCGCAGTCGGACCTGATTGTGTGCGGGGCGCTGACTCACATCCAAACCGCCACGGCCTCAGTGCAGGATCTGCTGTTTTGTTGGGCTGCCAGGGGCTCTAGCAGGGATCCAGACCAGCTGAGGTTCAGTCTGGCTTTGTTGTTTATTTATTTTTTGCTGGTAAAGCCTGAAACACTCCTGAGATCTGCAGCCTAAAGGAGTCAGTTGGTGCGTTCTTGCCCGTACAGTTGAAAGGAGAAAGTCTCCATTCTGCTTGTTTTTATTCTCTGTGTTTGTGTGCCTCTGTGCACCTGCTCACCTCCTGTTTTTTCCCAACTCCCATGGTGAAGTCCCGTGAATCCTCCATGGCTTGTTTTGATTTTATCTTGGGGGTATTTTTAAAAACAGTTTAATACCTACTCTTATGCTATCAAAGAAGGACACTATATTTAAACAAAAAACAAAACAAAACATGTTTTATGACATTTATATTTGTTCATTAAATGTAGCAATGGTTAAAGTTTATGTCCTGTTTCTGCTGTTTTAAACAGGCTTCATGAAATCATAGCTTTTGTCACACTGACCTGTCTGCAGGTTCAGCACCACGGAGAGTTCCCCACACCCCAGAATTCACCACAGCTCCACTGCAATAATTCATTTGTTATCACACATTTATTTATTTATTAGTTGTGAACAGTTAGTGATAATAGTTATTTAGTTGTGCTGGCTCATTCTGCACAAACAGCAGTATGTTAAAACAATAGATTTTTATCTGGTTGCAGCAGGTTAAGTCAAGGATTTTCTTGCAGTGGAGTTATCGACCGCAAGTTTAAGCAAAGCGAATGCTCCACTGAATTAGGCTTTCCACTGGTGTGTAATTATGGATTAGTGAGTAAAGGCAATGTAAATGTAAATATAAAAACAAGCCTGGATAAAATTTTTCCCTAAGTTTATCTCTCATTCATGCATGCATCGTCCGGCGCAGTAATCCTGCTTAAAAAACATTTTAAAGCAGCGACTGCACTGTGATGGCCAGTTGCAGGGCTGCAGGAGTGTCAGCAGGGTGATTATCAGCAGACAGATAGCAGATGACAGCTGCTATTGGTTATTGATGACTTTCATAATTAAAATCCCTTATGGGGAGAAGCCAAAGAACAAAAGGGAAAAATCACACAAATGATGAATGGTGCTTTCATCTTTAAGGCTGATATAAGACCCACCAGGCTCTTCAGCGTGATGATTGCTTTCCAGGAAAGTCTCTGAATGCAGCTTCAAAGAGGAGCTCTGTGCTTTTAATATTTCCAGAGCTCGTCCTGGCCTCGTGTTTGTGTGTTCATGTGTCTGTGCTCGTCAGATGGGAAGGAGGGCGTAAAAAAACCAAAACAGAATGGAAACAGTGATGCAAATCAGCCATGAAAATAAAAAGTCTTCACTGTAGTGACATTTTCATTTCTACAGCAGAATACAACAGGTTGTCTATTTATGAAGGAACTGAGGACTCCTCACAGCCATGATGCTTGAACAACGCTGCTATTGTGTATTTAGATTGTTTGTTTTTAAATAATTGTTATTTTGCATGATGTGGTTATGGGGTTAGTTATGCAAGACACACAGATGAATGAGTCAAGCACTTTGGGGGGTTGCAGGACTCTAGACAGTGCTGTGTAAATACAGGCCCTTTGCCATTCAAAGAGGAAACTAGACTTAAACGAGATTTAAACCAAAGATGGTCCATTACTATCAAAAAGCTACTTTAGTTTAATATAAAAGTTTGCTAGAATTCTGAGAAGAATTATTCTTGATATTTTGGCATGATTTATTAAATTAGAAATTGCTGTTGGTTCTTTTGGTTGTGGTAGTAAAAAGTTCAAAGGTTAGCATATAAAAGACAACATAATGGAAAATCACACTCGTACTGAGTAAATATAGCTTTCATAGTAATCTACAAGTATTTTACTTTCATTGAAGGCGTGCAACACTGAAAACTAATTTTTAAGGATTATTTCTGATTATAATCCAGTCACTCTTGGTTTTTCATGCAGGCTGAACATGAAAATAGTCTCCTACACCTATCTTCTTTATTAGCTTCTGATAGAAAATAGATGGTGAAACTCTAAGATTAGAAAAGCCTGACAGATCTACTTCACACTGTCACTTAACGTTCATGGACCTTCACTCTCGGCGGGAAAGGCTGTTGTTGGTTTAGCATTCAAGAAACAGCAGTGACCGTCTCAACTAGTATAAGCTAACTTTTAGCATTAGCAACTTCACCGTGCAGCAGAACTTCTCCTGGCTTGTGCAGATAAAACATCAACGCTGCAAGTCAGTGGCAGAGTTGTGTAGCTGTTATCCAATCCAAGATGTCCAAATATCAGGAAATAAGACTCCATAACCTGCCGTCTGAAGCTCAGCTGTGAAGTGCTAGTTCCTGGAAATGGTGCGCTGGTATATTTTTTCCCTTCATGAAGAACTTACTAAGCATTCATTTCTACAAATTGTCTAAGACCACTGAAAATGTATTGATTGAACAAGTGATCCACACCTTTAAAGCAGAAATCTTAATTTTTTTCCCTCAGAGGGCACCATCTAGGGGCAGAAAAATATATTGCATCTTAAGCCCGACTTCTGTGATTACGACTGAATGCAACACCTCTCAATCATCTTTAGCCGTCTAACAGAGCTAAAACAACTTGTTTTTCAATTATTCTAAAAACTTGCTTCTCTTCAAGAAATGTCACCAGCTCAGTGTAGGTACGTCAGCAAACACTGTGATTGCCATCTGTATGTGAGCAGATGTCTAATGCTATTGGCTAATGATGAGCAGCACTCAGTTCATATTGAATGGTGCTCTATGGGACGGACATAGCATAAAAATTAAAAATGACATATTGCTTACAAATATCACTTTTATGGATTGCTATACGTCAATTCTCTTTGTTTACACAATTAATGAACCATAAGTTAAGAAATAAGCATGAAACATTTTCTAATTCTACTTGTTCGCATGATTAAATAAACAGTGAACAGTTTCAACAAATGAAATGAAATCTCTCTACTTGATGCTATGAAAGCTAAATAAACGGGGCTTTCTCAGTCCTAGCACCGTCACTCTGGAACCAGCTGCCACCCTCAGTTAGGCTGTCCCCATCTCTGAATTTGGCCCTCTTTTATGTTGATTTTAATTCCCTGTTTTCATTGGTCTCTTTATCCCTTGTTTTACCCATTTGTCTTCTAGAATGTTTTACCTTTTTTTGTAATATTTGAATTGCTTTTATTTTCGATTTATTCATCATATTTAACTTTTCTCATGTACTGTGTTCAGCACCTTGGGCTTCCCGACAGGGTCGTGGGAAGGCGCTTTATAAATAAAGCTTTGATTGATTGATTGATTGATTGAAATATCCCAAAATGCAACATTTCAGCTGAGTTTGTAGTAAAAAAAAAGAGCAAATGATTGCATCAGGAAAAATCAAGGCCCACTTGTTACTCTGGATAATGAACTCTGATTTATCTATTCTGCTCTCTGTTATTCTCTTCTGTGTTTTGTTTATTAAGTCTTCATATAGACCACAGATAGACTGGTGCACTGTTTGTGTCTGTGTTTGGGAATAAAACATATCCTTTTTGAAGAGAGTGCAGTTATAGATCAGACAGAATGGCTTTTAGAGATGGTCTGCTCCCCTGCAGGCAGCGTAGAGTAAAAGCTACTTGTCCCAGAGCACCGCATGATATCTTTCTGAGAGAGAGAGAGAGAGAGAGAGAGAGAGAGAGAGAGAGAGAGAGAGAGAGAGAGAGAGAGAGAGAGAGAGAGAGAGAGAGTTATTAGGAGTGCACACTGGGAATTCCTGCACGTCTGTCGCAGCATTGCTGTGTGAGAGCGTGTGTCAGAGTAAAGCTCCCCCGTCACCCTCTAATAACCTGCTAAACATCCTCCTTCTACCCACCCACAACTACCCAGTCCTCCCTTTCTACCTCAGGATGGGCTGCCGTGACATCACTCATTCCCACGCGCTCCCATTGGCTGGCAAAAGGAGGGAAGTGGACTGTTCCTGCAGCCTACAGTGAAAAAGCTGGAATACAGAGAGAAAACGTGGGAGGACCGACGTAGAGAGTGTACGAGAAGGAGAAAAGAGAGGAGGGGGACAGAGCAGGAAAGATTGATGCTGAGGCGAGCCGGCACTGCGCAGCACTTACACACACACACACACGCACGCACGCACACACACACACACACACACACACTCTGAGTATCACACGAACTCCCTCATCACACTCCCAAGCTGCTTAACAGGCAGGAGAAACACAGAGTCTGACTGACTCTGCAGACCCTCACTGCAGGACAGGACAGAGGACGTGAAAGGCGAAAGGACACCCAAGAGTGCAGTTCCATTTTTCTCAGCGTCACCTCAAAGCAACAGTTCTGCTGCCATCATCTCAGGAGGTCCAGCTTTCCTGAGAGCTTATTGAAGACACCTCTCCAAAACAAGAGGAACAGCTGCAAGGACAGAAGCAAGGGCAAGTGTTGCTTCTCCCAGAGGTCCTTGTCGTGGACGTCCTCTCAATGCCCTCATGACAACAGGCAGAAACCCACGACAGGAAGCCAGAGCTGCGAGATGGCATGCCGAGTAGGGGACGAAGCCTCCCCAAAAAAGACCACTTCCCTCAACCTGGCGGCAGGGTTCTCCCACTACCTCCGTGGTAAGTGGGGCAGTGTGTGTTTGTGGCTGCGTGCCCTAGAGAGACAGACTCTCTGAGAAATTGAAGTTCATCATATGTGCATTCTGCATGTGTGATCTGGTGTGGGACTGCAGCATGGGCTCTGTATGGGTCCATGTGTAAGTTATGAGCTGCTGCATTTTGCAGGGTTGATTGGTATTTGTTTGTGCAGATTTAAAGTTTCCATGCTGGCAAAAAGAACATGATTGAATTAGAGTTTGGAGGTTGCTTCAGCGAGTGAAACACAGCAGACAAGAAGCACCTCCCTGCACGTCTCACGCTGCAGGAGCCTGACAGCCGCAGCGTTGAAACCCTCTGTGTTTTTATTTAGACGCTAAACGTTTAACATCCTGTAAAAAAAAAGGTTCTGTGGTACATTTAGTTTGTTTTTCTGCAGTCAACAAACAAACAAACTAGGGTTTATAGTATTTTGTTCATGTCAACGTCACTGCAGGGGGTCCAGAGTGGGAGGTGTGAAGGTTTGTGGATAAAACCAGCGATGCAGGAGGTGTTTAGAAATGCTTGGTTGCTGAGCGTGGCTGTTTCTCTTTGCGATGATGAGAGAACTTGAGTCTCTCTCTCTCTCTCTCTCTCTCTCACTCTCTCTCTCTCTCTCTCTCTCTCTCTCTCTCTCTCTCTCTCTCTCTCTCTCTCTCTCTCTCTCTCTCTCTCTCTCTCTCTCTCTCTCTCTCTCTGATTTTGTGTGTGTGTGTGTGTGTGTGTGCGTGTGTGTGTGTATGCGCAGGAGTCAAAGTCACCTCGTCCCTGAGATTGAGAACCTGGCACATACATGTTCCCTCCTCGATGGTGCTGAATCTGTTCTCCCCGTTTTCATCCAATACTTTAACCCATCAATATTTGATCATTTTTGGACCCAATCAAAAGATTAATTCATAGAACAGGAACCTGCTCAGTGGCACGTATGACTATGCCTGAATTTATCTGCATTATGTATGAACGGCAGCCTCCTCCCACCCTCACATCCCTGTTCTCGTCTGCCCACTGACACACTAACCAACTTGACTTTAATCAGTTTGTCAGCATATTTCATTAAGGTAAAGCACTATGTCACACGTCCTCGCCTTCTGATAATGGGCTTATCTCAAGGATATTCCTGCATAGTCCAGATGGGACCGAAATAACACAGACACTGTAAATAAACAAGGAACGCATTATACGCATTCTTGGCTTCCCATACACGAGATGCTTGATTTATTGTCTTGTCCTCATTTAAGTTAAGTGGCTTTTTAGGGGACATCTTTAACAAACATCTATGCTGTATTGATTGTGCCCTTGCTAAATGGCCTTATCGCCGTGGCGACCCCATGCAGCCTCATGGGAAGGCAAAAAGGTGCATTTGGAGTAAAACTGGTTTCATCTGCTGCCCTTTTGATCATCTAAAGGGCATTTTCAAGATCACATGTTTTTGTCCAGAAAAAACGAGGTCTGTGAAAATGTCATCTGTAAATGTCAGATGGCGTCCGTCAGTTACGCTCGTGGAAGGTAAGACTCAACGTGACTCTGACACATCAGACATGAAACGATAAACCAAAGTTAATTAGAAGCACCATCCTGCCCTGCAAACCCAATCAGCCCTCACACCCAGACGATTAGAAGATTGCGTTTTAATCCCTTATTTGTTTATTATCGCATGGGACTAAAAACGATGCTTTGGGCTCTGATTTGCAGATGAGCAAGAGGAGGTGCAGAAAAGGACATTCACAAAATGGATCAATTCCCACTTGGCCAAGGTAAGACGCTGATTCCCTTCTCCTCATGTTGTACTTGTGGATTTCTTCCCCAGAACATTCCTCCTCAGGAAAAACAAAGTTGAGCTGGTCATATGACTGACTCTTGCCAGATTAGACCACACATTCCTGCTCACATGCCGTTCGGATCTAATCTGGCTGGTAGCAAAGATTTACTGTCTCATTATAAAACCAACATTACAAAACACTGCATCCATTCTCTCTGCAACTTCAAATCAATGATTTTTATCTCAGCACCCTCCCAATCTAATTAGAGACCAATTTAGGTGACTCAAGATAAGAGAAATCATTCATCTGTCCCTTTAAGGTGTTCCAATGACAGCCTAACTCACTCGTAACCATCACACTTTATTCAGCTTCTCACTGAGGTGATCTTCATATGTCTGTAATTATTGTATCATGCTGCATTGTGCCCCTCAGTTACACTCATTACTGCGTAAATGCTGTGTCTGCGAGGGCTGGGCAAGGTGAATATGGCACGGGCAACACAATTAGATGCTATTTCAATCAGTGATGCTCCTTTCAAGGTTTTCTTTTTGATTATGGAGACTGTGGCGGCTTCAATCTGCAGAGACGTGGAGCAGAAAATTCATTTGAAGAGCTCTCTGATGGTGATAAACCATGACGTAGTAGTAAATGTCAGCTCTCAGGACTGTGCTGGCAGAAAAGAACACAGGATGTCATTAGTAGCGAGCAGCATGTGTGTGTGTGTGTGAGTGTGTGTGTGTGTGTGTGTGTGTTTTATGGGGATGGGATTGGGTTTGAGGGATTAGAGATTTAATGATGGCAATCCAGTCAAATTCCAAAATGGAGCTCAAAGCAATGGTTGAGATGGACTATTTGAGGAAAGTTTGACTTTAGCAGCTGAGCTGAGCTGTGTGTCTGCTTGTGTGTGTGTGTGTCACAAGCCAGTGTTATACCATTTTCTACAACCATCAGATTCTGTGACTAAAGAAATGGGTTTGATTGTGAATTGTTCATTTTATTTAAAAATGTAGCTTGCTCGAACGACAACAAAAACTGCACCTTCAAAGAGACACTATGCAACTTTTTCATATTTTAAAATAATTTTCTTGAGCCAGTATGTGCTAAAATGACCCTTTACAGGGTTAATGAAAGACCACCCAGCCCTTGTTGCCCGTTGTGGCCAGAATATTCCGTTTGCAGCGTCAGAGTTGCTGGTCTGGTCTGATGGACTTGGGAAAAATGGAGCTGACATACCTGGTGCTGCAGTCTGCTTCCAGCATGTTTCATGCACGTTTTAGATCACGAACCCAGCTGATTTGTGTAATTTGGTGATGAACCACATCTGTAGACACTAATGAAGGCTGGGAGACATTTGAGCTGTTAGATTATAGTGTTAAAAAGACGAACGCACAGCGAGATTATTTTGCTTTCAATTCTACTAAACGGACACTAGGGGGTGCTAAAAGAAAGCCAAAACTGCCTAGTCTCCCATTAATAAATATAACTTTCAATAATAGAAGGAAAGTCTTTTAACGAGGGCTGCATTCCATTTCTAAAGCATGCTGGCTGTTCTGTGGCGAGTAGAATGTGTTCTAAATGGAAGACAGCCTTTGTTAATACCCTTGTTGTGTCCTCCATGGAATGGGTCTGTTACCTGTCATAGATTCATAGCTCTTTGAACGACCCTGAAGAAATAGAGATTTGATTTATTATTATTATTATTATTATTATTATTATTATTATTATTATTATTATTATTATTATTATTATTATACTACTGACAACCATCTACAGGCTTTTAAAATGATGTTTGCATCCACTGCTATGAAATATTTTTGTTTAGAGGTGTTTTAAATTGACAGTATGGGGCAGCAGTAGCTCAGGTGGTAGAGCGGGTTGTCTCATGATCGGAGGGTCATGGGTGCGACTCCAGCTCCCGCCAGGGGTATCCTGCTGCTGTGTCCTTGGGCAAGACACTTCACCCAACTTGCCTGTGTTAGTGGTGGTCAGAGGGGCCGACGGCGCCAAATGGCAGCCTCGCCTCTGTCAGACCTCCCCAGGGAGGCTGTGGCTACAAATAGCTTACCATCACTAGCAGTGTGTGAATGTGAGAGTGTGTGAAAGCGTCTTTGGGGGGTCTAGAAAAGCGCTATATAAGTTCAATGCATTATTATTATTATTAGCATGTATTTTCCCTGACAATAGGGGCAGTACATACCTAAATCATTTCATACAAGTGGCATTTTTGTGTTCGAGTAAAATCTGACCAACAGATAGCCATTGGGGTCAAAAATCCCTGGGAGCTCAACCTCCAGCAAAATGACAAGCATCAGACTCCCCTTCATCACTAGCAATGAGCGAAGAGGTAAATGTGTAAAACGAAGTTTATGAATGAAGAAACGTTTGTAACTCTTTGCTACAAATCAGTAAACTCGTTTTGTCCATCGAAGGACACGTGGCATCCAATATGGCGTCGCCCAGAGACTTAGACCCGCTTCCATGTATTTTAGACACGACTCTTATGGTTATATTTTAAAAAGCTGCCAATATTTTTCAACAACTGGGCATCATTAATTCATTTTAACAACATTTTGATGAATATTTCCAGAGATTAACTGTAAAATCTACACATTGTCTTTCTTTTAGCCTACGTTTTGTTCAGATTATTCATTAGCTCATCAATCCAGACCATTCCACAGAACCCCACTTCCGATAATCTAATAACTATTTGTTTGAAGACAGTTTAAAACCTCTGAATTCATTGTTCTAACAGCTCCTGTTTGGCTACACAGGCCTAAAGATTAGCTTGCTATGATGAACAGGCTATTGGCTTTCTCCCAAGCAACCATTTTCTGAAGGAGATTGGTTGATAAGATAAAAAATATATATAATTAAAGTGCTTTTCAGGTGTTTGTCATAATTTTATCTCTATGCTTTGAGTTTTAACAGCAAAACCAACCGGCAGCTTGTTTCAAGTCATTATTTATTGTGTTGATTTAGAGGAACGTTTATCTTCTTGCCTAATTTTTTTAAAAGAAGTTATTTAGAAAACAGATGTTGAACTATAAAGTGGCTGCAGCACAGAAAGGGTAACAAATACCTTTAAAAATTTTTATAATTGGCTGTAATTACCAAATTCAGCCCATTGGAGGACAAACCCATACTTGATCTTCATGCATTCTGATCATACACATCTTCTCTCCCTCTCTTGGTGCATCCTGAAATTGCTCACCCTTTCACCTGGTGCCTGGCGTTGCCATAGAGACACTGATTGGCCTGGTTTTGTCTTCAAAAACATTTTTAAAGTCCCACTGGCACTTTGTCGTGATTAGAGAGAACATTTACTTACTTCTAAATGCAAGAAAAAGATAAAGCGGTGCATTCCTCTTTTGTTTGGACTTTATTGTATAAATTGATGAGATACCGTGGAGTTTTATGAGTTTAATTCAGACAACAAAGACCGTTTACTCCTGTGACTGACTGAGTTGTGGAAACACGGTGAATCTTTATTGATTTCTAAACAACCAAAAGGTATTTTAACCAACTAAAAACTAGAGAGAGACTGAAGGACACCGAGAAATGGAAGGAGAAGATTTAACAGTTGGTTTAGCTTTGCTCTCAGAGGGATGGATCTTCCTCCTGGCTATGCAGATGATTAGGCCACTCCAGTTATCACAGGTCTTTAATTCAGCGCCTAAAGGTGTGTGAGTAATCGTTAGGTGAGTTGAAACATATCGTGAGGGCTTCCTTTCGCTAACACTCCCCTCCCCCTTACTTTTCCACTCCACAGGTACAACAAAAGAAGTCTTATGAGCTCTGCTGAAGATTTCTCTACTAGAGGAGACGTACTGGAGCTGGTAATTTATACAGGAGATTAATGGGTATCATTACTTTGAGTAGTTCTCCAGATTAACTCGGCAAATATATGAAGAGTAAGAGAGCAGTTGGGTTTTCATTTAGATATAGGGCGTAGTGGCGGCCACACAGTCACTCATGTTTGCAGAGAAGTGCGCCCGAACCCTCAGCTCAAGTCTGTGGTGAGTGGCGTAGGGCGGGGGTGCAGTGAGAGGACCCCAAGTTTCCATTTGACAAATCCTTTCTGAGAAGGTTAAAGCTTAATTATGGAGTGGTCAGAGGTTTCATCGTCACTCAGGCATCTTCCAGGAAAATGGCTTTAGTTCAATAATCAGCGAACCGAGTGTTCTTAGAGATTACTCCATCAGTAAGTGAAGCTCCTTTAGTTTGTTTACTCCTCTGCTGCCTGTTTTATATGTATGTGTGTGTGTGTGTGTGAGAGAGAGAGAGAGTAGATGAGTGGAAATTTCATTTGAATGCTTCAGACAACTGACCCACCAGCATAAATTATATTTACTGTGTTAAAATATTCCATCAGACATTTGCGTCTTTTGTACCTTCTTTGGTGTGCTATCAAACGCAAGCTGTGAATGATCCCATGTGTTTTTTAAGTTGCAACCACATTCATAGTTTTACACGCAGACAAAACAATATTTGGCGTGTCTGCAGAACTGCAGTGATTGGTTGAACAGCACAATGACGCAAACTGTGACTAGCTCGGTCTAAAATGATTGGTTGGGTGAAATCCCAAGATTCTAAGAGCTTGCAAAAGGCACGCTGACACCATTTATGATGTGAGTGTCTAAATATGGACCCTGGCCCAAAAGGGTTAAGACGTTCTGTGGCTATTTTAAGTGTACTTCTATGTGGCTTATTGAATTGCCTCAGATTTTAGAAAATTTGCATCTTACAGGACGGATGGGCTAAAGGCTAGTCTGGTGATGCAAAAACTGAAACTGATTGCTTACTCCTTAAAATGGCTCCACCATCAGTTATAAATTAAACGTTATTTTAGCAAAAGGTTTGATAAATTCCAGCAGAACTTGACTCCGGGATGCCCCAGAAGCTCTAGATTTAGCTTATGATTGAGCTTGTTAATAAAGAGTTGCATGTAAATATTCATTTCATGAAAAACTGCTGGTGTTGAGGTTTATAAAATGACTTTGCTTGAACTACTGTTTAAGAGATTTTGTAAACTGGAGCTCTTTCAGATTATCTGGGCTGTGCTTGAACCAGCTGTTAGCACACGCAGAAGCCGTTTCTCTAAACTGAGGTTGTTCAGAATGGTATCTACAGCAGGTGACATAGTAAATATTTATGACTTCTGCACAGAAACACATTAAAATTGACGAGAAAGTATTTTCAAGGAAGACCATTAAGTGGACGATAACTCTTTCTGATTCACTGTAATATCATTCAAACCCTCCAGACTTCTGTCTTGCTGCTTTTCTTTCATGCCGCTGATCTTTTGGGATCCACAGAGTCGAGTGTGTCTGGGGAATAACACAAGAGCTCACACAGGCTAGCATCCTCAAACTCCTCTGTTCTCAATCAATTATGACCCAGACATTTGTATGTAATTAGCTCATTAAGTTCTTGATTTATTTTTTTAGCACGTGATGCTGCACAGAGAAGATGAATATTACTTCCTTATTTTGTAATTAGTCTGAAATTTCCTCATTAGCTTTGGGATTATAACGAACAAATAGGTGAATTTAACTCCAATTAGCTCCTGGTGCATTTCATCCCTCTGAGTCGGGCCTTTGTAGGAGCCTTTTCTGTCATGTTTTGATTCCTGGGTGAAAGTGCTGTTGGAATTCTCTCATATCCAAAGCTGTGAAACGACATTAGAAGAGGAATTAGTGTGAAGAGCTTCTGTATTTTCTAATTAATTTTTGAAAGACGTGGAGTTAGTGTCGCCCCTCTCTGCCTGTCGGCAGCGGTTCGTCGTTTTGTTTCTCGTCTTTCTTCCAAATTAAATCCCTCTCACATGTTCGATATGTGTGGGTTTGCGTGTGTTTCACTTCTGTGTAGAAACACAGACACAACCACTTCTGCCTTCTCCTCACTTCTCTGACTCTCTTTGCTGCTGCTAATCTCCCTGTGAATTACCCCCCCAAACCTCACAGCCCCAGCATGTGACTGTGCTTTTAAGAGAAATCCTTGATGTGGCGGAGGCGAGCGGCAGAGATATGTGGATTTTCTCGAGTCTGGGAGTCTGCACCAGGTCAAGGAGGAAGTCAGAGATAGTTTGAAATCATCAGCATATTTTCGGATTTGAAGACCCCCCCCCCCCCCTTTTCCATTCAGACTCTACTTATGGGTGAATCCAGCTGTCAGTAATGCACAACGCTGCCAAACTGTCTGTGCTCTGAGTACCCCTTTCTCAAGGATTTTCTTTATCCATGTTGCACATGTTTAAATAAACGTTTCCCAGTGTAATATATGTATTATATTATGGTTTATGCCAGTGCTTTGCAGCTGGGATTGGGATAATGTGCAGAACAAAGTGCTTGTTGCATCCTAGCGTCCTGTGCATTTAGTCAGTAAGACACAAATCTGTGGTGTTTGCATTCCTGAAGAACTATATTGCCTTTGTTTGATGTTATACCATGAAACATTTTTGTAAACACTATTTATACAACTTCTTATCCAATAAAAAGCTTCACGTGAAATGTTTTCTGCTAGATAGATAGAAAAAGCCTAAAGGAAATTCTAAATAAGGAAAAAGTGTAGTTCTAGTTAGTTTACAGAGAGGCATAAATGCAGACCAAAAAGTAGGTCTTCAAATGAATAAAAATGTTTAAAGACAACTTTTCCTATTTTTAAATCATTTTCTTGAGTCAGTACGTGCTAAAATAACCCTTTACAGGGTTAATGAAAGGCCACCCAGCCCGTCACCCCCTGTGGCCAGAATATTCCACTTGCAACTTCGGAGTTGCTGTTGAGACACAATGTAGCTGACATGCCTGGCGCTGGAGTCTGCTTCCAGCACGTTTCCTGCATGCTTAGATCATGACCACAGCTGATTTGTTTAATTTAGTGATGAATCACTCCTGTAGACACTAATGAAGGCTGGGGAGACATTTCAGCTGTTAGATTAAGGTGTTAAAAAGATAAACGCACAGCAAAGAAATAGGTATTGCTTTTGGTTCAACAAATAAACACTAGGGGGTGCTAAAAGCAAGCCAAAACGGCATTGTCTCCCCTTAATGGTAAAAAAGGTGCAGAAGTCGATGTAGGAAGATTGAATTCAGACACGGGGAAACCAGAAGAAAAAGGTGCAGAACCTGGAGAGCACCCCTACAGGGTGAAATGAGAATCACACCATAAACATCTATACCTCAAATAACAAAATACATCATTGCACCTCCCAGCTGGAGCATTTCCTGCTCTTTTACTGGAATAAACTTCATGGGAAATTGATAGTTTATTTAAAGAGGACATGTGGGTCTCTGCTGCTGCTATAAAATCTCCAAACATGAAAAAACAACATCCATCCGTTTTCTGTCAGTATTTGTTTTGAGGAATTATGTGCCTAAAACAAGCCGATTAAAGAAGTCCTCATTTGTGATGTCACAAACAGCAAAATCAGAATTAGAATCACCTCTCACATGCAAGAGAGAGCAACTGCTGGAGGAGCAGCAGCTCTACTCCAAGCCCGTCCCAAATATTCAGGTCTGTTAGCTTCTCAGCTAACAGACCTTTTTTTTTTTTTTTTTTTTTTTACAAAAACCAGAATTGTGTCATCGACGGGGAATCTCCGTTCCTAACCAGTTCAGATGTCACTCAGCACAGATTACTTCTGTACTACAACCCTTTTACATTTGCCCAATATAGAATTCAACTGAAGACACTGAAAACCATGGAAGACACAACAATATGATACCGGAATGCAGAGCTGCCACCCATGAAAAATACATAAATTACAGCGATATTACATTGCAACATGATAATCTTATTGTTCTAACGATATTATTTTCTTGTTCTGATGATAAAAATTTCACTTTAAACAATATAATACAATGTTCTAACAACATACAGATATATATTATTGAATAAATAATTACATGAATGATGATTATGTTGTTCAGTTGATAAACATCTGTCTATGAATGTGAAAATTAAATAAGTATCTGTTAATGTGGCATCGCTCTAATTTTATTTTGTGTGGGTGGCGGTTCTAAGCTAACAATGAGTACAGCACCATTTACTTGTCATGAACACGTGCAAGAGCTTACATGTTAGCAGAGTTTGCTTAGCACAACTTACCTGCAGGGGCTAACTGGGTCTAACGTAGCATCATGGTCCAGCCTTGTTGCATTCTCTAGCTCCTGGCTCTCCAATTCCTGTGCTGCACAAACTGTCGTTTAGGTATACTCCTGGGGTGAAGTAATTCCAGGAGAATAGACTTGGTACGCAACTGAGTTAAGAGAGCTAAGACTTAGCTCTAGCACTTAATCCTTTGCCGTGCAGGGTCTGCTGCAGACATAAGTACTTCCCACTTAATTAACAAAATTGCTTGATCACCCTTAGATGATTTTGTTTGCATCGATAAAGGTTGGAAACAAATGCAAATGGCGGTAGGGCTGCTTCAGAGCATAAGGAAAACAGCCTTTTATGCCACAATAATGTTGCGATAACATTTGTCTTCCCTGCCGCCACTGACATATTTCTGGTTAAAAACCCCGGAAGGGGGGGGGGGGGGGGGGTTAGGCAGCTCCAGCTTGTTTTCTTAAAGTGACAGAGCCCTGAAATGGCTCATTCTGGAAGATTTTGAAAATGTCAAAAATAAAACTGCTGAAATCACAATATCTGAGGTGGATTAAGAGCAAAGAACTTGATAAACAGATTCGTATCGACTATAGAACTATTACAGTTTTAATAATGTTTACATTAAAGTCTATACAAATTTTGCAAACTAGGGATGAAAAATACTTTGCACTTTGTTTTGCAACCTGCTCTGACTAGCCAGTAGCTTGTCACTTTAGTTCTAACTTATCCCTATTTCTTCAAACAGAGTTCATTCAGAGTGGTTTGCATGTCGGTTGTCTGATGTCTTTGTTTGCTTGTATAGCACGCCCCTCCTCTTGAAGTGAGAGACCTGTTTGAGGACATCAAGGATGGTGTGATGCTGCTAGCTCTTCTGGAAGTCCTCTCTGGACAAAAACTGGTGAGCGTTCACTCTTATTCTACAACACATCTCGACATGCTGCTGAAAACAGTGGAGATGTAGAAATTTTTTATTCTTAGCCTTGGTGGGGCCGCAAACTTAATGTAGGGAATGTAAAATGAGCTCCAATTACACGAAAAGGCTTATTGATTTGCCTGTATTAGGATGTTTGAATTGTGAAGGAAAGCCCAGATTAACAAGGACAGATCAGAGTTTGCACACACACACACACACACACACACACACACACACACACACACACACACACACACACACACACACACACACACCTAACACACACACACAGACAGCCTTGAGGATTTTACTTGGCCAATATTGCCTGAGGACTAAGTCGTGTATGTCCTATTGATCTGGCCGTTTGTAGTCAAACACAGCTCTGATTGGCCCCCTGTAACTTTCTCAAGTTAGTTCAGAATCAGAATTTTCCATCTTTGGAGACATTCTTTTTTATATCTTTTGAAACTAATGAATCTAAACTAAACAAATGTTCTTCCACAGTTCCTTTCTTCCTCTGCTTTCTCTCCACATCTATTGTTCTCCTGTTTTCCTTCCAGCCATGTGAGCAGGGCAAGACGCTAAAGAGAATCCACTGGGTCACCAACATCGGTACAGCTCTCAAGTTCCTGGAGGGTAGAAAGGTAAGAGGTCAACACCTCGTTTTGATGTGTTTTTATCCCCTCCGTCTTTTACCGTCTCGCTCCCCGCTCAGCCGGAGCCTCGTGGGTGTAAATATTGAATCTTGACCTTCAGTGACCCCCCTCTCTCCTCGTCTCTCCTTTACAGAGCCCTCATTTATCCTGAAACCACTAGTTTGCTTTTGTGTTTTCCACTTTCTTTTGGGCTAATCTGACTTTGCCCACCATGAATTTTTCATGTATATTATGTGCTTGGCTGCCAGTTAGTGACAAAAAAAAAGTCTTTGAAAATCAAATTATTCCCCTAATTCTGCCCCTTTAATTGATTTTTGGACCTGCACATTACTTGCACTTCATATTATTAGTCCCCCTGCCCTGTTTTTCCTCTTGTTTTTTTTTTTTTTTACACTTTTGACTAAAATGTGCTTCCCTTTTCCTGATTTGATCAAAACGATGTGATCTAAAGGCATCAGCTGTGTCTTCATGAGATTTTATAAATCATTCTCAAAGCTTTTCACAGCTCATCCCTTGGATATACATAAATAAAGCCATAAGTAAGAGCTGTGGAGTCTGCAGCGACATTGATTTGCCTTCCTCGACTGTGACGGGGTTAAAACTTTAAATCCGTCGGCAGTAATCTGCTGTCTGGAGATGAGACACCAGTGGGCACTCTACCATGTACTTGTATGTCTGTGTGTGTAGGCGACTGTCTGAATCTGAAAGTTGAGATTTAAATGCCAATGTGCTGCGTGTGTCTGATTTATACACATTTTTGTCTTCATTTTGAATGATGCAATACATTTATTTGATTCGTGTCGATGTTTCGTTCTGTTTGGAACCACGTTACATGATTTAAGTTCTCTAGACTAATGCAGCTCACATCTGTAACTCACAATTATTTCTAAATCTTTGATTTCTTTACAGAGGTGTGACATTGTGGCATCATCAAGTCATCTCCATGTCATGTTTTTGTTCTGCTCAGCAACTGAACCAGGTTAATTCACTGTGCTGATTGAAATCACCTGGTTTAATTGCTAAGCAGAACAAAAACACAACATGAAGATGATGATGCCACAATGTCACACCTCTGTTTCTTTATCCTTTTGGAGAAAATGGGACCCAGTGCCTCCCTGTTTGACACTCAGCTTTAAATGGTTGGATTGGGGGTTTAACCACCAAATAGTTCCCGAGCGCAGCCACTGCTGCAGCTCACCGCTGCAGCTCACCGCTCCTCACAGGGATGGGCCAAATGTGATGTCATTTCACCAGTGTGTGATGACGACTAACGGGATTTTACAACTTTTACAAATATAATCTTGGTAAACTCATAACCTCAGCACAGACAAAATTATGGGGACCCCCTTGGGGGTCACAGACTCAGACTCTAGAGACCCACATCTCAAAAACATATTGAAAAAGAAAAGAATGGCATGAATGCTCATATTTGAAGAACAAGGACAAGCTCATTCTGAATCAAATCTGACAATCTTTACATGGTCAGAAATCACAAAAAAATGTTGTAAATTTGATTCTTTCAGCCTGTTGGCACCGTTCAGTGCCACATTGTTGCATCAGTAGAATGATTAGGTGTTTGCTTTGAGCTCTACTATTACTTTACACATTGTTTGTACCTGAAGGACTTCCACCACGGCTGCTTGTTATATTTTTTGTATCTGAGTAACTAAACAGTTCCCACAACAACCTGCTGTGCTTTCTAATATAAAATCACACATTTTCTTTATCAGCTACCATCCCATATTTCTCCACTCTGCCCCCAATCTCCTCCTCCATGCTGGTTCAGCTAGGTGTAGTGGTTGTTATTGCCTTATGATGACCTGTTGTGTTGCCTCATCTCAGTAATCTGACTCTCTGATAATAAAGAATACTTCATCATATCACAAGATACGGCCTCCTGCGTCTCAGCCCTTCTTACCCTTCGTCTCTGCTGGATGTAATCCCCGTTGCCTGAGCGATGCATCTCCACTTGTGTTATCTCACCTCTGAGAAGCATCTGCCATCTCACAGTCAATGAGGCGTTCGTGTCCAATCAAATACATCTAGAGTGCCTTCAGATTCTCCCTCCTCCTCCTCCTCCTCCTCTCTAACTGCTACTCTCATCTGTCTCCTCTTATCTGCCCCAGTCTGCCTACAGAGGATCTCCGGTCAGTATATTTACAGTACTTCTCCTCTGCTTTGGTCACAACATAAACTAGCTCAGAGTTATCTGCATCCAGCAGTACCGAGGTTTACATCTACCCTGTAGAGTGCTCATTTTGGGAAAACATGTACAGCATGATTCTGATTTACTAGATTGAGTGCACTTAATCCCACGTTTCCAGGACTTTAGTTATCTTTTCATGAATAATGCAGGAAACTTTTGCTTTTTGAAATTATGGTGCTTTTAAATAGAATAATTCAATGAATTTTCCACCCCCCCACAGATCAAGTTAGTGAACATAAACTCCACAGACATTGTGGATGGACGGCCATCAATCGTTCTGGGGTTGGTGTGGACGATTATCCTTTATTTCCAGGTAATCTTCTACACAAATGTGCTTACATTTCCAAATAAGTTGTGACAAAAGCATTGATTTTACTAAAATTCTTGACGAAAGAACAACAGATTAATTTAAATGTGGAATTTGCATGTTTGTGTCTAATCTCTTTAGTTTAATTAGTTCCTTTAGTTAGGGTTGAAACCCGACTCGGTGCTCTTGAAAGAAATCACAGATACATTTATTTTATTTCTATGATGTCCAAAAGAAAAAAAATAGGGGTGGGATTTAACCTAGGGGTTAAAAAAATTACCTAATTAATTAGAGGCTTTGTAATCAATTAATTAATCTTGATAAATTTTATATTATTAATTCAAGACAAAATGGGCCCAAAGAGTTATTTAAATAAAAATAATGAGTATATTTCTGTAACCACAAGATTTCTCATTTAAAGGTAACCATTGTGGGATTTGTTAGAGTGTAAACATTAGTATATGTGTTATTGATAAATGTAAATGGACATGGAACATTGTAAATGTGGTGTACTGAATGAACACTAGATGGCAGCAGATCACTGCTAATATGTATATAAAGGTGTAGTGTAGAGTTCGGGGGAAGTTCTGTTAAGGGTTACAAGATTAATGCTTGTTCCTCCTGCTGTAATCATTTATATGGATAAAGTAACTGTCTGCCTGCTTTCTACCGACTAGAAAACAATGTTGATTCTTTTTTTCTTTTCTTTATGAAAAGCAGTTTGACACGAGTCATTTAATTGAAGTTTTAGTTGTGTTTGGAACATGTAAAAAATGTTTATATGGTCTTGTAGCCCAGGCTCTGCAGTCTTGTTTCAGGTGCAGCTCAATAATATTTATTTATATATAAAGCATGAATTTTGATGCTAGACTTTTCCGTCCTCCCAACTGGGGAAAGCTCGGGCTCAAAACGTATAATTTTTTTCCCTAATGAATTAATTGTGATTAATGTGTTAAATTTCCTCTCCTAGAAAATCTACAATTTTTATTAATTTGGATTAATACAGATGTTGTCATTACATATAGTATTGTAAAAATATATATATATATATGATATTAAGACACTAATAATAATTGTTCATTCAGACATCTCCATGTTTTTTTGATGATTTATATATGAAATGATTGCAGTTGGCCTCAACTGTTAAAAAAAGAGAAAAATCAATAAAAGACTTAAAAATAATGTAAAGACTGAAATAAATCTGAAATAACTTTTGATGTTTTTTCGTGGGTCAAAAGCTAAAAGGTTTATGTATTTCTGCTGAAAGTCTGCGTGTGAATGACTTCCCGATCATTCTATGGCACACATTATACAAACAGACACAATAAATGTAGATGTTTTTACTTCATAAGGGCTTCCTGCACTTTGACCTTAACTGAGGTTGTGGAAAACACGATAACTAGTAAAAGACGCTTTACCGAGTTGATTTATTGTCCTTGTGTGTTGAGGAGAAAGAAATCAAAGGCTGACATTTGCTGGTTTCCTGTTGTTACAGATTGAAGGATTAACCAGCAGCCTCCCAGAACTCCACGCTTCATCCAGCAGCACCTCGTCCGTGGACAGCTCCAGCAGCAGCACCGACACCACCAGCCCTCCCGTCAAACAAAAACCATTGCATCCTCTGCTGGGTGGAGCCAAAAAGGCCTTACTGAGATGGGTTCAGCAGACAGCAACCAAGTATTTTTTTTCACTTATCTGTGCAAATTCCACACACTGCTTCATATATACCACCACTAGCTATGGAGGCTGTGTTTTTATCTGCTGACCTTTTGAACTTCTGTTGTCTTAGATGTTTAGGGCTTGAGGTGAAGGATTTTGGCCCCAGCTGGCGCACCGGTTTAGCATTCTTTGCTGTTATCAATGCCCTCCGGCCGAATCTGGTTAACATGGAGCGCGTATGGAGGAGGCCCAACCGGGAAAATCTGCAGGAAGCGTTCTCATTGGCTGAGACCGAGCTAGGCATTCCACAGTTTCTTGATCCAGAGGGTAAACGGCCTGTTCTATGGTGTTGTTGCAGACTTAACAGCTGATGTATGTTCAAACGGAACTAAGCAGCTCTTTGTTTCAGATTATACCTCCAGCTTGCATCATGGGATCCAGTGACTTTTTACATCTGCATCTCTTACTTTCATATTCTGGCACGTTTAGCAGCTTGTCTTGAATGTAACTTAAAGGTGATATCTGTAGTCTCATAAACGGAAATAAAACAGCAGATCCATCGATGCATCAGATGTGCACCTTGATGTCATTGCCAGACACCATCTGTGCCCCCTTCATGCCCGCCCTTCAGACCGATCTCTGACAAATCGAGCCTGACATCAGTATAATTAAAGTCCATTAGGCCGTGAGATTCGGCGTAGCAGGATCTCCAAGCTGAACTGGGACTCGGATCCAAAATGCCGACCACCGTTTTCACTCTGTTGTTTCTCGTCTCAGATGTGGACGTAGACAAGCCAGATGAGAAATCTGTTATGACGTACGTTGCTCAGTTCTTGAGGCATCGTCCTGACGGGAAGCAGAGCGACTCGGAGGGACAGCAAGAGGACGAGGTAATAAGCTGTCGGATTCTCTTTTTCTGCACCTGAAATATTTTGCATGTCTCCATGATTGCATCTATCTGACGCCATGACATAAATAACTTTTACCTTAAATGAAATAAGATAAGCACCGTAAACTCTGTTTCATTCAGTGCTTTCCGTGTCTTGTTTGTATTATGAGCATCTGTTATTTGTACACATTCCCTTTTCTTGTCTCTTCTCCGTTGTCTCTGTGTGGCGGCTGCTTTCCTGTGCTTCATGTGCTGACCTCTGTCCCTCAGCATGAACTTGCTCCTCGCGATATAGAGGAAATGTTGGAGGTAGGTCTCATAGATGCAGCTTTAAATTCATCATTTTTCTGACCCTCGAATTAATTGTCCCACGGTGTGTTGAGCTTTCGCACATGAAGGATGAGATTAAACATCGCTTTCTCATGTCAGACTACATCCTCTTTGCTAATATCGGCTCACCTGACGTGACATTTTTTCGCCGCGGGGCGTCTGAGCAATGATAACAGGAGGATGTCCATTTTAATAAGATGTGATATTGCCATTTATGAATGCTGTCGCCTCTCGTGCTGTGGCTGCTGGTTCCATTAGCATGACAATGAAAGCCTCTGGCATCAGCAGTTTGTATTGATACAGCTGTTTGATGAAAAAACGTGGGAATAGAAGAGGTCGGACTTTAAGGTCAAAGTGCTGTGATGTGCTGTAAAGCTGCTTGTGTCACATCTTTTTAGGCTTTCAGTCTTTTTGTTTGTCAGCAGTTCACCTCTTTGCTCACATGCTTTCATTTATAATTAAAGATCTACCACAATTCTTTTTAGGCTTTAGAATTGGAGTTTTATGTTTATGTTTATTTATTTAGCAGACGCTTTTATCCAAAGCGACTTACAATTTATAACCTATGGGGCATGTTGTGATCTGTGGAGGAAACCGGAGTACCCGGAGGAAACCCACGCATGCATGGGGAGAACACGCAACTCCACGCAGAAAGGCCGCAGCCGAGTTTTGAACCTGCGACCTTCGTGCTGCGAGGCAACAGTGCTAACCACTGCGCCACCATGCAGCCTAGTTTTAAAGAGTTTTAAACTATGCTCATGTTAAAGGGGACATATAATGCTAAAATCACCTTTTGTGTGTTTTTTTGAGCCGCTTGAGTCCCGACTGCTTCTATAAATACACAAAATATAAAAAATAGCATAAAAAGTTTTTAAAAGTCCCCGTTTGTGATGTCATAAATGACAAAGTCAGAATAGAATCACCTCACACTTGAGTAAGCTGCTGCTGGAGGAGCAGCGGCTCTGCTTTGAGCCCCTCCCAGATTTCGGAGCTTTTTAGCTCATAGCAGCCAGTCGGGATGAGTGGGTGTGGCCAGCAACAGCTTGTTTCTTAACCCCTTTTTACATGACACACCGTGCGGGCAAATCAGCGTCATTTACAGCAACGGTGTGTCTTATAAACGCGCCATGCCACCATGTGAATTTTCCGGCATTCGTTCTGCCTCGCTTGGTAGTAATATTGCAGTAATTATCCGTCCTATATACGGCGATGGCACCATGGCGCGACAGAGGGAGGTGTCATGATCACGTGGTCAGTCATCATACTTCCCCTTAAGATGATGGTGTTGTAAGAGAATTTGAAGCAATGAAAGCAAATAGACTGAGCCGATTTCAAACTGAATAGTCCTTCTCTGTTATCGTCATGCTGTCTTAAAATCCAATGAAACAGTAGGAGGTCTCAGACAAAGTATCCTGTTTCAGCTGAGTGTTTTTGGCAGCTGTGAGCTTTATTCTGTAGGGAGAGAGGATTAGGAGAGCATGTTTAAGCAGCATTCCTCCTCCTTTCATTCATTTGTCAGTTTTTACACATCTTTCTAATTAAAACTTCATTTTCTTCTCCCCTCTCTTTATGTCCTATTATGCGCCTCCGAACCTCCTTGTCCGTCTCACTCCTCCACCTCTCATCCATTCTGACCCCCTGAAGAGAGAGCAGCGAAAGAGCCTGAGGGAGCTCAAAATGTGGCTCGACCAGCTGGAGAGAGAGGCAGCACAGGCACAGGAGACTGAGGCCAATCTTGCTCAACAGTACCAGGTTTGTGTGTGTATGTGTGTGTGTGGGGTGTAAATTGGGGACAATAGGCACAGACGCTCCTATTATTAGCCTAATCGCTGGTATTTCACTGTAGGGATCAAGCATCATTTGTCCATTTTTCAGCCTGGCTTATTTCGCCAAGCCTCAGGATACGTTTTGTATTCAGCAGCAGTGTGTGGGGCATCCTGGTTTTCTTTGCAGATGTTTGACGATCTGAGGATGGAGACAGTGTTGTTTGACCTCTGATTTTATTAGGTTCTGATTATGTGTCAGTGGGAAAATGGTGTTTTCTGCGGTAGGGAAATGATCGTACCTGAGGTGCGACATCAGGGATGAAAACATGTAAATTTGTGCTTTTGCAGTTGTTCAAGAGCCTGCATGTCCAGTTGGAGATGAGGCGGAAGCAGGTGGAGGGAGCTTTGCAGTCGACGCAGAGAGACGGGATGCTGACTGTGGACCAGGCTCTTGTCAAACAGGCCTGGGAGAGAGTTTCCAACAGGGTGAGAGAAACAGGCGCCTCCATCCGCCCTCAGTGAGGAAAAACATCCAGTCGCCATGACAACAGTTTGCAAATTAAGGAGTTTTATTTAGAAATCCTAGAAAACATTAGACTTGTGTAGTCATTCTTGGAGGTCAGTGAAAGTTTAAAAACTCAACTTAAAGGGACTTTTCAGACTTTTGAATTTTTATGCTTGCGATTGCCCCCTCAGGCCAAAAGCGTTACGGCAGCTTCAATAGTAGGCTCGTGCATGAGGCGCGCATGCTGTACGTGCACACTCCTTAACGAAAATAACAGCTGAGGCAGTCCCGTGAGTGTGTGTGTGTGTGTGTGTGTGTGTGTGTGTGTGTGTGTGTGTGTGTGTGTGTGTGTGTGTGTGTGTGGCCGGGAGGACAGAAGAACACTGCAAATTAATAAAAATAATGTGCCTCTGTCTCAGCAGCTGCAATTTCTCGTCGGCCGGCCAAACGTGCAGTGTGTGTGTGTGTGTGTGTTAGTGTGTGTTTGTGTGTGTGTGTGTGTGTGTGTATGTGTGTGTGTGTGTGTGTGTGTGTGTGTGTGTGTGTGTGTGTGTGTGGCCCAGAGGACAGGAGAACGTGCAGCTAATTAATTAAATAATGTGGTTCTGTACCTTTCTCTTCAGCACAGCCGACAAAGGTTTATGATGGGTCAGTCCTCCTGCATGCTCAGATCATTCCCTTCCCTTGCTTGAAAAATTGTTCCAAAATGAAAGTTGAACCCACATCTTTTTTATCTGTTAATTCAATGCCGTTCGGCGAGTCTCAAATAAAAATTTGGACATCTTACTGTAAAAAAAATATACCATTAATGTAAAAAATAAACTAAATGAACTGTGTTCACACCCAGAATCAAACTCAGGTCTTCTGCACGAGAGTCCGACGTCTTACACCAGTGACATTCGTTGTATCTGTAACATTTATATCCTTGATGACAGCTGAAACAACGTTCAAAGAACGGTTCGGAGCGAAAAGGGCTATTTTGTTGCTAATTTGCAGGAAATATCTAGAAGAAAGTTCTACAGAAAGTAGCTAAGGGTCCTCAGAAATGTAGCTAGGTTCATCACTAGGCGTTAGGAACAGCAACAAAGTCGCTGAGTTGGCACTGCCTCTCTCTCTGCTGCTAAAGCTACTGATAGCAAATGCTACGGGCTATGCCCGAGCGTGAACGCGCATGAAGCAGCCTGCTCGACCCGAGCATCTCTCTTTTTCTGTGATTTTACAGAAAAACAGGCAATCACAGTAAACATGCCAGGGCTCATTCTACAGGACCAGGGCATTGCAGGAGAATGTATGAAGAAGACATTTATTATTTCTATACATGTTTTGGCTGTCAAACTTCCATAATGCCCCTTTAATGTTTCATCGTTCCCTTGTATTTGTCACATGCTGATGCACCAAACTGATCATAATAATCTGAATTTTCGAAACGCGGTTTACTTTTATTTGTAAAACATGGAATATTATTCATCAGAAATGTCCTGTTGTTATAAATAAACTCTAAAGTGTTTTTTATGTTCAGATAAGTAAACTGCAGATCAGTTTTTATTGACAAATTGATTATTTTAGAAAGGAAACATTTTTTATTTCATCTTACTTGATGCTGATGGAGTTAGAGAGCACCAGACTGGTTTAATTAAATAGTGGTCCATAAAATCACACAGATTATGAAAAAATTACCAACAGCGGAACAGTAAATGTATTTTTTATTCAATTAAATTTTTTAAATGATGTTGAAGTGCATTTTTGCCTTATATCAAATGGTACTTACTTGCCATTTATCTACTTTTTGTTTTAATCTTTCACAAACACAATAAAACAACGTTTTCCTGCTAAATAGTTACATGTCCAACAGGAGAAAATCTTTTTCATTGTGTCTTTCCAAATGCTTTCTGTATCTCAGCTGGATGATTGGCATCTTCATCTGGACCGGTCCCTGCCGGCTCCCCTGGATTCGGTCGGAGCTTGGCTACATGAGGCTGAAGGAGCCCTGCGACAGGAGATTATCATCCAGCAGGCTCATAATATCACAGCTAACACTGTACACAGAGCTCTGGAGCAGCACAAGGTCAGCACGGAGATGAACAAACAAAGATGGAGGCAGCTTGTTGTCAGAATGTTTACATGGGAGTGACCGAGTGACCTAATTTAAACTGAGGAGCAGATTTGAAAAGAGAAAATCTTTGTTGTTTATTCATATTTTTGTGTGCATTTTTCAGGATGTGTTGAAAAGCCTGGAGAGTCACCAGCAGGTGTTTCAGAGGATCCACAAAGACCGAAGTGTTGATGGTGTTCCTGTCCCCCCGGATCAGCTCCAAGACATGGCTGAGAGGTGAGTCCTGGAAACACGGCGTGGCTTCCCATTCCGATTTACAGACATTTACGTGAGTCTGAAGCTGAGTATTGCTTTTCTTTACCAGGATGAACTTTGTTTCTACATCCTCCAGCCTTCATCTGGCCAGAATGGAATTTTTGGAAAACAAACACCACATGCAGGCCTTCCTCACCCTAGCCGAGTCCAAACTAAAGTCCTGGATCATCAGATATGGCCGCCAGGAATCAGTGGAACTGATGCTCAGTAACTATATAGTGAGAGTTCCTCTTTAGTTTTATAAATGTAATGTAAATACATTTTAGTAAAACCTGAATTTGTAAGAATGAACATTTTGTTTTTGGATTCTGTCTTCATCAGTCCTTTGTGGAGAAACAGTGTTTCTTTCAAAAGTACGAGGCGCTGTTCCAGTCGCTGAAACACTCCGCAGAGGCTTACGTCACAGCAGATAGCTCAGGTGAGACGTGTGTTTAAATGATTATACTCAACATTGAGAATGGTTTTAAATAAAGTAACCTTCTCAGGTGAGAAGAACACAGAATGTGGGCCCAGACAACGTTTTCTGAAATATTTCTAGTTGCTTAATTGTAGTTAAATCCTGGTAGCTGAACAGAAGCACTATTTAAAGATCAAATGGTTAGAATATATTAGGTTCAGGCTCGTGTTATTCGTGGAGATAAAACATCAAAGTTGTAGAGCAAACGGAGGCAGTGGAAGAGTTGTGTTGCTGTTAGCCAATCAGAGGTGAGATATCCAAATATCCACTCCAAACCGTTTTCTGCTTCCACTCCTCCGACTAAATTCTACTTCCTGAAACGGGAGCGCCAGAGCTTTTTTTCCACAGATAACGATTCACAAGTCATTCATTCACTCTAGAGACCACAACAGATGATTGAAATAACAAGTGAAGGCTAAGATCATCTGGAGCTACAGGTATTTGGTCAATTAAAAAAAAATGGTTTAAATTTAATTTAATGCAAGATCATAAGGTGAGTGAGTACTTTCTAATGCTTTTAAGTCTATCCAGTGGTGCATGGGATGCTTTTTGAAGGAAAAGTAGCAAAAATCTGTGGCAAGCAATAATTATCTACTATAGAGCTCCGGACGTCACGTGACTCTCAGAGAGTAGACGCCATGTTGGCAGGCAACAAAGGTAAACAAAATGAACGGGATCAGCTTGGATTTTACTCCGTCGGAGTTTACTTCACACTTTAAAACCGAAGAAATCATTTTATATAGTCAGAAACTAAATAGACTAAACATCTCCGACCCTTACCGTGTCCCTGGGATACTTTTTAAAAATGCCAGAAGCTATCGGAGCGGACCTGGCCAGGGAACGCCTTGGGATTCCCCCGGAGGAGCTAGACCAAGTGGCTGGGGAGAGGGAAGTCTGGGCCTCTCGACTTGTACTTCCTGAAACAGGTGCATTAGAGTGCCCCAATACGACTTACAAGGCATTCATTCCTACTAGAGACCACTGTAGGTGTATTGATTACACGAGTGAACCACATCTTTAAACCAAAACAAGTGCTTGTTATTTCTCCGGTTTAACAACTCTGTAACCAGCGATGAGTTCTGTGGGTGAACCCCCCGACTGCTTTTACAATTAGCTGGAAGAGGAGAGTCTGCAGGCTACAACTAAATGAGGTTCCTTCATTCCTCGCTCTCAGCAGGGAATACGACCCCATTTGCTTGTTAAGGGGCTGCTCCACTTCCTCGGGTCTCTGAGCGCAGACTGTGCTAGCCTGGTGGTTTCATTTTGGGGCTGTGATGCTTTAGGGTATGCAGAGGAAACAAGTGAGGTGTGGAGAAGAATCAGGACATCTGAAGTCTGATTGGTCGACCCCATGATTGACTCCTGCTGGGGTCGGGTGTACTTGGAGCGCTGGTCTCTAATTTGCTGGATGAGAGACCATTTGGATGTTTTGAAGTGTGTATTCATCTGAAGAAGAACAGGAGGAGATGCGTGCATTGTCCGTTAAAAAAGTAATCTTTATTTCAGATAATCTTTTGAATAAAAATGCTGCTGTACCACTTAATGGACTAAATAGAGTGAACTAGAGTACTGTAGCACACGGGCAGAGATGATGCATTTCTCTGTGGTGAGGTTTTGGGGTCAGTTTATTTTTCTGCAGAGGCATGATGCTCCATCAACCTCAATGTGACTCTCATCTGGTGTTTCAGTGACAGTCGAGCATCTGCCGCCAAACCTGAGAGAAAAGAATGTTTAATTATTGCACAACTGGGGTCACAGAGAGATTTAAAACATCCGTCATAAAAACAACAGTTAAGAGGGGTAAACAGCTGATCCTGGAAGCCCACATTTACAATCAGCACATTTATCACAACTTATGGGAAAATAATTAACCTGTGATTGTGTTCATTGGTGGTTCGCCAGTGGATGAGGGAGAAATGGGAGTTCGCCGGTTCATGCGAGAAGTGGTGACTCAGTGGAGGAGTCTGTCGATGGAAGTGCGCAGTGTGAGGAGCATGCTGGAGGAGGTTCTGTCCAACTGGGAGAGGTACGTCTCCACCGTGGCCTCCTTGCAGGCCTGGCTGGAGGATGCTGAGGAGGCTCTGAGCCAGCCGGAGAGCATTAAACGGGTATGACTTTTAGGAGATTCCCTCCACTTGATTCAAAAGTACTTCAGATTTTATACAGCCTCTCACGTTGCACACAATCTCTGTGACTCACAACAAGCCATGCAGGATGTTCCTGTTGTTCCTGTTGTCATGGTTACCACAGATTCACATCCTCACTGAGGATTAGACAGCTAATTACCCCAGTTTTCTACAACCTCTCCTTTGTCTCTTTCGTTGAATACTTTTCTTTGTTTCAGTCCCTTCTTTGGCACCAATTCTTTGTCTTTCTGAAATCTTTTGTGCCTTTTGTGTCTTCACCTCTTTTAATGAGTCTGTCTCTCCCGCCCCCCTTTTCCAGGAGTTTTTCAGGAATCTCAGCCACTGGATGGATCTGCATGCAGTCATGAACGATGCCGGGAACTTTCTCATCGAAACGTGCGACGAGACTGTCTCGCTGGATCTGAAGCAGCAGCTGCTCCTTTTGAACGGACGCTGGAGAGACCTCTTCCTCCAAGTCAAACAAGTAGTAAAAGCAAAATCATAAAAACTAGGGTTGAAGTATGTTTGCAATCAAATTGAACAGAAGCATTTTGTGTGTTTCTCAGTATGCTCATTCAGAGGAGTTGGAGAAATGGAGAAAAGACCACCTTAAGGCTGTGTGGGCTCTGAAAGAGCTGCTGGACGCAGCAGAGTCCAAATTAAATGCTCCCGTTCAGGTGTCCTTCCGCAGCGTGAGGGCCTTCCTGCAGGACGTGGAGGTGAGGATTCTGCATTTTATAAACGGTTGGACTTTCAAAGTCAATCCCAAATTCTAAGATGACCTCCTAACTGCTCCTCTCATCTCAGAGCACCAAGCAAAAGGTCGTTGCCATGGAGACGCAGTACAAGTTGGCTGCCCACAGTGCTCAGCTTCTCGCTAAGGATGTTCCGCAGGATGAAGCCACCGGGGTCATGACAACCATGGCAACAGCCAAAAATCAGCTGAGTAAGGTAGGATGTGATCATTTTTTAAAAATTAGCAACATTTCCTGTTTGCATTTGCGGTGGAGATGGTCACACATTCTTTGTCACTTTATTTGCGTTTAGGTGAGAGAGAGATGCCCCTCCTTGGTCAGGGAGTGTCACAGCCTTCTGCCGCTGTTGGAGGAGATGGAGAAACACACCGGTGCTTTTTACCACGCTCTGGAGAAGGCACACCGTATCGTGTCTTTTCCGAGGGACTCGGAGGCACCTGCTCAGCAGAAACACAAGTGGCAGGTCAGATATCACCACAATGTATAGATCACATCTACAAATCCTTTTTAATTAAACTACATTTGATGTAAATGAGCTGTTATGCAGCTTTCTGCCTAAATCTGTACATTTTTACTTTCAAATGGGTGTTTTTGAGGATTTTATCAAACCAGTGTGGGTTTAAAGCTTCTTTACCTGCACATTATCTATAAGCACTTGTATATAAAATATAACCTTGCATTAATGAGATAGGAACTGGGCAAATATGATTACCTAGTTTGCACCACCTTAGAGCGGTGCTTTCTATTCCAGGCCTTTGGGACCTCCTGCTCTGCATTCTTAAGTTGTTCCGCTGCCCCAACACAGCCGAGTCAAATTAATGGGTTTGCTCTCGTCCAGCTCTGCAGCAGCCTGATAATTGAATCTGGTGTGTTTGAGCAGGGAAACTAAACCATGCAGCAAACAGGGACCCTGAGAACAAGAAAGAGTGAAAAGTATATGTGAACATGCTGCAGGCCACCTCTCTACATGCATCTCTGCCATGGTACTGTCTAGTGGCGGACCTCATCAGTAAAACACCCACTGTTTATTACGTGAGGAAACACTATCCAGAAGATGGTTGTTCAGTCATAATTTTATTAAAAAGTTTCAGCATTAGCACAGCCAATAGATTTATGCTTTTTTTGTCTCCCTAATTGTCTCAGGATTTGTTAAACCAGCAGCAGAGCTGTAAAAGGTATGTGTCGGTGATTGAGAGGAACCACTACACCCTGCAGAAGATGCTCGGCAACAGCAAGGTGCTCCGAAACCTGGACCTGTCTCTGCTGCAGAAGAGAGTTGCAGAAATTCAAGGATCGTTACAGGTTATTATTGTCTGAAGCAACACGACGTCGTGCATCGACTGAATCAGGCCCAACGTTGACAATGGCACAAAAAATGATCTAAATTAAACATCAAACCGCCCACGAGGTGCTGATTAGGCTCCTCGTCACATCTCTCATTAGTCATTAGCCTTGATGTAAAACAAATAATGTAATTACCCTGTTGTGCCAATGAGACCCATTACTGTTGCCGTCCTCCTAAGGCTTTGCTGAAGGAGGTGGGAGAGTGGAGGAGGCAGGAGGAGGCCAACAAGTGCCTGAGGAGGAGGTTTGAGGAATCACGGCAGGAGCTGGAGAGAGTGTTGAAGAAAGCTCAGGGCTGTTTGAAGGAGACTGGAGACGCTGAGGAGTTACTGAGGAAACACACGGTGAGATGAAATCCGCAGCCTTCTGCTGTGAATTACACAACAAAGAAAAACATTTTGACTTTCATGCTGCAGGACTTCTTTGGCCAACTAGACCAACGGGTTCTTAGCGTGTTCCTGAAAGCGTGTGATGAGTTGACAGACATCCTCCCTCAAGAGGAGCAACAGGGGCTGCAGGAGACGGTGCGCCGCCTGCACAAGAACTGGAAGGTCAGGGGTCAACGTGTTTTAACACTCTTACTAATTACTCTCCATCTCTCCTGGCACAAAGACATCAATTTAGTTATTTAATAAGCGAGACCCTTGGTCTAAACAGCGCTGTCTCCAACTGCCATGCTCTAAATGGGAAGTCCTCTCTATTTACTAGTATCGTTTATCCGTTTGCTCAGGATCTCCAGGCTGAGGTACCATCTCACCTGCTTCACCTGAAGGTGGAGGTGGAGAGAAACCGAGTGGCTCTGATCCTCCAGGACTGCAGGGCGGAGCTGGACAGAGAAATGCGATCTCTGTCAGGAACTTGCACCAGTGAGCGAGTGATCAAAGAGCACAGAGTGAGCCCTGGATAAGCAGATCTAACCGGCAGCAGGACCAAAGGAAGAAAAGGAAATATCTTCATGTTTCTACCTTTCCTTTGGTTTGATCCCCAGACTTTCTTCAGAGAACGCAAACCGCTGGCTTTGTGTGAGAAAAGGATCAGAAACATGGAGGACGTGTGTCAAAAGCTGCCTGATAACGACCCAGCGCATCGAACTCTTGACTCCGTGAGGAGGGCTGCAGGGGAGGTTAAGGAGCAAATCAGGATCACGCACCTGAAGCTGGAGCAGCACCCTGACAAATGGAAAGAGTGGAACGAGAGGTGCACACCATCAAAACCAGATGTTCTGATTATTGACAGTAAATGAGACGAAAGGAAGTGAAATGAGTTTGTTTGTATTTTAGGTTCTGTGAGATTTCTGATTGGCTGTCATCTCAGAGAGGACAGGTGAGGCTTTTGAGAGAGACAGCAATGGATTCCCGATGTCAGGAGGATGTTGATGCTTCTGTCCAGGTGAGCAAGCTTGTGATCTCTGATCTTATATGCTGCAACTAGCACTGTACATTTAACACCATTCATGAGGATGTTGCACTTATGTCATGCCAGGCTCTGCAGAAAGCAGTGAACGCCCGAGAAGAGGATCTGCTGTGGCTGAAGAGTCATCTAACCGAGCTTTCTGAGGTTAGCTCTGAGCTGGAGGTCAAGAGGCAGAGAGCAGCTCTGGCCAAACTCTCAACGGACCTTCGAGCACTCCTGTCTTCAGTCTGTCAGGTTATTCTAAGCAGAAAGCTCATTTTCCCCGTGTGGCAGTCTTTCACAACACTAAGATCTTGGTGATTTTATGGTCTTTGTTTCTACGTCACAGCAGGGAGAGGAAGGCTCTGCTCTGTACCAGTATGAAGAGCTGAGAGATGAAGTGCATGGTGCTCTTCAGGAGGTCTTAAAGTCCAGGAAGGAGGCTGAGGAGCAGACGAGCAGGATCCTGAATGCTGAGAGCCTGGAGGAGGCCAAACAACTGCACCTCATTCACCAGGTGTGTTGCCCCCTCACGACGCCGACAAATGAAAACCGTTATAAATCAAACATGTTGGGTATTTTTCATTTTGTGTCTTTTTTTTTAGCAACACCTGAAACAGCTGAACGCTAACAGGAAGGAGGCGGAGCTGCTGGTGTCTCACTGCCGTCAGCTGCAGACCGGCGAGGTGCTGAGTCAGTCTCTGCAGGAGCTGGAAGGAGCTTTCAACGAGGTCGACCGCAAATCTGGAGTGAGGGAGCACAACCTGCAGGTAGACGACGCCACGGTCAGCATGCTGATGTTTACACGTGCTAGTGTCATTTATCACCCACATGCACACACTCCCACTGTGGGCATTGATTTTCTGGTGTTGGATCTTAACCACACATTGGTTTGTTACTTTTGTTTTCTATTGAGATTTTTTTTATCTAGTTGGAAATTGAGATAAATCTCCACCTAAAACAACTATTCTGACTTGATTTTAAAATTTAAACAAATGTGCAAGTCTGCAGGAGTTTAACACATACACCTCTGGTAGAAGTAATCATTTATTTAGGTCTTTCTACTTCCTAACTTTAGTTTTCTTGTTTGTTTTTTTTTGTCACTTCAAGGCAACTCTAAGCTCTTGGCAAAGCTTTGAGATGGAAAGAGAAGCAATTTGGAGGTTTATCACAAACGCCAACAATGAGCTGCTGAAAGAACTCACATTTAACAGTCTAGAGAGCCTGAGAAGTGAACTCCACCATAACAAGGTGTGTGTTTATGAAATGTGTTCATGCTCACAGAATTACCTTTGAATTAAAGCTCATTTAGCTAGAAATTCTTTTTTTTCCCTCCACAGGGGCTTTTCATAACGTTTGAGGAGTATTCTGTACGAGCAGATCTTCTATTGGAGAAGGCAGCAGATATTGAACTCGGCCCAAAGAACCAGGGACTGCTTCTGCAGCAGGCCCAGTCCACCAGGGAGGAGGTCACTGAACTGCAGAAACATCTTAAAGAGAGGTACGTCCTATTTTAAAGGCACATTTGGTAGTTTTAGCTTGCTTTTAGCACCCCCTAGTGTCCGTTATTAATATACTGCCATAAAACCAAAAGTGAAACTCTCTCCTCGCTGTGTGTTTGTCTTTTTAACATCTTAATTTAACAGCTGAAATGTCTCCACAGCGTTCATTAGTGTCTACAGGAGTGGTTCATCACTAAACCACACAAATCAGCTGTGTTTGTGATCTAAATGAAGCCGGGTTTTAATGAACCACAAAATACTTAAAAAAAGTAGTTTTCCTCCTTTTCAAACAGTTGGAAATGCAAAACCGGCACACAACGTGGTATAAACGGATTAAAAAACGGCAGCGGCACTTGTAGAATAAGGCAAAACAGAAAGACAAAAACATTATGATCATCACCTTTAACTCTAAACAGTCCATGAAAGACGCGTTTCTTACCGAGACGCTCGAATATTTGTTCAGGTGGCTTAATGCCTCGCCTTTTCCCAACCAGGCTCAGCTCAATATGTCTTCCTTCATCAAACATGCAGGAAACATACTGGAAGCAGACTCCAGCGCTAGCATGTCGGCTAGCCTCTTTACAACTGACTAACAGGGACTGGTCTGGATACTCTGAAGTTACAAGTGTGGTATTCTGGCTACAAGGAGCAGTGGGATCTGAGTGACATTTCATTTACCGTGTAAAAGGTTATAGTAGCTGGCTCAAGAAAATGATTTATATGACAAAGTTACCTAGAACGCCATTAAACAGTGGCAGAGGCTTCCTTTCTTGTGTTTTGAAGACCTTTCACATTATAACGTCTATAAAATCTACATAATCACATGTATTCTGTGTGAACCCGTAATTTCTCTATTTTTGGGACAATATTTATGGAAGTAGAAAAAAATAGCTGTTTGGGTAGAGCTGCAGACATGAAACAAGTTTTTTTCTCACAACTCTGTATGAATAGATCAAATTTAGCAGTCTGTTTGGTCTCCGTGTGTTTTGAGTTTATTCTCAGTCGTCTGTTCTGATCTGGATGTTTTTGTTGCAGTTTTGTCCTGCTGAAGCGAGTGTGTGCACAGTGGGAACAGTTCAGCGCTGAATTTGAGGCTTTTTCTCAGTGGATCAATGACAAAGAGAAGGAGCTGGAAGCTGCCAGCTTCGCATCCTCCTCAGATGCTTTAGACAAGCATATCAGCACCGTGGAGGTATGCAGCTTTTGTTTTCATCCCTTCACTTGTATGTGGGAAAATGCATCCCGCTATTGCTGCATGTTGGAGTACTTTTCATACACTCCACTCAAATAAAAGAACATGCATCTTTTAGACATTTTTGAGAGATTTATGTTGCTGTCTGGCTTTGCTTATACAGTTTACTGTAAGCAATTGGTTTCAAATGGTGTAAAATTCAGGTTTTAAATCTAATTTCTTGCAGAAATTGGGTCATTACAGACAAGGATAACATGTCATAATTCCAATCTCAGCATGCCAGACCTCATCAATGTAATGACAGATTTTAGAAAATAAATTAAAATACCAGGACTTGAATTTAATCATCAGGTTTCACGCTACAGTAATTTCATGTCTCCAGATAATATTTTCACCCCACGTCCTGTCCTTTTTTAGATGATAGGTGAGGGTTTGGAGGACAGAAGGCCGACTCTGACCCAAATGGAGGCTGACTGTGAGGCCCTGTCCAGGTTTGTGACCTCTGGAGAGGCTGGACGATTACGTGCACAGCTCCTCCTGATGAGGAGGTGCTTCGAGGAGCTAGTGGGAAGAATAGAGCAGCTTGGCGTACAGCTCAATCAGAGCGCCACCTACAGGCAGAGATGCAACGATAACCTGGAACAGGTTAAAACATCATAGAAGATAAGAAAACTATCCTCTTCAACATTGTTTTTGAGCTAAAATGTTACAAAACTTGTTTTTCAGGTTAAAAAAGCAATAAGTGACCTCAAAGAAAAACTGGACTTTCCTATCAGTTTCTGCACCTCTTCATCAGAAACCTACAAAATCCTCCAGGATCACATGGTAGGAACAGCTACTACGTTCGTTATTAAGCAGGATGATTAAGGCGTTTTATGCTCAAGTACATTTTAATTTACTCCAGGAGGTCTGCCAGAGTGTGGAGCAGCTGAAGCCCCGGCTGATGGCGTTGTGTTCGGCCATGAAGAGGCTCAGAGAGGGCAGCCAGCTGGAGGAGGAGGTGGCTGACCTCCAGAAGCAGCAAAGGCAACTTGCTGGAAAGGCTGCAGAGAAGCAATCCACCCTGGATAGCCTTCTAGCTCTGTGGCAAAGGTACAGTGGATCCACTAATCTGGTCATTTTGACACAAACAAACCATCTTCTTAGTGTTTTTGCTGATAGTATGATTACACTTAATTATATTAGTGCCCTTTATGCAGCTATTTATTGATTCATGTCCAGACATCTAAAGAAATGTGAAGATTTGGAGTATAATCATCTTTTAAAATATTTTATGCAGTAACAGCTGTACTAATTGCTGTCTGCTCTCTCACACATATGCAGTTTATTCTCTTTAGAAACATTTCCACGTTTCATTGTCTGCTTTCTTTTTCTGCAGAATTTTTTTTAATCTCCACACCAATTTCCTCTTTTATCCTCCGAACCGTTTTCTCATCTTAATGTGACGTAAAAGAGCGAGATCTTGTCTGTCTCCCTGTCAGCTTTTGCCTTTTTTATTCTAATGATACAGTTTTTTGGATCATATTGTTTTTCTCTGAATAAAATTCTTCCAGTGGGTTTGTTTTTTTATTCATGAGGGGGGAAATAACGACGCAGCTGTTTAAAGAGCGGACACTTTGCTGTCACAGCAGTTCTATTCAGAATGAACTCAATTATCTCTTTTGCTGTTATGTTTCTGCTCACTTTGTGTGTGTGAGTGTGTGTTTGTGTGTGGTCAGCTTCATCCTCCCCCCTACAGACATTAATATATGAGGGATTACTTTCAGCTTTGGGTGTTCTGGTGAGATATGGCTGCCCTATTACTGCCCTGTCACTGATGCTAAGATTTTATCTGATAAAATAAGAAGGAGAAGGCGTTGTAGTGAGTGTTTCTGAACTTTAAAAACTTTTGCTCAGTTCCAACTACTGCTCACATTTACATCTGCAGGTTTGAAAAGGAGAATTCCTCCCTGAAGAGCTGGCTGGACAGGTGCGCGTCTGTTTGCTGCCCAGACACCAAACTTTTCTCTGCAGACAAAGTCAAACTTAGGAATGAGCTGCAGAACGTGCAGGTAAAATTGATGCGCCTGTCGCTAGGAGATGTTGCCTTACATGACATCAATGTTAACCATTCGTGCATCCTTCCAGGAGATGCAGGAAGAGACGCCGTCCTATGAAGTCCTCCTCCACGGCCTTTCCAACCTGCAGCTTTGTCTGCGTCCTACTGCACCAGAGACTCGTGTCCAGGAGCTCGACAATGACCTCCATCAACTTCAGACGAGATGTACCTCTGTTAAAATTTGCATAACACAGAGGTATTTTTCATGAAATATGATTTATTTAGAGATATTCAAACCTTTGAAACATGACTTTCGTTTTTAAATCCAGGTTTAAGCTCCTGGAGATGCACTTGGATCAGCTGGAGCAGTTTGATCAGACCCTTTTAACCGTGAGACAGAGGAGTGAAAAAGCCCTGTCTGGCCTCAGAAGCTCCTTTTGTGTTGATATTTCAAATCTGGATGCTGCGAGTGCTAAACTGCAGGTGTTAAATCCATCATTTGTTTCTAAATGATACGTCATTTGCATGTTTATTTAGATTTTTTAAAACAGTGATATTATGTGATTTCTGTGGAAGCTTGCTTGCATGTGTTTAACTGCATGAACTTGCTGCAGGAGAATGAGACACAGCTACAAGAGAATGCATCGCTGATAGAAACTCTGCATCAAAGAGAATCGTCGCTGCTTTTCTGTTCCACCGCCGAGGCTCAGCAGCAGCTACAGGCCTGGAGGGAGGACTGCTTACAGCCCCTCAGCGAATCCCAGCGTCTCCTGCTCGTCCGTAAAGAAAGCTTGATTGAATTAAAGACTTTCCTTGAGAAATACGAAGCAGCGGCAAAGGTCGTGCGTCGCCTCCATGAAGCGGTGGAAGGCAGGGGGAGCTGGGATCACTCCAAAGCTGAAGAACTACACTGTGGGTTAAAGGAGGTAGCTAAGGATGTGGCCCGACTTGAAGCCGAGGCAGTCAGGTTAGACGGGCAGCTGAGCAAGGCGCATCTGCATCTGTGTGGAGCTGGAGACGCTAGCCATCCTCAGGACAGGACATCCTGCAGAGGACAGGCAGCGGCCCTCACCGCTTCTCTGGAGGAGGCGCAGAGGGCCGTTGGGTGGAGACAAAGTGAAGCAGATGCTCTAGGGGCCCTGTGGTGCTCCTTCAGAGAGAGAAAGGAAGAGGTGATGAAAAATTTGGAGAAACTAGAGGAAGATGCAAGACGGCTAGAGGCAAGAGAGTGCACTGTGCTGGCATTTCAAAACAGGTATGGACATTTCATACACTGACTAAAATAACTACAAATATTCTCTCTGATGCTTATTTTAATCCTTTTGTTGGATTAGTAATCCCTTTTAGATCTGTCTAAGGAGCTAAATACAAAGCACGGTCGTTTTCACTACAAAGCAGCATCTTTTTATCATAATGAAAGCTCAGATCGATTGGACTCAGAACCATCTACACTTTCCTTTCTAAAGCAGAGAAGACATTTTGTTTGAGTTAAAAAAACCACATTTGAACTTAATTTTTGTCCATTATGTGAGATTTTTCATGCCAAAATCTGGAGCGCATGCTGCCAAATTACTGACGCCAGACGCCCAGATGGAGAAATTTATTTAAATTCTAAACAAAAAAAAGGATGCATTTCGTTAGACTGGGGCAGGTAATCCTCATTGTTTTCTTGTGGATGTATTTCTCCCAGGCTGCGTTTCTTTGTCCAGCTGGAGGACGAGCTCCAGTCACTGCAGCACTCCCAGCGATGGTTGGAAGAGAAAGGGAAGCAGCTGGCCCAGAGAGACGGCGAGCTGGCAGCAGAAGCTCTCAGGGAGGTGTCGCTGGTGAAGACAGCCTGGGACGACGTGAAGACGCTGATAACCAATAGGTAAACCATAGAGTTGGTGATTTAAAATAAAATCAGCTCTGTTGTCATCACCTGTTCTGGCCTCCGTCTCCATCTGCAGTCAGGAGCAGAGTGGAGTCGTGGTGGATCTTCTCCGCTTATTCCTCCACTTGAAGTCGATCCTTGCTGCTGTGGTGGAAAGCGCTCAGGCTGTAGCTCACAATCTGCCCGACCACAATCATAACACTCAGGACGCCCGACGTGCTTTCACCCAAGTCAGTAACCCTGGATTTATGATAGAAGTTATTGTTAAAATGTACGTTTTTGAAATTAACGAGTAACATTTGTCTCTCTTATTGCATTTCTAAACATGTTCTAAATTCTTTCATTCATTAAAGGGACACTATGCAGTTTTGGCTTGCATTTAGCACCCCCTAGTGTTCGTTAGTGAAAGCAACTCGGAAACTGTGCAATCATCTTTTTAACACCTTAATCTAAAAGTTGCATAGCATGCCTTTAAACGTATTCAGATTCCTTCTGTAATGAATCAACTATTCAGTTATTTCATCAGCTCATTATTAAAAATCATCATTAATCCATGAGATTGTTTTCTATCAGTAAACCAAGGATTCTTTATATTTAATGTTTTTTGTTTAGTTTTCTGTCTTCTCAAGTGACAAAATAAAGATTTTTAACCTCGCTGTTTGTGCCGTTTCCCTCCCTCTGGTGGCGGCTTGCTGTCATCGCCTCTTCTCTGCAGCACAAACTCCTCCAAGCTGAACTGAGAGAGAAGCAGGAGGACATGGACCAGCTCATCTGCACAATTGAGGACCTGCAGAGAGAAATGGAGAAGGTGCCTAATTCTGACATGAGCTCCATTCAGAAGGAAACGGAAACTCTCAGGGACCAGTGGTTGTTGGTGAGTGATGCTTCAGCACATGCACATGTTGTTTTTTGTTGTTGTTATCCCTACAGAGGCAGATATAATCCAATTGATTTGTAAAATTACAGAAAATGGTCACATCACAATGTGAAATCTTAAGTGGAATATGTAGTTCACACTCTTCTCTGCCACAAACCCGAGCTATTCTTCTTTTTTGCATTCATTTTACAGGTTTTTCCTTCTTTTTGTGCATCTTCTCCTAGTTTAGGGTCTAGTTTTCTCCTCAGCTGTCACAAATGAGACAGAAAAATCCAAACATGTCTAGACAGGTTATCTTCTTCTCTATCTTCCCTCATTTCTCACTCCCACATCTGTCAAACTAATTATGCCTCATTTTTCCTCCACCTCCCTGAAAAACGTACCATCCCTTGTTGAAGAGCGACAGAGGCGGCTAAACACAAAGGAGGGTGACCCTTACTCTGCTGCTGATTGAGATGTTTTCTGTTCCACACTCAGGCTGCAATTTGTTTCCTTCCTTCAGGTTTCAGAGAAGATTCAAACAAATACAGAAAGACTTGGCTGCTGCGTTGAACTCTGGGATGACCTGAAGGCCATGGAGAAGGACATCAACCAGTGGACAAGCACCTCCGTTGCCGATCTCAGCGATGCCGTCTCCAGACTTGGTGATGGAGATTCTGCAGAGACTCAGCTCGACACCTTTCAGGTCAGAGCAGGCAGGGTGGCGATGATAGAGATGTGGTGCTCAGAGAGGTGTTGGTGGATGTGATTTAGATGTCTCACACTTTGATCTGTAGGCTGAGGTGGAAAAGAGGGAGCAGAAGCTGGATGTTCTGCAGGAGAGAGTGGCAGAACTGAAGGAACAAGCCAAACTGCAGGAAACGCCGATTCAAATGCAGGTGAATGAAGTTTATTTTACATTTAAATGGAAATGGATGAAAGTGAAACAATGCATTTGTTTTACAATGGTTCTGATTTTGTCTAACCAGGTCCTGGAGTCAGAGCTGAGGAAGAAAATGTTCCATGCGCAGGAGGTGTACAACCAGGCCAAACACACTCTGACCTACTTCAACTTCCAGAAGCAGCGACTTGAAGATCTCATGGCCCAGATGAGCGAGCGGCTGGAGGCAGCTGAGGGCTCCTTAGTGGACCTTTCTGAAGGATCTTCTCTTGAAGATATTCACACAGTTAAGGTATTCCTGCATCACTGTTTACATTTAGTTATCTTTATGGAACATAGAACATTTTTAGCTGTAACATTATGATCATCCATCTTTTCCTGAGGGATTTACACAGATGTAAGATCAGTTTAGCTTTGAATTATGACATCTTGTTTACTGGAAACTATTTTTTTGTTTTATAATGATTTATTAAATCAACACTAAATAGGTGTCTCACTTCTCCCTAATAGTGAAAGCAGAATTACAACTTTTGTACAATACTGTCCTGCAGCCTGCCGTAGCTACCGCTAACAACGAGCAAATGCTAACACAGGCTAACTGATACTAAATAAGTCAAAAGATCCATTCTGTTGGACTAAAAACATATTACTTACAAGTGCAGTAGCAACAAAGCCAGGTCACCATCAGTCCATGTTTTTGTAGCAGCCTTTTGTTCCCTTAAATGAGCGTTGGCCATGTAGATGATCACTCTGGTTTTAGGTCCTGGCACATTAAACAGCTGTTGCTGTGAACCAGGAATATAGCTCCCACTAGTGTTCCTACCCTATCCACAAAACTGTTAAGTATGCTTTGTGGTCACCAGAGGGCTACAGAGTGCTGTCCAATGTGAAGCTGCTCAAGTTTCTGGCTCAGTAATCACTGAAAAAACTTTAAAGCAAAAGCTTCAAGTGTTACGAACTTGCTAGTGTTACTTTAAAGTGAGGGTCAGTGCATCGGTAGAGATGTCTTCCCTCCACACTTCTTGTCAGGAAAACGCTTCTGAAAGAGGCATCGCCTGGCGGACCGAGAGAGCGGCACTGAGGCATTGATAGACCGCACCCCCCTCAACCCCCCCGAGTGTGCTGTCTCTCAATCAGTTTCTCTATTTAAAAACGGGTTGTTAACGAGCGTGTGCACGCAAGCACGCACACACACAAGACTTACCACTCAGGAGAAAAGCAGACACATACTCTGCAGCATTCTGGAGGATTTCCTGTTAACCGCGATCATTAGATGAAAAGGGGAGGAGGGCATTTTATTCAAGGAGGCGAGCGGCTCCCAGCGCTAATGTGTCAAATCGGCAGGTGGGTGGCTGAGCCAATGATTATTGGTGATAATGATTATTTCTGATTATCATCGGTCACCCTGAGTTTTTCATGCAGGCTGAACATGAAAATAGTCTCCTACACCTATCTCCTGCAATAGCTTCTGATAGAAAATAGACAGTGAAACTCTAGGATTTGAAAAGCCTGACAGATCCACATCACACTGTCACTTAGCACTAGTGGACTCACCCATCTTGACTCTCAATGGGGAAGACTGTTGTTGTATTAGTGTCCAGGAAACAGCAGACAACATCTCGGCTAGTAGAAGCTAACCGTTAGCATTAGCGACTTCACCACATGGCGGAACTCCTCCAGGCTCGCTTAATTGTAAAGATAAAACATTCATGTTGCAAGTCAGAGGTAGAGCTGTGCTGCTGTTATCCAATCTGGGACAAGATGTCCAAATATCAGGAAACAAGACTCCCAAACCTGCCGTCTGAAGCTCAGCTGTGGTGTGGGCAACTTTAGTTCCAAGAAATGGTGCACTGGTATATATTTTTTCCCACTGAGAACAACTTACAAGGCATTCATTCCTAATACAGACCACTGTAAATGTTCTGATTAAACAAGTGATCTACACCTTTTTAGTAGAATCTGACACTGTCATACATTCTAGAAGTCATCCATCTCTCATTGACAGCAGGACAGACGTCGGACCTCACCATGAAACATCTTGAGTGGTTTAGATGCAGAAAATCAGTTACAGATGTAAAGATTTAACACAGAGATATCAGCCCACCTCTCTGTTCTAGTAAACACCAACATGTTATGGTTCTGAACTCTTTATTTTTTCTTGTTTTCCATTAAAGAACCTGCAGGGTGTTGTGCAGCAACAGAGGGCTGACATGGACTCAGCCAGAGATGCTCTGACTTCCCTAAGCAGATCACATCCATCTCACGAGTTGTCACGCCTCTCCTCTGATCTCACCTCCATCGCCAAGCGAACAGAGGCTGTTGCTCAACGCTGTGCCAAGACCAGAGGCAGCCTGCAGGATGGACTACAGCTCCACTTCACCGGTAAGTCACGTGACCGATGAGTCTTCATTTCTAGTGTTTATCAGAAGCTAATAGCATAAGAGCAGCGTGATTTATTCTTAGAGTAAGTAGAGGCTGGAACTTATTCCCAAATGAGGAAGAATTAGGCTCCTAACAGTGCTTAAAATCTCCCCCACCCGATCAAACATTGTACAGTCACACAAAGGCAGCGTAATCCACTCATGTTAGTAATGCAACAGATTTGCTGTTGATTAGCCCTCGTTTTTCCCCAGAGCGCACTCAGTCCGCCCACAACAACCCACACTCCATCCGCACACACCGTCAGGTGCGCTCATGCACTCTCGCTGCTCCGACACACACCTGTGCCTCAGAGTGAACGCCGCTCTCATTGCATCTGCTCTCAAGAGAGTCATTTCGGGCTCGTTGCCAAGGCAACGCAGCACTGAACAGTGTGGACACGCCCACACTTCCCATCTGCCACGGCGCATTACCTCTACTTCTCCTCGTCAATCCGTTAATTTTAAAAATCATTGCAGTTTTTATTTGTCCCCTGATTTTCCTTAACATGTTGGCAAATTCGTAGTCTGCTGATCTCTCCTCCTTTTCTTAAACTAGAGCTCGTCCAAGACTTTAAGTCCTGGCTTACAGATCTGAAGTTGGACCTGAAGGACTGTTTTAACCAATCAGGAGATGTTGCCGTCCTCGGAGCCAAGTTGCAAAGACTGGTACGTTATCTGTCACAGTTCATTAGTGCTATGTTTCACACAAATTATTATAAATTTGGGGGGAAAAAAAACATATTATACCTGCTTGCCATTTAAATTTATCAGTGTCACTTGTACTGGATTAGCAAAACAAACCTGCATTTTTATTATGTTAAATATCTTACAGATGGAATACTTTTTAAACAACTTTTAGTTAATTAATATTCTACCTTTAAAAATAATACAAATTTAATGCCAGAATAAGTATACCATTGTGTGTTTTCTTAGGTTGCATAACTATCAACATTATTTATTTAAAGCAACACTAAATAAGTTTCCTGCTCCTACTGGTTGAAAGTGGAATTACAACAGTTGAGCCCTTCTGCAGCCTGTTGTAGTTAGCGCTAACGAGCTAAAGCTAACACGCGGCAACTAATACTAAAATAAACCACAAAGTAAAAAGATTCAGTGCTGAACAAAAAATATTATTACTTACAAGTCCAGTAGCAACAAAGCCAGGTCATTATCAATCTATGATTTTGTAGCCTTCTTTAGCTCCCTCAAACTAGTCTAGGCCACGCTGATGATCACTCTGTTGTTAGCTCGTTGCTTCGCCTCCCAAAACTTTACTCTCTTACTTTGACTTCTAGGCTTCAGCATGAGGTAAAAAAGCAAAATTATTTTTCTTCTTGTGCTTTTTGACTGTTGGTTACATGAAATGGTTAACTGCTAGCATTTTTGATCTAATTCTCTCTAAAAACCTGGATTTTCTGTTTCTGACTGAAGTTTGGCAGCAAACATCTGATTATTCTGGTCTGATTGAACTTTGCCCGAGTGGTTATTCTTTTCTTAGCCAGCCCCGGGGTTCTGGTCATGGTGGAGGCCTAGCTGTTGTTTTCAGAGACCATCATCCATGTAGCTCTACAACCTCTGGTCACTTTGCTTCCTTTGAACTGCAGCTGATTAAAGTCAGGCGTAAGGACCCGTTCTACTGTGCTGTGGTCTATCGTCCACCTGGTCCAAACAGTTCGTTCTTTCAGGAGTTTAATGACTTTCTATCCTCCACTATGAAGCTGTCCAGACTGGTGATTGTTGGTGATTTTAACATCCATGTTGATGATCCCTCTTATCACTTTGCCATGAATTTCTCCAGCCTTATGGACTCCTTCGGCTTTACCCAGCATGTTTCTGGCCCCACACACACCAGGGGCCACACTCTAGACCTTGTTTTTACCCTGAGTCTAAATGCTGACAGTGTTTGTCCTGAGGACGTTTATATTTCAGATCACCATTGCATTTTCTTTAACTTGTCAGTTTCTGCGTCCCCACCTTCTGCTCGCCGTATGGTTAGTTCTCGTTTTCTTAATGAGAGCACAGCTAGCAATTTTTCTCTTGCTTTTGCAGTTCTCTTGTTGGCTCTTCCTTCTTCCATCTCAGGAACATTGCTAAGCTGAGTTCCATTCTGTCCCGCTCTGAACTTGAGACAGTTCTCCACACCATCATCTCCTCACGCTTAGACTACTGTAACTCTCTTTTCACGTGTCTGAGCAGCACCTCCCTGAACCGTCTACAGGTGGTTCAGAACGCCTGTGCTCGGCTTCTGACCAAGTCCTCCAAACACACCCACATCACCCTGCTTCTCCTCCAGCTTCACTGGCTGCCAGTCAACTTCAGGGTTCATTTCAAGATCCTGGTTCTGGTCTATAGGGCCTTACATGGACAAGCACCATCTTACATTGGTGATCTTCTTAGTCCCTACACCCCCAGCAGGTCCCTGAGGTCCAGTGATCAAAGCCTACTGGTTGTGCAGCACCAGGCTAAAGACCAAAGGTGACAGATCATCTGCTGCTGTGGCCCCCAGACTCTGGAACTCTCTCCCCCTGAGCCTGAGATCAGTGGACTCAGTGGTCTCCTTTAAAAAGCAGCTGAAGACTCACTTGTTCAAGATGGCTTTTGTATGACCTTCTTCACCACTCTCTCTTTATTCTGCTCTCCCCACCTATTCCACCTTCCTCAGGATCCACTGATTTCCCTCTTTCCTATTCAATCTCTCTTTCTTAACATTTTTTTAATCACAATTGTCTATTTTTGCTCATTTTAAATATATTTTTAAACATTTTCTAAATGATTTTTTACGTTTTTACATTTTTTGTTTTTGTGAAGTGCCTCATGATTTTTATCTTGAGAGGCGCTCTAGAAATGATACTGTCTTCTTCTTCTTCTTTTATTAGCTACTAGCACAGTAAACAGCTGCTGCTGTAAAGCAGGTAGAGACCTCTCACTAGCGTTCGTACCGGAACCACAAAAGTTTTAAGTGCAGCTTATTGTCAGCAGAGGCTTACAGAGTGCTGTTCCATGTGATGTTGCTCGAGTTTCTACCTCAAGAACCATTGAAACCTGTTTGAAAGCAATAGCTTAAAGTGTTAAAAACTCTTTGGTGTTGCTTCAGATAATAATAACATGTCAGTTCTAATAGGAAATGTGTTCTTCTCCACCACAGATGTCACTTGAGCAGGCTTCAGAGGGTGAGGAACGTCTCTCTCAGGTTTGCAAGGAGGCTGAAACCCTCCAGCTTCATCTGAGCAAAGCTGCAGCAGCACAGGTCCAGGAGAACCTCACTTCCTGTCAGAGAGAGTGGAAACATTACCTGGACAGCTGCTCGCAGAGCCAACAAGACCTGCAAGAGAGCATTGAACTTCTGAAGAAGTACATCTTCACCCCTGTGATGTTTAACGTTTGTCTTTTTTGTTTCATTTTACTGAAAAGTTTTTTCCCACTTTTTTGTCCCATCTAACAGTTTTGATAATTGTGTGGAGAGAATAAAAGACTGGTTGAAGCAGCTGGATCTCAGCCTCAAGAGTGAGTTTGTTCTGGGGGCAGACGGCCAGAAGGGAGCCCCAGGTCCTTCAGAAGAACTGGACAGAATGGAAAAGCTCAATAAAGATCTGATAGCACAAAGGTTTGTTTACATGAGCGCCTGAGGGCATGCTGTTCGGGCTTTAAGATCTGCTGTTAAAGTCAGAGTGAAAATTCATTGTTTTCTTTTTTTTTCCCTCAGGGAGTCAGTGGAGTGTCTCTGTCAGGAGGCCCAGGCTCTGTCTGAATCCGGCCGGGGGTCAGGAGGGGAGGTAAGAGTCACAGGCCAGCTCCAGATGGAATATCAGACCCTGCTGAAGGTGGCCAGGGAGAGGCTCCGGAGCTGCCAGGAGAGCCAGGCATTTGGAGACACCCTCCAGGGAGTGTGGGCCTGGCTGGAGGAGATCCAAGAGCGACTGGGTACCGTTGACAGCACGATGGGAACGAAGGAGCAGCTGGAGCAGAGGCTGGAGGCTGTGCAGGTGAGAATTTAGCTGATTCTCCCTCGTGCACCCTTTTTTTTCTTTATTCCTCCTGTTGGAGTGTGAATCCAGCAGCACAGGAGGGGACTGTTTATAAAAATGTGTTTGCGTAGGACATCCTGCTTTTGAAGGGAGAAGGGGAGGTGAGGCTGAACATGGCGATGGGTAAGGCTGAGCTTGCTCTGCGCAGCTATGGAGCTGCTGGACAGGAAGTGGTCCGCTCTCAGCTACAGGAAGTGGAGGATGCTTGGGCCACGCTGCTCGTCACTGCAATGAGCTGCCATAGGTACCCCAATGGTCCCAGTTACTGCTAATCATCTCATTTTAAACATTCATAAGTTGAATCAAGGCATGCGCTTGTGTTTTGTTACGTCCAATGTAAACCTTTTTGCTTCAACCATTCTGGATTCCTCCTTTTTTCTCATGTGCCATTAAAACATTTGCCTCACCAGTGCTCTCACCAGGGAGCCTGCTGTTTTCATTATGATAGATTAGGTGTCAGTCCTATTAATTACCATTAAGATAAATACATAATGAGACCTATTTGTCTCTTCTCTAAATCTGATTGATCTGTCTTCTGTGTGTGTGTGTGTGTGTGTGTGTGTGTGTGTGTGTGTGTGTGTGTGTGTGTGTGTGTGTGTGTGTGTGTGTGTGTGTGTGTGTGTGTGTGTTAAATTGAACAATTATGGCCCCTCCTAGGAGGCGAAAAATGGATCTCATTAGGGACTAAATAGTGGATGGCAAACAGTGGGTCAGACTCAGGGTGTGTTTGTGTTTTAGGGGGAAAGTGATAACAGGAGGTAAGGGGTAGCAGGTGAAAAGAGGGTGTGTGTGTGTGTGTGTGTGTGTGTGTGTGTGTGTGTGTGTGTGTGTGTGTGTGTGTGTGTGTGTGTGTGTGTGTGTGTGTGTGTGTGTGTGTGTGTGTGTGTGTGTGTGTAGGGGTAACAGATGGCTTGGAATAGATGGATGTGTCTGTTGATGTTTGAACTTCCTGATTAAAAGGGGATAAGGGAACTTGGCTGGAATTACCGACAGTTTTTATTTCACCTCCTTGTCAAGAGTCTGAAGATTAGACTGAGTGTGTTGGAAATATTTTCAGTATATTGGAGATTAAATTGTTTAGATCTATGTGGAGTTATGTGATTATCACAATAAAATATTTATTTGTTGTTCTGAACATTCTAGAAGTTCAGCTATAAAAATGGTCACATAGATTTCTACATGTTTGAACTGCATTATTATTATAATTTTGTCCAAGTCAGAAACAACAACTAGAGATTTTCTGTGTGATCTGCAGTCGATTAGAGTGGACTGTGTCACAGTGGGGCGGGTACCTGGAGAGCGCTGCCCAGCTGCAGAGTTGGATGGAGGTAGTCAAGCGGGAGGTGTGTGCTCCTCTCCCACCTCAGCCTGGACCCAGAGAGAAAGCCTCCCAGTTAGAAAGACTTCGAGCCCTGATGGCCGACATGGAAGACCACCAGATGACGCTGTCCAGTTTGGAGGAAAAAGCCAGAGAACTTTTTAAGAAGACCGGAGATGCCAGCTTTAACAACTGTGCTCGCACGCAGCTGCAGCTGCAGTTTGATCACCTCTCAGCTCTGGTGGAGGTAAAAGGAATATTCTGCAATCCTCCCCTCTAAAATGAGCTGTTTTAAGGAAATTTACTTTCATTTATCCACTTATTTTTGTAGGAGAGAGTGCATCTGGCGCAGACGGTGGTGTTGGAGCACCAGAACTACCTGGAAGCTGTTCGAGAGCTCACTGATTGGCTGATGGCTTCAGGGGAGGAGTTACAACACTGGTCAGATACATCAGGAGAGTCTCCCTCCATCAGGAAGAAGCTGTCAGAAGTGAAGGTAAAGAAGCCCTTTCAAATATGAAGAAATGTCCAGAAATTTCACATTCATTTGCAGCTAATGCATATTAAATGAAAGACACTCACTGGCCACTTTACTGGGTACACCTTGCTAGTACCCGGTTGGACCCCATTTGCCTTCAGAACGTCCTTAATCCTTTGTGACATCGATTCAACAAGGTAATGGAAACATTCCTCAGAGAATTTGGTCCATATTGACATGATAACGTCACACAGTTGCTGTAGATCTTTCTGTGAGTCTCCCGTTCCACCACATCCCAAAGGTGCTCTATTGGATTGAGATCTGGTGACTGTGGAGTACAGTGAATTCACTGTCTTGTTAGAAAAACCAGTCTGAGATGATTCCAGCTTTATGACATGGTAAATTATTCTGCTGGAAGTAGCCGTTAGAAGATGAGTTCACTGTGGTCACAAAGGGATGGACATGGTCAGCAACAATACTCAGGTAGGCTGAGGCGTTGCAACGATGATCAATTAGTACTAAGGGACCCAAAGTGTGCCAAGAAAATGTCCCCCACACCATTACACCACCACCACCAGCAGCCTGAACCGTTGAGGCAAGGCAGGATGGATCCATGCTTTCATGTTGTTGACGCCAAATTCTGACCCTACCATCTGAATGTTGCAGCACACAACATTCTTCCAGTCTTCTATTGTCCAGTTTTGGTAAGCCTGTATGAATTTCAGCCTCAGTTTCATGATCTTAGCTGACAGGAGTGGCACCCGGTGTGGTCTTCTGCTGCTGTAACTCATCTACCTCAAGGTTCGACGTGTCGATGCTCTTCTGCACACCTTGACTGTAACAATTGGTTATTTGAGTTGCTGTTGTCTTTCTATCAACTGGAACCAGTCTGGCCATTCTCCTCTGACCTCTGGCACCAACAAGGCATTTTCACCCACAGAACTGCTGCACACTGGATGTTTTCCCTTTTTCAGACAATTCTCTGTAAACTCTAGAGATGGTTGTGTGTGACAATTAGTGATGTTACCTGTGACACGCAGGATTCGAAGCTTGTATCACCAAAACGAACCAACGCAGAGCAAAGCACTGTTTCGGAGCTTGATTTGTTTACTGAAAGTCACGTGACCAATGAGCAACAATGCTTCATTCACCCTTCCACCCACTTGACCGCTTCACACGTTGTTTCAAACATTTAAAGCAACGCAAACCGAGAGGCGCAGGTTTATGGCAAGCCAAATGAGCATTTATTCTGATATCAGCCAGAATTGTCATGAACATGTAAGCCATTTCTGTCCACTAGTTAACTAGTTAGCCATGTTTGTGTCAACTAGTTAAATAGTAAGGCCTAAATTCTCTCTAGTTAACTAGTTAAAATGTTTCATATCTTACTAGTTAACTAGTATTGCTCAGTGTGTTCACTAGTTAACTAGTGCGCATTTATGTCTACCACAAGTTAACTAGTGTGCACATTTTGACCCTCACTAGTTAACTAGTGAGACAAATACCTTCAAGTAGCTGACTGGTATGCATTTCTGCTTTTACTAGTTAACTAGTGAGCAGTTTTTGTGTCAACTAGTTAACTACTGAAGCCTAAATGTGTTCACTAGTTAACTTGTGCACATTTCTGCTATCACTAGTTAACTAGTGGGCACATTTTCACCCTCGATATTTAACTAGTTGACACAAACATGGCTAACTAGTTAACTAGTGGACAGAAATGACTTACATGTTCATGACAATTCTGGCTGATATCCTGATATCAGAATAAATGCTCATTTGGCTTGCCTTACATGTTTGTATGACCTGAGATTGACGGTTCAGGATTCAGGATTCAGTGATTAAACACCGAGTCGCAAAAATGGATCCTGTAGCAAAAAGAGGGCGTTCTGAGATGTGGGAATGTTTCAATTTAATCTCTCCAAATAAGGTTTGAAAATGTATTTGGTCTAGTCTAGTAAATTACCTTTATAGTAGTAATACTTGGTGCATATTGTAGGGCTATATCTTTTAGACCGTCTGTCATTTTCCTTTAATTAAATTAAAATCTAGTTTGGTATGATTTTTCTTCTTTTATTGGTAATTAATATAATAGTTGATGAGCTTTTCAGTTTGGTTGTACGTGTAATGGAATTTAGTATGTCCTATCCTTATGTGAATTTTCTAATCTTCATTTTGTTACTCTTTTTCTAAAACCGATACATAAATTGAGCTAATTATTCCTGCCTAATAATCCAATAGAAATGTGAAAAGTAAAATATTTGAATATGTAGAGAATGTTAATATGTGTAAATTAGATATATTTCATCACGTATCCCATAAAAATAAACATTGTTTCATTTCAAGTATTCACACCAAGAAAAGCAATTTTAGTACATTTAATGTAATGTTCAAATTCAAGATACTTTTATTATGTGATCCTGAGGAAGCTTTTTAATGCTTTATTTGTCCATAAAGTTCAATACACCATTCATTTTCAGTAGAATTGGCTGACAATACAATGAAATACAAACATTTACCAGTAGATGTCCTCACAGAGTTTTGAAGCATCGAACCTTGAACCTTTTTTCAATACAATTGGATTGTAAAGCTTTGTTGGTTCAAAAGGCTTCACATCATCATCACTAGTGACAATCCCAGAAGATCAGCAGTTTCTGAAATACTCAGACCAGCCCGTCTGGCACTAACACCCAGACCACGTTCAAAGTCACTTCACTTACCTTTCATCCCTCGTTCTGAAGCTCAGTTTGAACTTCAGCCGATCATCTTGACCATGTCAACACGCCTAAATGCATTAAGTTGCCACCCTGTGATTGGCTGATTAGTAATTAGCGTTAACGGGCAATTGGACAGGTGTATCCAATAAAACTTCTTTCCAGTGTTTCTCTTATCCGATGGCACCATCTAGTGGCTGAAAAGCATATCACACAAAAAGCTCTGTTTAAGATCGCGACTTCACGTTTCTGTTTAGTTATGTGCTTCTGTAGCCGACAAGAACGTGTTCTCATATATTTATAATTTACAGACTTTCTTATCCATGACACGTTCATCAACTCTGCATCAGCCGAGGTATTCCTTAAATTTGAAGCAAGTAAGCAGTAGTCTAACGCTATTGGTTAGTTCTGGTCGGCGCTCAGGTTCCTATTGCACGGAGCTCTGCGGGGCAGGGGGCGTGCTTAGCAAAAAAATAAATAAAAAATAGACGTATTGCTTACATTTTATCACAGTACATGATGAGACAATCGCTTTTACGGATTTCTGACAGATTACGCATCATTTCTGAAACGTAAAACCTCCAGAAAGCAGCTTTAAAGTGGACAGTGAGTGTATAACAAGTGATGACATAAGAATGGTTATTTTTATTTATTTATTTACCAAACGAGGGAGTAGAGTTAACTCAAAGTTATTAGTTTTTGGCAAAAACCTAAATTTTCAGGCTGATTTATGATCACCTGGAGCACTTACCTGATATGGTTTAAGTTTACTCAGCAGCAGTCCTGCTTCACCCACCACCTGTTATACTTGTTAAAGCACCTTTTCCTTCTATAATCAGTTTCCAGATGCTTCTCCATAACAAACCACCTGGGATGTCATATTGCCACAATCTCTCTCTTTTTTGATGCAGTTTACTCCTATTTCTCTGCATTTAAAAAAAGGTAGAGATTATTTTAAAAAGCAGCATTTTGCACTTGCCACCCCTTAAATAATTCTGCAATCACAGCGGTGAGAAACAAATGTGAGGGGAGATTGATTTGCATTTGGATTTTACACCCGGGTCTTAATTATCACATCTATAAATGTGTGTTTGCAGAGATATCGAGTGAAGAGACGATTTGATGTCTTGCACATACATGGTTACTGCTGATAGGCGTCTATTCACACACATGAAATGGTCGGATGCTCTTTTCATCACGTTCAACATCTCTCAAGCGTTTGCTTTTCTCATCTGTAAGTGCTGCATTAGGAGTGGAGGGGGAATCCTTTATTAGAACAGAAGGACACAGGATGAGTTAAGATTGAAACATAAAGAGGAAAAGTGATGGAGAAATACAGAAAAGTACCAGGCTGCACATCCAGAGAGGGGCTATTTCCTTCACCACGGTTTCCGTAGCAACTTCGCCTCTTGTCTAATCGGTACAGGAGAGCGTCAAATGTCGACTCCTGGAGGGCCGAGAGCGCCTCAGCCGGGTTCGTCGTAATGCAGCGACCACAGCGGAGCACACGGCGGCTGGCGGCTGCGAGGCCATGGATCGGCAACTGGGGGCACTGTCGCAAGCTCTGGAGCAGTGGGAGGGGGCCGCTCTGAGGGCCAGGGATGGCCTAGAGGGGGCCCTTGCTGCTGCGGAAGCTTCAGAAGAGGAATATGAACGTCTCAGCGCCTGCCTGGAGGACAGGCTGAAGGAGTTTGACAGACGTCTGAGAGGGTGGAGCCAGGAGCTGATGAAAGCTGAAGGTCGGAGCAACGGCAAGGAGGCGGTGGAGGGATGGAAGCTGGCCAAGGTAAGAACGTAAATATATGCAATCATAATGCTGGCATAAATATATCATTTAGGAATACTAGTTTACTTAGAAATGATAAAAAATTCATAAAAGTGGGATGTGGGACGTGTCAGAGTAAGTAATTAGCATCGTTTAATGGACACACACGCACACACACACGCACACACACGCACACACACGCACACACACCCACGCACGCACACACACGCAAAGCTACCCTTTCTCGTCAGTAATTATCCATTCTGTTCCTAAATCCTAAAACAGATTAGTTTGTAAATCAGCTTTACTGGAGGAACAGAGTGACAGCTCCAATCCCGTCACTTTCTCCAGTTTTCTGATTACCCTGCCTCCTCTACCCCTCCCTCGTTTTGTTTGTATTATTATTTTTCACTATCTCTCCTTTCCAAGCATTCCCCTTATTGTTTTTATTCAGTTTTCCCTCTGCCGGGGTTGAAATTAAGCGAGCGGGTTTGTTTCTTTTGGCCCTTGAAGCTCGTCTCCTTCACCTCCCCCTGCGGCTCGGTCACTGACCTCCACAGGATGTTTACGGAGTGACATTTCTTTTGATTGTTAAGTCTGTGCCCGCCTGGTCCACCTCGCTTTCCTCCTTAGGCATCTTCGCTCATGCTTTTCTCCAGTTTTCCCAATTTGGGGCTGTCAAAGAACAGAGGAGGAGTTTTCTCCTCCCTCCTCTGCTCCTCCTCCTCCTCCAGCCTGTTTCCTGCGTCCGGCTGTGTTTTCATTGCGCGCTTGTTTGTGTGCGTTTGAACCAACTCTGTATCTGCGATGGCTGACAGCTGAATTCCACTGGGAGAAAGCATAGGAGAGAGGGAGGGGGTAAATGTGTGAGAGGGAATAAGTCGAAGGAGAGAGGAGGGGAGAGAAATTAGAACTACGAGGAGGAAGAGGAGGGAGAAAAGGAGAAGAGAGCAACGAGTCCAGAGGAGAAGGGAGGGAGGGCTGTTTAATCGCTGTACGTCAGCGAGGGAGCAAATGAGTGAGAGTCAGAGCTTGTCCATATTTCATGGCAGAAGATTTCAGGCAGAATGTGAGGCAGAGCGGGAGAGCGCTCTCCACAGCTCCTTCCTGTCACGCTCCTCGAAGAACAGCAATGCTATTGAACAGGCAGCACTGTGAGTATGTGTTGGAGCGTCGTGAACGTATGTTTGTTAGACAGAAAACCACTGGGTGTGAATAGGAATGCACTGATTGGAGAGCGACTCTCCTAAACACACAGACTGAGCCGCCGCTTTTTGTTTGTAGGATATTCTGGAGGGCTTGCAGAGCGCCGAGCCGATGGCAGAGAAGTTGAAAAGCCAGCTGAACGACCTGGTGCAATACTCCAGGGACCTGGGCTCGCAATCAGACCGGGTCACGGCGCTTATCAAACAGCACAACAGGTGAGAGGAAGTGTAGAGAGCAGAAATGTGTGTGTGCATGTTTCCACAGCATCAGGAGGATTCATCAGAGAAGTCATCTGAATGATGAGTGCAAAGCATCTAGATGAAAAACCCCTCCTGCCTTTTTTTAGCTCCATGTCTGCTTTCTAAATCATGTTATTGGTGCAGCTTAATTTATTGTTTTTACCAGTTTTTCCCCCATGCAAGCTAAGTTTTGCAGCTCTTCTGAAGCATTAGAAATAGAATGGATGCATTTAATAAAAGACAGAATAAATGACAGAATAAACACTGGTTATTGATGCACCAGCCCTAAGAGTTTCTTTAAATTGACTTCATGCTGACTCGATGGATCCAGATGACATGTTTCACACTCTTGCTTCTTTTAGGAGTGTTTGCATTTAGCCATCAAATAAAGGTGTGAAGTGTGTCAGCCAGGCAGAGGTGAAAGGTGAAAGGAAGAAGCAGAGGCGCTGGTTGCTAAGCGACATTTCATCACCTTCTCTCACCTCTGTTTGTTCGGTGTTCTTCTAAAATCTGATTTCATTCAAGGATTTGTGCTGTTTGTAAATGAAACGTGCTTTAGCTTAGTTACGTAGCTCTAATTGCTTCGTTTGAAGCCACAAGTGGTCCTGTGTGCGTTTGCTGAGTGCTTGTTTGTGAACGCGCTGTCAAAAGAACAACAGAGCATACATAACAGGAGCATCCATATTAAATACCTCAGAATGATTTCCATAGCAGCGCTGATAGATTGGAACTGTTCTGCAATAAGACTTTTGTCTTTGGTGTAGATCTTAAACAAGGTCAACTTTGGCATTTAATTGGCTTTGGGAGCTGATTGGCAAAGCAGCCCTTTTTCTTCGTTATTTTGCTTGTCAGTCTGACAGAGACTTGGCCTGTATGCACTCTTTGCACCTGCCCTGCATTAAGTGATGCAGAGAGAAAAAAGAAGAGGAGAGGAGATGGAGGAGGAGTAACTTTCCCGCCCATCGTTGCAGATTCCAGATTTTGCCTGTCACAGCAGAAAAAAATGCTTCTGCTGTCCTGATTGTGTTTGTCCTCATCACAGTTCTAAAACTCAAGGGTGTGTGTGTGTGTGTGTGTGTGTGTGTGTGTGTGTGTTTGTGTGTGTGTGTGTGTGTGTGTGTGTGTGTGTGTGTGTGTGTGTGTGTGTGTGTGTGTGTGTGTGTGTGTGTGTGTGTGTGTGTGTGTGTGTGTGTTTGTGTGTGTGTGTGTGTGTGTGTGTGTGTAATCAAGTGTTTGTGTGCTTCTCTTGTTTATGACCCTCTTTAGTTAAACTGCTGCCCACTTCATTTTCCTCCCGCCATCCTCTGATAACCCTCTCTCTGCACTGTGTGTGAAAAGCATCAGCTCCTGCCTTATTTTACAACTTTATTTACAACCTAAAATAAAAGAAACCTTTATGTTCTTAAGCGCTAGTGCACTTAATGCGTATTAGTTTTTAGGAGGAATTGTGCAAAAATATTCTGCAGGTTTTGTTGTTTTTACGCCAAATAATCATCTAAAAAAACTTTCAGTTTTGCAATTTTGCATTATGCCACACTTGATGGCTTAAATTCCACAACTGTGATATTATTTTTGTCTATCTCTAATAAATACGCATTTGCACAGTTTCAGATGTGCAGATTATTTTTTGCACCATTGTGATTCTCTTGACAATCTGCAGCAGCTAAGTGGAACAAAGATGAATGAAATAATGAAATAACCAAAAATGGCATTCCATTAAATTTATTAATACCTCATCTGAAGCGTTAATAAAAAAAACTTCCTTAAAGGGATATTCAACCCAAATGTGAAATTTTGTCTGGCATATTACAGAGTTAGAAAATTGGGGAAAAACAAATTTTAACCAGCCCAGTCCTTGTCCTGACCCAGCAGTACTCCTTTAGCTTTAGCTTTGCATAAAACACAGTAAGTAAATGGGACCAACTAGCATCGTGAGAGAAAAAAAGTCCCTAAAATTTCTCAGTAGTGAACCCAATTCTGCTTGGTGACCTAAATTATCATACTGACTGCAAGTGAAAGTCTAAATTAACACAAAGGAATCACAGGTGTTATTTTAGACTTGAGACTACTTTATGACAGCTGTAAGCTTCTGCTGAAAAGTGCAAGGACATCATCACGCAATTATAACTGACGAGTCTTGCCGATCTCCTGAAATAGTCTATGACCACGTTAGCGTATGCTACTTCCAGGGCTCCTTTTCCTGTGTGATAGTCTCGCCCCGTTTACGGTCGGGTTTTCCATAAGAAGTCGACCAAATGGATGACGAATCAAGCGACGATTTACATTTCTCTGTCGGATTGGGTGAGTTTACACACACAAGCCGACAGAATAACTGCAAAACAAAGCTACCGGAAATACAACACTCTACATCCGGTCACAAAACAGAAAGTTGATTTCATGGGATTTACAACAATAATGGCAATGCTTATAATTGAAATTAGTCTTAGAAAGTTAACTTGAGTTACTTGATAAAATTATATTTCAGCTTTAGTAATTTCAATAGCAAAGGCAAACTATCGGATCAGGACTGGAAATCGGATCGGATTCGAAGTTAAAAGATCGGATCGGGATCCTAAAATGCTGATTGGGTCATCCCTAGTTTTTAATCCTTTGTCATTATTCGTTTTATCCTGCTAACAGTAGTTTTTATTGTGTGAAAATATCAAAATAATTTAGATGAGAATCAAAAATAAATTCCTAAAACAAAGGCTTCAAGGAATGAACGGTCCTTTTGTCTGTATAAGTTTTGTAATGATTGAGCAGACAGGAACCTCAGCATGTTGATGAGTTTCTCACCTTCTTAACGTTCCTTTTCCTTCATTTCATGGAAGCAGGCTGTCATGCCTCGTTGTCTCCATCATGTCACCCGGTGAACTTTTGCCTCTGTCATATGTTGCCTCTCAACCCCCTCCCACATCGTTCCCCTCTGCACCATCCCCCTCATCTCCCTTCTTGCCCCAGAGCTCATTCCTTCCACTTCACCCACTTTGCCATTTCTACACCTGCCCGTTTCTCACCATCACCAGGGCAGTTTGAACTTCACGGATCTGCAGTGTCTCTTTGTTTTTATGGGAAGTTGTTTTTTTTTAATTTATTTACTTATTTGCAACTGAGGGTTGAACCTGTGAACAGCCTCGTCAACGCTTTTGTTTCTTCGCTACCTGCAGTCTCAGTCTCCGTGCATCCAGAGAGTGTCAGAATAAGGAGCGCTTGTTGGAGCAGAGGTTCCGCGCGGCTCTGAGAGACTTCCAACAGTGGCTGGTGAATGCCAAAATCAGCACGGCCAAATGCTTCGATGTGCCACAGACCGTCACAGAGGCCTCTACTGCCTTGCAGAGAATACAAGTAAGATTTTTATATCAAAGACATCAATACACGTTATTTCTTTCATTGTTTTGTTTATGCTTTGGAAGCAGTGCCAAGTTCACATTTGATGTGAGCTATCAATCAGGTGGCATCAAGTCTTTTTTACCCTAATCCCATCCCTAAATGGTCATTACCTCCAGCAGCATTGATAGTGTGAAGATGGTGAAGCTGACTCTGTAAAGGCAATTCCTTTTTTATCTGCTCAGGTAGCTCTAAGAGTCTGAGTACACTGAGTCACTATTTATAAAGTAATGCTTTGACTTTATTGCATAGAATTGAAAAGTCGGGCAAAAGTTGCAGGTACAAAGAGAAGTGGAATGATGTAACGGCTGTGCAATCAATCCTCTTTCCATGAAAGGAGACTCAGTAGGCTAACTGTAAACATATTCACTCTCAAGTGTCCTCTTTTGGGCTTGTTGGGGGGACTGCTGCAGTGTGATGATACGGTGGGAATGGGCAGAGATAAAAAGGAAGCTCTAGTGTTGGTCTTTGTGCCACTGCCTTTAAAAATACCTCATTTTTCCTGAGAAATCTGTGTAGGACGATGGTAGGAACCAACCACTAGAGATACTTTTTAAAGGTGTGGAACACTGAAAAAACATTTAAAAGTTTTATTTCTGATTATTTTTGGTCAGTCTGAGTTTTTCATGCAGGCTGAACATGAAAATAGTCTCCTACACCTATCTCCTGCACTAGCTTCTGATAGAAAATAGATGGTGAAACTCTAGGAATTGAAACAGATCTACATCACACTGTCACGTAACATTCATGGACTCACCCATCTTGACTCATGACGGGGAAAGCTGTTGTTGGTTTAGCGTCCAGGAAACAGTAGAGAATGTCTCCGCTAGTAGAAGCTAACCATTAGCATTAGCAGCTCCACCGCACAGCAGAACTCCCCCAGGCTTGAGTTAGTAGTAAAGGTAAAACATCAATGTTGCAAAGCAAACAATCAGTGGTAGAGTTGCGTTGCTGTTAGCCAATCAGAGGCGAGATGTCCAAATATCAGGAAATAAAAGTCCAAATCCTTCCGTCTTAAGCTCTCCTCTGCTGTGACAATTTTCTAGTTCCTGAAACGGGTGCACCAGAGCTTTTGTCCCCAGAGTACGACTTACAAGGCATTCATAGAGACAACTGCAAATGTATTTATTAAACGAGTAAACCACGCCTTTAAGAAACCAAGCTAAATTTGTTCTTTTTCTGTATTTTGATGTTGTTAATGTGGACGCTCTCACCATCTAGTGGTGCGTTTTGAGCATTTCAACATGTGAGATATTTTCAAAAACAAACATACTGCGTTTAAGTCAGTAAGAACTTAAATTTGCTGCCGCAGTTTTGAGATTTTCATTCATCAGTGAACATAAATCTGATCAATGTTTATTTTAAGTCATGTTGCTTCAGGAGAAGTCAGTTCAGACTGTAAAAGAGTGATGGGTTTTAAAAATATATCATGTTTTTCCAATTCTGTTGCTGTATCGTTATATAGTAGAAGACCGAGCTGTCTGAGAAAAATTCTGGATTTTATCAAATACATTGAGCACAGAGAAACATGGAGGCAACCATGTTTTATTTATTATTGACTTGGTGAGGAATGTGGAACAATGTTTCCACACGGCTGACCTCCAGGAGGGCCAGCGTGGGAGGGGCGAGGGCATCCTCCGTGTCACTCTTAATTGGAGATATGTACTTAAATTTGGTGAATAAAAAAATGAAATAAAGAGAATGAATGAATGTGAAACAGACAGATACATGAGGGAGAGAAAAGAGAGTTTCCGTTTTGAAAGAAACTGGAGCTGTTCAAGTGATGTGCTGCCTGCACAGATGGTGGAGTGGTCCCCTCCTGCGCTACTGTCATCAGCTCAGCTTAAAGGGAGGGGTGTTTGTGTCTGTGTGTGTGTACATTATCACTGGGTGGGTACGGAGGAGTTAAGTAGAAACCAACATGTTTCATTTTCGTTGACTTTACTTATCTTTGATGTAAGACCCCTCGTTTTGCTCTTGCGTATTGAATTAGTAACGCATCAAATTACTGTTATTACCTTGTAAACGATGCTTAATTGCTGTGTAAACCAAAAGATTATTTTGCAGGTAATTTGCAAAAATAGTTTCATACAAAAAGAGGCATTAATTGGATAATGCAAACATACATATCCCCTGTACAATTGAATAAATTTGATCCTAATATAATGGATCTATGCTATAAGTGTAATAGACATCAGGGTACATTATACCATTGCCTGTGGAAATGTGAAGAGATTCAAAAATTTTGGATTTCAGTGTTACAATATATTTCTCAGATCACAACTTCCCCTGTACCACTTTGCCCTAAGTTATGTATTTTAGGCTTGTACCCAGATGACTGTACTCTGTCACGTGTGGAAAGAAAAATGATCGATCTTTGTTTGTTACAGGCCAAACGCTGTACTGCATTATGTTGGAAGAATGTTGGTTGCCCCTCCTTTAACCACTGGTTAAACAACGTAACATCGAGTTTAGCTCTGGAGAAACTGACTTATATTGTTAAAGAGAAGGCCTCTGAATTTTATAACATTTGGAAGATATTTCCGGATCTACTGAAGAGTGGGGATTTGGAGGGGGGTGAGGGGTGAATAATATAACTAGACAATGATGAATAATATCTGACGTGTTGTTGGGAATATAATGTGTAACCTAAAATTTATTTTATTTTATTTTATTTTATTTTATTAGTTTTCTTTTTTTTCTCTTATTTGCTGCATTGTTATCTTAAATTATTATTCACTTACCTTGAATCTGTTAGAATTAACATTTTTATTATTATTATTATCATTATTATTAGTATTTTAATACCTGCCATATGTACATTATATTTTTGTGTTGGATACTGTTGATGGAAGGGGGTAAGGGAAAAAAGGGGAAGAAAAAAAACAAATAAACATATGTTAAAAAAAAAAAGAGGCAGAGTTCACAAAGATGTTGAGGTTTTCATTCCATCGTCTTTTTGTGTGATTGTGTGAAATAGTCACAGCTCCTTTGTCTCTGCGCTTCCACACAGGAGTTCCTGAGTGACAGGGAGAATGGCCAGGCCAGACTGAGTACAGTCGGGGCCAGCGGGGAGCTCCTGATGGCCATAGTGTCCAAAGATAGAGTGGAGGGAATCAAGGCCAAGGTGGCAAATGCCAGAGAGGACTGGAAGAGCCTGATGAATAACCTGCAGATTAGAGAGGATGCTCTCAAGGTTGGTTTTAATTGGATTCTGTTTGATATAGCTGTGATAATAGAATGAATATTAATGTCTATTTACTCATGTCTGATTCAGTGCTGAAGTTTAAACCATTTTTTATTTCTTCACATTTTGCTTCTAAGCTGACAGGCGTCCTTAGAATCGTTTACAGTGGTGTTGATCTGAAATTCAACTTACTTTCTTAAAGCCATTAAGAGTTTTTATTTAGACCTAAATGAAACATACTATGCAAAACTCACATTTCACTTCCTTTTGTTGTTCTCTACTGCCGCTATAAACACTCCAAACATGAAAATAATCTGTCCTTCCATTTTCTGTCAATGTTTCAATTCAGGAATCATGTGCCTAAAACAGGAGTATTCAATTCTGGTGCCGGAGGACTGGTATCCAACACAAGTTAGTGGTTTCTCTGCTCCAACACACTTGATTCAGTGGTTGAATCACCTGTGCAGCAGCTCATCAGACTCTGCAGAAGCCTGTTAATCACCTGCTGATTGAAATCAGGTGTGTTGAAGAAGGGTTAAATCCAAAACATGCTGGATACCGGCCCTCGAGGCCTGGAATTGAATAGCCCTGCCTCACTGTGCACTTCCTCCAATTGCTGATGTCCATAGGGCGCAGTGGGAGTATTTGGATTGGGCCTTAGTGGGGAATGAGTGGGTGAGGCCAGTTTCAGCTATTTTTTTTTAGACAGAACCTTGAAACAGCTCATTCTGGAAGGTACTGAAAATATCAAGAATAAAACTGTTGCTTTATGAGGGAATTAGTGCAAAGAAATTCATAAACATGTTCTACATTGACCACAGAACTATTAAAACATCAGAAAAATGTTACATGTCTCCTTTTTAAGATCACTTCTGAAGATTAAAGAAAGCCCGTCTCATTGAAAGCAAGAGGGGCACAAATGAAGGGTGGATTTTTTAACAGTGCTGTGAAATGCTAAAACAATCTGTGAAAATGTAAATTTTATTGTGTCTACTGTTACTGTGTTGCATCCCCAGAACCTGCAGTCACAGATGACAGAGTTTGAGACCAGCGCTGAGCCGCTGCAGGAGTGGCTGAACAGCACAGAGGTCAAAGTTCAGGAGAGCATCGCTCGTCTGCACGACCTTCCAGCTAAGAAACAGGAGCTCAGCAAGTTACAGGTACTTCTGTCACCCTGGCACGTCCTCTCAGCTCCACCCTGCCAATGTGTTATCGTTTACATGAAACTACATGACTGTTTAAAATATTCTGATATTCATGGAGCCATCTGTTGGTTTTTGCATCATTTTTATTCCCACTCCAGGATCCTTTTTCCATGAAATCATCTCGCTGAGAAAGAGCTATTTACATTTCTTATCTGAGCTGCTATCTCTGGTATTCTCTCATTTCCTCCTTTCTCTGGAGGAAACCCTTGTCATTATAGCACAAAGTGAATATTAAGTAGGATTTTAAATTGTTACCTCTTCATCAGATATGAATCCCTTAAGTACAATTTTAAATCTACTGGGAATAGGGAAGGACCTAATTACATTAGTTGAGCACCACTGGATCAAAACAGAGCCGCATCTTGACACAATAGTCAGAGGACAAGTCCAGAAATCTAATTAATTCTCCTTCTGTCAACTCTGAAGTGGCTAAAAAGGGCTTTCCTTTTTTTTCTGGAAGTGATAACAGCTCCTGCCTTGTCTGCCAGACACAAGAAAGGCAAAGAGGCACAAAGCGGTAAAAAGATTAAACTGACAACAGAGGGGAAAAAAATCACACCCATCTCTGAGCTCCATCCTTATCACCGCAGCTATTTTTGTATTTCGCTGCAGCTCTCCCCATCATTGCCTTTTGTCTGGCCTACGACTGTAATTACATTTCTCTCCCCCAGCACCTGAAGTACAATACAATGCATGCAGGCTTCAGTGTTTGAACCTGTGTTGGCAAAATCCTCTTTATGCCCGCCCAGCATGTGCAGACCTGTGTTCTCTCCTTGCTCGGCACCACGGTGCCCAGCATATAACCACATCTCTGAACCAGAGGAGGAATACTGCTGATGCTCGGTATTTTATTCTCCTGATTTTGATCCACGTTCCGTTAATTGGCTGTTTTTCTTCTGCATTCAAACTCATAACAAGATAACTTAACTGCATCTTTAAAATGTCTTCTCTCTTTGTCGGTTGTCATTTTATTCCCTTCCTTAAACCTCTTCATTCTCTCATTTCCCGCCTAACGTCACATTACTTCTTCCTCTTGCTTTGTGCTGGTCCAGTGTGTGCTGGAGGAGATGGCCGGTCGGGAGGTAGCGCTGGGCAGGTTGAGGGAAAGAGCTCATCATCTCTGGGAGGGACAAGCGGCCGGCAAAGGTTTTGTGCACAGAGTATCTCAGCTGTCAGCTCAATATCTTGCCCTCAGCAACTTAACCAAGGTAACACTGCTCCCACCTGATAACCTGCATGTTTCTTCTGCAGCGCACTCGTCTTCATTCATCCCTTTCTGTATAATTCTTCTCGGTTGCTCTAATCTACTCTTCTCTAATTAAAAGATTGCCGATAAACCGTCTTTGCGGTTTCAGCCCGGTCAACATAAAAATGTCCTGGATATGGTAGCATACCTTTAGCCAGCAACGCTCAGCTAACATGTGAGAGGTGAAGCGTGTCAGGGCTCCTAACCATTTTTGAAGCTTTCATTTGGTCAGCCAGACTCTTACAATTCACTTGATGAATTGTGCAACAAACAACAGGCTGACCACTAAACACTTACCTCGTGGCAATGAAAGTAGCCGAGCTGTGATGAATGGCTTTTGTTTACCATCCAGGCTGAGCTGGAGAGCTATTTTTAGGCCTGCTTCTCTTAACAGACAGACTAACTTTGTTCCCTCTGCAGTTAGATGCTCAGATGAATTGGTGACAGCAAACTTGTAACGTGGGGGTGGAGGAGTCTCCAGAGACATCTGCTAGTCTAGTTTCAAACACAAACAGAACCAAATGAAGACACGGTGCACATGCACAGACTGTAATTCTCAGATCTTGTAGAACCAGTACAACATCTGAAGAGCGTGTTTACTCATATGCGCAGGACAAAGCCTCCAGGATCGAACGCATTGTCGGGGAGCACCAGCTCTTCTCTCAGGGGCTTAAAGAGCTTCAGGATTGGGTGTGTGAGGCTCAGAGGGTCATCAGCACCTGCACCTCCTCCACGACTGATAAGAGTTTGCTGGAGGACCGCATGCTGCGACTGGAGGTAAGAGGATGGGCGTCGCAGCCGTCTTTGAAATCGTTTACTTAAGAAGTAAAGAAGTAGATGGAAATGTGTGGATTACTTTTTGAATATTTCATCTCAAATCCATTTAGTGGTTTATAAAATGATCTTTAGAAAACACAGAACATTCTATCCTGCCTTTATGAGTTCAATAAAGTGTCAAACACAGCAAAATTATGTTCTAGCGACCATCTGAATATGCGGAAGACATTCTTCAAACTTTTGTTCTATCTGTTTCTTTTTTACATCTGTAGGCCTTACTGGCTGCCCGCCAGGAGAGAGAGATCCAGCTGAAAATGCTCCTGACGCGTGGAGAGGCAGTCCAAAGAAATACCTCAGCTGAAGGGGTCCCGGTGATCCGCAAACAAATCCAAGACCTCAAGGACTCGTGGGACTCGCTGCTTTCTGCTTCCATCCAGTGTAAAAGGTGATTGGTTTGTGCTTGTGTGTTTTATGGCATAGCCTCGTTGAGTTTGTGTTAACATCTCCGTGCTGATGCTTACAGTCAGCTGGAAGGTGCTCTGTCGCAGTGGACCAGCTATCAGGAGGATGTGGAGCAGTTTGTGCAGTGGATGGAGCGGGTTGAAGAAACGCTGAGCTGCTCAGACAGACAGTACTCTGAGATGAGAGACAAAACTGCTAACCTTGGGAGGACAAAGGTATGGAAATGGGAGAACGTCAACAAAACGCCAAGATAATTAGAAAGCTTGAGACCTAAAATATTGCATTATTTGTTTTTATAGGAAATAAATGTCTATGAACTATTTTGAGTTCATGCATGATCATAGCTGTGTGTGTGTGTTAATTTAGCTTCTCTATGAGGAGGTTTTGAGTCACAGCAGCCCTCTGGAGACCATCGCCACAAAAGGGTCCAACATGGCTGAGCACGGCACCACCCAGCAGGAGGTGCAGCAGCTACACTCCAGATACAACACACTGAAAGAAAAAGCAAAGGTAAAAAAAAAAACTCACCGGTGCTTTGTCTCTTGCAGACTCTATTCTCTTTTCATTTGTTTTGGTATTTCTTCAGTCTGCTTTTGTATTTTTTACTTCACTATAAATCACTTTAAGTCTAATTCAGCTGTTTTTTAAATGCGTTTCATGAATAAAATCTGACATTTTAAACAGTTTCTGCATGCCTACTACATGGTTTCTATGATTTCCTGTTATAATTATTCTAGCATGCATTATGTCAGCACATTAATCCTAACTTCAAAACAGATTTGAAACTTTTGCATTATTTAGTTTCAAACTGCAACTACGGTGTTTTCAAACATCTGATGGTGAATGCATTTAACCCATTGTTTAATCTATTGCTCCTTTAATGATTGCTTTGCTTTTACAGAATGCTGTCTGCAAGGCCAAGGAGCTTGTGATGGTCCATCAGGAGTATCAAAGAGGGTTGCACGTGTTTGAGGACTGGCTGGAGCAGGAGCTGGCCTCTTTGGCATCACTGTCTCATCCAGAAGGAAACGTGGACACGCTGGAGAAAACACTGCAGCAGCTACAAGTGCAGCAAATGTTTTTTTTAATGTGCAAATGTGCACAAATCTATGAATTTTATCTGTTGGCATCAGGAACATTTTTGAGTATTTTCCTTTTGTGTTTTCTTTACAGAATTTGCAGGAAAACTGCTCCAAAGGCCAGGCGTTGCTCACCTCAGTGTTGACCTGCAGGGAGAGGGTTAGTCCCTGGGGTGTGCCTCAGATTGAGGATCGTGCGTTGGACACGGCAAAGCGAGAGTGGACAGCCCACCAGAGCCGCCTGGAGGAGACTCTGGCCCAGCTGCACTCCACACTGACCCGGCTGAGGCAGATGGGCCACAGGTTCCTGAACCTGGCTCAGTGGCTGGAGGACACGGAGAAGGTGGCAAACGTCAGAAATAACCGGCGGTCGGATAGATCCACGAAGCAGAGTCAGCTGAAGAAACTCCAGGTCAATGAGATATCTGCTCACCTGGTTTTAAGCTATTAGAAGAATCATTTGTTTCTGAATTAACCAGAATAAATTAAGTTCAGCATATTTTTCTGCAGTTTTTATATAAAACACATAAAACATTTATTTTGTTTGATGCACATTAATAACTTGGAGTACATTAATGGCAAATAGCTCACTTAGACTTATAAATGTGTGCTTTTGCACTTCAGAGTGAACTCAGGTCCAAATTGAGTCTTTGACTGGCAGAAACTCCCAATTTACTCACTCATACTGCGTTCACTGGAGTGCAGATGCCAAAAATACAGTTTTTTTGCTTGTCAGAGTGAAAGCGATGAAGCATCCTTCACTTTGCCCTTGAACACATAACTTATTTACATTCCCAGTCAAACACCCTGCCTGGTGTGTTCTCCTGCGGAAAGTTTCCTGCTAGCGTCAAATCATGAATAATGTCAGAAGCATTTTTCACTAAATTAATGTAGTCTTTTCTCTACCTTTGTTCCTCATGATCAGGGTTTTCTTGAGGCGGTGCTTTCACGGCAGAGAGAAGTTGATGGCCTCTCATCTTTAGCCCAGCAGGTTCTGGAGGAAACCTACATCAGCAGCCGTGTCAGCGTTACCGCCACCCAGCTGACCGCCCGCTACCACTCCATGCTGCTCAACATCCAGGTTCAGTACTGCTAACATGTCTGATATTCAATAATTCATGCCATCTGTTGAGGTTCTCAGATTCTCCCATATATTTTTGTTGTATATATTTTGTCTTCTAAGCCTGCACTACTCTATTGTTATTGTCACTTTTTTACAGTTTACAGTATTTTAATTTTACTATCTATAGCAATAAATTAATACTTTCTTTCAGATCAGTAGAAAGACAGCAATCAGATAACAGCAAACAAAGATAACTGGAGTAAACAACAAAATTCAAATGATGATTTTCCCTATTAAGCAAAGCAAATCTATCCAAAACCTGCATCTATGTGAAAAGTGAACTCTTAATTTTGACTGGCCTGATTACTGTCAGATGTGTAGGATGAACAAACCACAACAATCTAAACCATCTGAGAACATGAATTTGGTTAATAGGTCTTAAGGAATTCTCAAAAAGCAACACGTCGTGTTCTTTCTTAAGAAATTCAACAATACAGTAGAACCCAGAACACTGCAGGCCTCAGTTAAAGGTGTGGGACACTGAAAACTCATTTTTAATGAGTATTTCTGATTAGAATCAGTCACTCAGAGTTTTTCATGCAGCCTGAACTTGAAAATAGTCTCCTACACCTATCTTCAGCATTCGTTTTTGATAGAAAGTAGACGACAAAACTCTAGGATTTGAAAATCCTGACAGATCTACGTCACATTGTCACTTAACATTCATGGACTCACCCATCTTAGCTCATGACAGGGAAGACTGTTGTTGGTATAACATCCAGGAATCAGCAGAGGATGTCTCGGCTAGCAGAAGCTAACCGTTAGCATTAGCAGCTTCACCACACAGCGGGAGCTCCTCCAGGCTTGTGTTATTTGTGGAGATAAAACGTCTACGTTACCGGTCAGTGGTAGAGTCGCGTTGCTGTTAACCAGTCAGAAGCTAGCTGTCCAAATATCAGGAAATAAGACTCCAAAACCTGCCGTCTGAAGCTCAGCTGTGACGTGGGTCACTGCTAGTTCCTGGAAATGGTGGCCTGGCCTGCCAGACTCCTCCTCTGTTTAATTCTGCACAGAGAAAGGGTCTGGGAACTCTGCTATTCAAGTAACCCCACCCCCTGAGAATTCTAACCGAGTCAATCAACGCTGAGTAGCGCACATCACACACAAGCCCCCACAATGCAGGTGAAAAATTGAAGCAATCCCGGAAGTGAAATAAATTGCAGTTCCACCCTCATCCACTAGGGGCTGGCGTCAGAAGCGATCAAATCCTCATTGACTCCCATGTTAAAAAATACCAATTTCACAGCAGAAATAAACATGTTTACAGCCTGGTACCAAAACATGTTTTTGGTTTAAATTATCTAGTTTACACTCATGACAACTCTGAGGGGGTGAATTTTTTTTCTCACTCTTCCATTTAAGTGTATTAAAAGCCTAAAATTCTGTATAATTAATGAGCATCAAACCCACGTGACCACAGAGCTAGCTCCGGGGAAAGGCCTCAGTAGAGCCTCGGTCTGGCCTGGAAACTGTTCCGTCATTTTCAGTGTCTCAACGTAGACCAGTTGTAGCGTTTGTGTATTCTTTTTTGGATATTTTTTGTGCAATTGTTGGACAAAATGACTTGCTGTGGCATTAATTGCACTAATAGAGCATCCAAGGAGTCTCCACTTCATTTTTTTCTGTAAGTAAAATTATATTTATGTATTTTAGGTCACTGCCGAGCTGAGCTTAGATGTTAACATGTACTGTTTAACCATGAAATTTAAATGTAATAGGGTAAAACCCAGTGCATTTAACATAATGCTGCACTTTAGAAAATGGGTTGAAATATAACGTGTTGGTGGAGCTGGGTTCCCACTATCGGCTTGTGGAGCTCTCGGGAGACCTTTGTTTTCCACCCGGTTCTCCCCTCCCCGCAGCTCGGCGCATCTCTGTCTGATCGCGGCTTCTGTCTGATGTGCGGGCTGCCGGCTTGTGGGGCTCTGGGATGGAAACCTTTCCACCCGGTTCTCCCCAGCGGCAGCTCTGCGCATCTCAGATCGCAGCAGCGCTTGTCTGCTGTGCGGCTGCCGGCTTGTGGAGGTCTCGGAGACCTCTGTGTTCCACCCGGTTTTACCAGCGGTCAGCCCGGCGTATCTCTTACTCAGAAGCTCTGGTGTTGTGCACAGTTAACTCCGGTTGTAGCTAGGTTGCTACCTCCGTTAGCTTAGCTCTCACCTCCGCGTTAGCTTTGGGTTAGCTTCAGGTTAGCTTGTAGCTAGTTCGACCGGGTGTTGTCAGTTGATCCCAGCCTTGCAGCCCCATCCTCAGCTCCACCTCTCTTCCCTTTTGTGGAATTGTCTGGGCTTGACAGAACCTGTGACACGGTCAAAATGGCGGTGGTGGCCACCTCCCATTTATCTTCAAAAACGTGTTGTTGGAGCCTATGGAAACCCATTGTCCATATATGTATTTGTCGATGGTGACACACCATAACGCCGAGTTTGTCGAACATGGTGACTAAAGCGGAGTTCGCTGCAGCTCTTTCCTCTGTTCTAAATGACACAAATGTCTTTAAAACCACAACAAGTAGAAGCGCTAAAAACATTTCTTCTAAAGAAAAAAAAGATGTTTACACTGTTGCCAGACGCCGTTTTTTATTACAGCTAAAAAAGCTACAGTGTCACGTGGTACAGTCGGCATTTCCGTCTTTTTTCTGATTGGTCATTTTCGAGCAACCTAGTCCCGCCCCTCAAGTGCCTCTCTGCCTGTGAGTAACCAGACTCTTTCTCTGTGCAGAATCAAACAAAGGACGAGTCTGGCAGGCCAGGCTATGGAAATGGTGCACCGGTATATTTAAGGCATTAATTTCGACTAGAGACCACTGCAAATGTATCGAGTCAACGAATCAACCACTCCTTTAAGGTCAGAGGTCATGAGTCAACAACAGCAGTGATCAAATAAACAAACGTCTAAGTGACAAAAAGTTCAACAGAAGAGCTATTTTGCTAACAAATTTAACAAATGCACACACACACACACACACACACACACACACACACACAGAAAGGCAAAAACATCCTCTCACCACCTTTGGCTCTTTGACATTGATCGATACATTTGATGCCTTAGCCTGCACCAGCCTGAACTCAGTGTGTTCTCTGCACACCGCGGGCCCTGTTTCTGCTCTCTCACCATGAAATTCACTCCAGTTTGCACTCGAGTTTTCCTGCATCACCCCGCTGAAGTAGCTTGGGGACTCACCTCTGTGAGGCCAGCTTGTGTTGCTCTGCAAACTCACATCCAGCCTCTTTATTTGTCTCCTTCTCTGTGGGGCTAAGGGGAAATCAATGGGGCTCTCCTGGTCAGGGGCTAAATCTGTAATTAAACACCACAAAGTGCAATCTCACACCCGGCATCAGACGTGTCAAATATTTCTCTGCACTACATTGATCTCTTGTTTTTCTTACACATTTGGTAACACATCTGAGTGTGTGTGTGTGTGTGTGTGTGTGTGTGTGTGTGTGTGTGTGTGTGTGTGTGTGTGTGTGTGTGTGTGTGTGTGTGTGTGTGTGTGTGTGTGTGTGTGTGTGTGTGTTTACCCCGTCACTTTTGTTCTCTAGTCTCTATGCTACCCACACCTTAACCACACAGATAGCTACCCCTCCTCATTTTGTGAATCCCTGTAATTACACTGCAGGAAGTAGGGGGGCATATGGGCTTGAGGTGGGAAGCTGTTACCTCTATAGAGTCAGAAAAGGTGTGCACTCAGCACTATCAGATAATTGGAGCTTCTCACTGTTGGATTTGCAACTTGAGTGAATAATGTGTCAAACCTGCAAGAACCCATCTCTGTCCTTGTGGTGTTATCGACTCAAAATCTCAGTCAAGTGGATAATGCATCGAAAACACGAAAAAAGGAAAACACACTGCTTTGTAGCCATGCTCTTGACATGGAGGAGATGAAAGAGGAAGAGGGGAGATGGATATTTTTTTTTTGTTTTGATGGCTGATCAGAGGATTTGGTCCTTTGTGGCATCATGTTAGAGAAAATCTAGCAGCTTAAAAGAGGGAATAAAATATGTTTCCTGAATTTTCCCCTGACCAAATTTGTTCAGACTTCTTCTAAAGATCACGTAGCTTTAATCTAACAAAATTAAAATGTATTTCCCATATATTTTTAGGATACAATCAAGCAGCTGCAGGAGGAGTTGAAGAGCCTTGAAGAGGCAGAAAACTTGTGCGTATCTTTCACCGAGTGGCTCAACTCGACTCAGAAAAGCTTCACAGCGTTAACGGACCACGCTGAAGCACTGGACCGGGCTGCCATGGAGAGGAAGATGAAGAAACTAGAGGTATTGATTCGTCATATTAAACTTTTCATGTGGTTGAAAGGCTTCTGTAGATTCTGAGGCAGTTGAATACGCTGAGTTTTACACCAATTGCCACACAAGTTGCAGAAATTCACCACTGATTTATCACTGCAGCAAACTGAAGTTAGCAGGAGTCCAAAATCAAAGTCGACCTGTGTGCTGGTTACAACAAAACGTTTGACCATTCAGGTCTTCATGAGGAGGACGAGAACGTGTTCCACGGCTGACTCTTTGTGTTGGTGCACCAAAAACAAACACAGAAAACCTCCAGTTACTTTTGTGTACTGAGGATTTGATGAGAGTGTGTGTGTGTGTGTGTGTGTGTGTGTGTGTGTGTGTGTGTGTGTGTGTGTGTGTGTGTGTGTGTGTGTGTGTGTGTGTGTGTGTGTGTGTGTGTGTGTGTGTGTGTGTCGATCGACCCTTTATGAAGACAAAGCTGGTTCTGCTTTAGAGGAGAGAGGGAGAGGGACCTCCCACTGTGTGGAAGAGGATGAAGAAGCGTCGGTGTCATGAGCCTGCTGGCACAGACTCCGTAATTGATGCAGTGCCCTCACCCCTTCACATCACACACACACACACACACACACACACACACACACACACACACACACACACACACACACACACACACACACACACAGAGTTTTTTCTCACCTCGTTTGAGATCGCTAAACCCACTCACACTGACAACTTGTACCTAACTTCTACACCTGCAAGTTGCATGTGATTTCCCACATTGTTTCCACTTCAGCTCTTTGTTCTGCACACACACAAACACACACACAGATATTTGCAGTAATCCCAGTCTGGGATCGATGCTCTGTCTCTGTGTAGCGGATAAAGACTTGCCGCCACCACATGTGTCCTTCCACCGCTGAAGATGGCACATAAAAGTGCTCCATCACTTCCTGGTCTCCTATTGCGAGAGAAGCTGTGCTGTTCAGTGAACAGGGACGATTATGCATTGACACACAGACCACTTGTCAATAGCTCCGTTGAGGACCATTAGTTGGGATCTGACTTTATTTGACATCGTCGGAGTGGGATTTAAATGGGAGCAGTGGCTCTGCAAGAGCAGAACGTCCTTCTGTCCTTCTTTGTGTTTTTCCTTGACGTTTTTGTTTTAATTCTTGACATTCTAATGTGTAGTTTTATCATATGAATCTTATTCTTTTAGAGCAAAACCCAACCTGAAATTTTGTGTGGAACATTTTAATGTCAAATTGATGAGACCAGGAGAACATGGTTTTTCTGAAGATGCATCTTTACCACAAGCTGAAGCAGCTTAGCAAACACACTTATGGATAAAACACTCGTTTTTGCAGATCATGATTTCATGTGTGCTGTGTGTGCTCTAAGCTCTTGCTGGTGTTAAGTCTCTAAGAAAGGAACGACTGGATGTACATTTACAGCTGATTATCCACATTTAGGCCTTTCACTTACACAAAAATAAGAAAATTTTTTTCCTATTTTGCATTAAATTGGTGCAAATGTTTGGTAATAACATGAAATTAACAATATCAGTTAATAATATTAATTTTAAAATGTGAACTTCACTAAAACTATTTATTAAATATTATTTCTGATTATAATTGGTGACCTCATCCAGGCTGAACATGAAAATAGTCTCCTACACCTATATCCTGCTGTAGCTTCTGATAGAAAACAGACGGTGAAACTCTAGGAGTAAAAAATCCTAACAGATCTGCGTCACACTGTCACTTAACATTCATGGATTCACCCATCTTGACTCACGACGGGGAAGGCTGTTGTTGGTTTAGCGTCCAGGAAACAACAGAGAATGTCGTGGCTAGTAGAAGCTAATGGGTAGCATTAGCAACACCGCCACACAGCAGAGCTCCTCCAGTCTTGTGTTATTTGTGGAAATAAAACATCAATGTTGCAGAGCAAGCAGTCAGTGGTAGAGTCGTGTTGCTGTTAGCCAATCAGAGGCGAGATGTCCAATCTGCTCCAGCTGACTTCTACATTCTCAAATAGGCGCACCGGAGAACAAATTACAAGGCATTTGATCCACTAGAGACCTCTGCAAATGTAGAAGTAAAGTTGACCTAATAATTTTATTCTTTTTTATTAACATTTGTTTTATGATAGGTCAGCGTTTTTGATGAGTTCAGTGCATGCTTCAATGAGACCTTAACCTGCGAATTAAAGGGACATTCACCACATTTACTCCACATACAGTATTGTAATTCACATAATGTTGTTGTCAGGACTTGACCAAAACAACTACAGCTTCATTGTTTTTCAACATAACATTGGGTTTAAAGTCAGGTTTAAAAGAGGATTTTTAAAAAGTTCTTCTCAACAGCAAACCTCGGTGAAAAGAGCATCTCATCTCCTGAGTTTTAATCATAAATACCCAGGAATGATCATCTGGGATAGCTAGTCTCCATGGTCTTTGTTCTTGCTTCAGCAGTAATTTTCTCCCACTTTGAAAATAGATGGTGGTTGTCAGCATTGTATACGACGACACGAGTAACCCAGGAATGACTCGCTGAACCTCTCGAGCACATCACCACAGCTGTTGCACAAGGAACTCGACACGGATAATTGGGGGTACAAGGCCGTTGTAACATGAAGGCCCGCTGTTCTATGAGCCTCACGTCTAATTGTTACGACTCTGAATACCGAAATTTACCTAAAATCCACCCTAACGTCTTTGTGTTTATGCATGAAACCAAATAAAATTTCATTTCAAACAAATCTTTTTCTCCGAGGGATGATCTTCCGAGCTTAATTAGACAAGAGGTGCTGCAGGGAAGACTATGAAGTGTGAGTCTGGACATGTTTTGATATGAATGGGAGATAATTGGTCATAAAGAGCTCAAATAAACTCTCCATCAAATGTTTGAAGACCTCCTTAAACACGGAATTGTGTGCCGTTTGGATAAAGCGTCTTGTTATAGTTGGAAGGCAGGCGCTGTGGAGATGATGATCAAGCTCGCGGTGTCAGATCAAGAAGGACACGTGGGTGTGTGCAAACACACGCAGGTCTCGTTATGTTGCCCACAGAGGTGGTGGAGATCCGAGTCTGTTTGAGTGTGACGTTTCTTTCTCTGCTCGAGCATTAATAGGCTGATGATGAAAGCTAGATGGCATCCTATCGAGTGGAGGTCAGTGTGTGTGTGTCGTGGTTGCCCTGGAAACCCCCGCAGCTACTGTTGCCTATTAAGGGTCTTTATAATTGGGTCCTCCTTTCATATTATTCACTGTGGTTTTCCCTCACCATGAACTCCCAATCTTCTCTAGGTTTCAGCGTGCAGGTGTCAGCCTACCTGATGGGTTCAAAGCTTTCTAAAAGTCCTGCTAGGCTAGTCTTAGCATCTGGGCAGGACTATAGGTGAAGGACAAAGAAAATGGGGGTTTTCTGCTAATAATAATCCTTGAAAATATATTGTAATTGTATGAAAGATGAATTTTTACAAAGCGATCCAATGATTTCGGCTTTTGTTTACCTGTTTATTGTGAAATATTCTGGTTTAAGCATCGATGTGAAAATTATTTACTTGTTTCCAACCAGACTCTCCAGTCAGAGCTTCAGCGAGGCCACAATTTCCTGAAATCCCTGAGGGAGCGTGCAGAGCAGGCAGCGGGCTTCCTGGACGAGGCAGGAGCAGAGAGTTTAGGGGGAGAAGTGGAAGCACGTCTTGCCCAGTTGGAGGAGCTCGCCGGAGGACTCCGTCAGGAGCACAGCTTCCTGGAGCGCACCTTACTGCTGGCGAAGGAGTTTCAGGATCGGTACAAGGCTCAGGTCCAATGGCTTGTGGAGACCAGAGCTTTGCTCAGCGCTCCAGTGGAGCCCAAGGCTGAACTCTACCAACGCAGAAATCAGCTGGCCAAGTATAAGGTACAAGAGTAACTGATTATATTCAGAGCACAAATTTATTAATGCCTCCAACCATAATTTTGCACTTTGGTGGTTTTTGAAATTGTGAGACGGTGCTGAATATTATTATCCTAATAGGCCACAAGTGACCTCGCAAAGCTCCAAAACTGAATAGAGTTAAAAGAACTGCTGATCGTTTAAAACTGCCGTAGAGAATAGTCAGAGGGGGGATGAAGGGTGGGTGGATAGATGGATGAGGGGTGGGTAGATGATTGGATGGATGGGGGGTCGGTAGATAGAAAGATGGATGAGGGGTTTTGTAGATGGATGGATGGATGAATAAATGGATGAAGGGTGGGTAGTTGGATGGATGGATGGATGGATGGATGGATGAGGGGTGAGTTGATGGATGAATGGATAAGGGGTGGGTAGATGAATGGATGAATGAATGAATGAGGGGTTGGTAGATGGATGAATGGATGAGAAATTAGTTGATGGATGGATGAGGGGTTGATGGATAGATAGATGGATGGGGTGGGTGGGTGGATGGATGATTGGATGAGGAGTGGGTAGATGAATGGATGAGGAGTGGATGGATGGATGGATGGATGGATGGATGGATGGATGGATGGATGAGGGGTGGGTAGATGAAAGGATGAGGAGTGGCTGGTTGGATGGATGGATGAGGGGTGGGTAGATGAATGGATGAGGAGTGGCTGGTTGGATGGATGGATGGATGAGGGGTGGGTAGATGAATGGATGAGGAGTGGATGGATGGATGGATGGATGGATGAGGGGTGGGTAGATGAATGGATGAGGAGTGGATGGATGGATGGATGGATGAGGGGTGGGTAGATGAATGGATGAGGAGTGGATGGATGGATGGATGGATGGATGGATGGATGGATGAGGGGTGGGTAGATGAATGGATGAGGAGTGGATGGTTGGATGGATGGATGAATGGATGGATGAGGGGTGGGTAGATGAATGGATGAGGAGTGGCTGGATGGATGGATGGATGAATGGATGGATGAGGGGTGGGTATATGAATGGATGAGGAGTGGATGGATGGATGGATGGATGGATGAGGGGTGGGTAGATGAATGGATGAGGAGTGGATGGATGAGGGGTGGGTAGATGAATGGATAAGGAGTGGCTGGATGGATGGATGGATGAATGGATGGATGAGGGGTGGGTAGATGAATGGATGAGGAGTGGATGGATGGATGGATGGATGGATGGATGGATGGATGAGGGGTGGGTAGATGAATGGATGAGGAGTGGATGGATGAATGGATGGATGAGGGGTGGGTAGATGAATGGATGAGGAGTGGCTGGATGGATGGATCACAGTTGTAGAACTGGTGAAATTTGCATAAATTCCAATAAATCAGTTCTGAAAATGTAAAAATGAAAGTAGTTAAATAAAAAAATGTAGTATTCACAATCTGTATCCTTTGATCCTGAAGTAGTTTCAGATGTCAGAAACAAAACAGGACACTGCTTATTATCTCGTTAAATGAGGCAGTCTTTTTACACAATGAAGAAATCTGTGTGTGTGTGTTTTCAGACTCTTTTGCAGATGGTTCAGTCCCACGATGGATCCGTCAGATCCGTCATGGAGAAGGGAGATACTTTGCTGGCTTCCGTCCACTACCCCTCCGTTAGAGACAAAATGCACCGACTGCAGAAGGACTACACGACACTCTGCAAAGCTGCAGCGGTGAGAACTACCTCAGCACTTAAAAAGTGCATAAATGTTTTGTTTTTCCACAATAAAAGGCTAATAGCAGAGTAGAAGACGCTATTTCTTGCATAGAGCCGTTATGTTGTGGCTCACACAGGCTCACGTGGATAACCTGGAAGGCCAGGTGAAGGAGCAGGAAGCTTATCACAACGAACTCCAGGAAGTGGAACGCTGGCTTCTGCAGATGTCCAGCAGGATGGTGACTCCTGATCCGAGTGTGAGCAGAAGCCTTGAGGCAGCGACCCAACAGCTGGCAAGGCACAAGGTGACAAATCGCATTCCTCCATGATGGCTGCCGAGTAATAAATAAATTAAATAAACCATAATTTCTCTATTTTTCACATTAAACTTCAAACATTTCAGACTTTTATTTCCATAAATTGTTTATCTGATTGTTGATGTGTTTTTCTCTGCAGAGTTAGGCTTGCAGAGTGCTGATGTACAACTTGCTCTTCTCTTTTTTTATTGCATGTTCAATCAGGTGGTTTTGTTTCCATCAGTCCCTCTGTGGCCATGGTCTGTTTTGAAGACTTGCCCTCTTTTACTTTATCATTTTTATTGGAAGTGCCTCTTCACTCTCCCCAGGCCATCATGGAGGAAATTGCAGGCTTTGAAGATCGCTTGTCAGGTCTGAAAGAGCAAGGAGACCGCCTGGTGCAAGACTGCAGTGACCGCGTGCAGAGCAGACTCAGACAGCAGGTCCAAACCCACCAGCAAGGCATCAGAGACAGCTACTCTGCCATCTGTAGCACAGCGCAGAGGGTGAGTGAGGAGGAGGTGTGAAAAGGAAAAGGACGAAGGACGGTTTCTAAACATTTATAATTCAAAGTAAATAAAATTTTCTGGTGCGTTTGATGCCTGTACTTGTGTGAACACAGATGCATGCAGAGACAGAAGGATGATAACATCCCAGCAGCCAGGGTTTCCACTTAATCCCAACCCATTCTGACACTTAAACCCGTCTCTGAAGGCCGCCCTTTGGTGCCGCTTTAAGGGGCACAGCTAGCTAATTATATTTGCCAAAGAGAAGCTCAACAGCAGCCACACTCAGACGCCCATCAGCCAACATCACTAACTTCATTTCTCCAGATTAATCTCCACGGATCGCTTGTCATGCCCACTTCTTCACACCTGAGCCAAAAATGATCACATGTCACCATTAAGTAGATCTGGCTAGTCCTATAATCCAGCCTCACTCTGTCATTTTGGCAACCTCTACTCTGTCATCACAGCTCACCTCCCCAGACATCACCACCACCATGTGCACATCCAATCTGGCATTGTGTGATCCAGCCACCTTCTACCACTACACTGCTGGCTTCCCTACAACCGTGCCTCCAACGTTGTAACGGCTGCCAACTGTGTCCCAGTGCAACACAGCTCTAATATCCTGCCTGGCTACCACTTGCCACCATGCCAACGTTCTAGCCTTTGCCAGATACACTGGGCAGTTAGCCAACACTCTGGCCCGCCACTCTTTCCTTTCAGACTCTCAAATTAACACTGTCACTCAGGACCTTGGTGTTTCTCTCTCCTGTGGAGGGCATGGATGCCTCCACATTCAACACCTGTTAAATACAACACTGCATAACTGGATGTATTAAGAGGTTCTGTCATTTAAAGTAACACTTGATAACTTTTCCACTTCTGCCTCCTACTGATTGAAAGTGGAATTACACATGTCGTAAACAACCCTGCCGCAGCCTGCTTTAGCTAGGGCTAACAACAAGCTAATGCTAACACAATCTAACTGATAAATAAGCCATGAAGTAGAAGGATCCACAAGGACTAAGAAATATTATTACTTACAAGTCCAGTAGCAACAAAGTCAGGTCACCATCAGTCCATGATACAAGTGTAGGCTGTTCACTCTGGTTTTATCTCTTTGCTTTGCCTCCAAAGACATTCCTCTCTACTTCCAGGCTCCATGGCATGAAGATGCAAAAAAGAAAGCAAAACTCTTCTCTTCTTTTGCTTTTTGTTGACGGTCAGCGAACTGAAAAAGAGAACTGCTAGCCTTTATATGAGCTACTAGCACAGTAAACAGCTATTACCTGAAGCAGGTAGAGACCTCCCACTAGTGTTCCTACTGGAACCAAAATAGATGTTCAGTTTGTGGTCAGCAGAGGCCTACAGAGTGCTGTCCAATGTAAACTTGGTTTAGTTTCTGCTTCAGGAATCACTGAAATCAGTTTGACAGCAATAGCGCATTAAAGGCATATTATGCCAATTTTTCATACCGTTAAATAATTTTCTTGAGACATATGTGCTAAAATGACCCTTAGCGAGGTTAATGAAATGTCACTTAGACCCCACCGCCATCTGTGGCCAAAATAACGCACTTGCAACTTCAGAGTTATCAGTCAGGTTGGAATTAGCAAAGTGGAGCTGAAATGCTTGGTGCTGGAATCTGCTTCCAGCATGATTCCTACTTGGTTTAGATGGTGAACACAGCTGACTTGTTTGATTTAGTGATGAACTGTTCCTGTAGAATCTAATGAAAACTGAGGAGACAATTCAACTTTTGGATTAAGGTGTTAAAAAGACAAATTCACAGCAAAGAGAGGAAACTTCCATTCTTACTAAAAGACACCAGGGGATGCTAAAAGAAAGCTAAAACTACTTAGTATCCCTTTAAAACTCATTAGTGTTGCTTTAATTTCTTTGAAGTTCATCAGACATGCAGCTTTGTGTTTTTTTAATCCATTTAGAGCTCCTGTGTTTTTTATTCTGCTAATTATAGGCAAAAATGTTTTGCAGAAATGAGATATTACACATCTTTTCCCGATATAATTTGTTTTATTGTCCTGCAGGTGTATCAGAGTCTGGACCACGAGCTACAGAGGCATGTCAGTTTGCAAGACACTCTGGATCAGTGCAACACTTGGCTAAGCTCTGTGTCAGAAAAACTCGAGCCTCACTCCGAGACGTCGCTCAGCCTTGAGGAAGCTCTTCAGCAGGTCTGGAAACCTTTTCCTGCACATTCATTAAATTGTATTAAACTGACCACTACCTGGTGGTGAGTTGGCTCAGATGGTGGGGGAGGATGCCGGTCAGACCAGGCAGGCCCAAACGTATCGCGAGGGTCTGCTGGGAACGTCTGGCAGAGTCTCCTGTCAGAAGGAGCTTCAATTCCCACCTCCGACAGAACTTCCAAAATGTTCTGGGGGAGGCGGGGGACACTGAGTCTGAATGGACCCTGTTCCGTGCCTCCATTGTTGAGGCGGCCGACCGGAGCTGTGGTTGCAGGATCGTCAGTGCCTATCATGGTGGCAACCCCTGAACCCGCTGGTGAATACCGGCGGTTAGGGATGCTGTCAAGCTGAAGAAAGAGTCCCATCAGGTCTTTTTGGCCTGTGGGACTCCAGAGGCAGCTGACGGGTACCGGCAGTCCAAGCGGTACGTGGCTCGGGTGGTCGCTGAGGCAAAAACCCGGGCATGGGAGGAGTTCGATGAGACCATGGAGCAAGGCTTCCATACAGCTTCGAGGAGATTCTGGTCCACCATCTGGCGCCTCAGGGGGGGAAAGCAGTGCGCTACCAACACTATCTATAGCGGGGACGGTGTGCTGCTGACCTCTACTCAGGACGTTGTGGATCGGTGGGCAGAATACTTCGAAGACATCCTCAATCCCACTGACACGTCTTCCAGTGAGGAAGCAGAGTCTGGGGACTTTGGGTTGGCCTCTCAAATCTCTGGTGCTAAGGTCACTGAGGTGGGTCAAAAGCTCCTCTGTGGTAAGGCTCCAGGGGTGGATGAGTTCCGCCCGGAGTTCCTTAAGGCTCTGGATGTTGTGGGGCTGTGTTGGCTGACGCGGCTCTGCAATATTGCATGGACATCAGGGGCAGTCCCACTGGACTGGCAGATCCGGGTGGTGGTTCCCTTATTTTAAAAGGGGGACCGTAGGGTGTGTTCTAACTACAGGGGGATCACACTCCTGAGCCTTCCTGGTAAGGTCTATTCAGGGGTTCTGGAGAGGAGGGTCCGTCGGATTGTTGAACCTCAGATTCAGGAGAAGCAATGTGGTTTTCGTCCTGGCCATGGAACACTGGACCAGCTCTATACCCTTAGGGGGATCCTGGAGGATGCGTGGGAATTTGCCCAACCAGTCGACATGTGTTTTGTGGATTTGGAGAAGGCGTTTGGCCGCGTCCCTCGGGGGGCCCTGTGGGGGTACTCCAGGAGTATGGGGTACCAGGCCCTCTGATACGGGCTGTTAGGTCCCTGTATGACTGGTGTCAGAGCTTGGTACACATTGCCGGCAGTAAGTCGGGCTCGTTCCTAGTGAGAGTTGGACTCCGCCAAGGCTGCCCTTTTTCAGCGATTCTGTTCATAACCTTTATGGACAGGATTTCTAGGTGCAGCCAAGGTGTGGAGGGCATCCGTTTTGGTGGCCTGAGGATCAGGTCTCTTCTTTTTGCAGAGGATGTGATCCTGTTGGCTTCATCAGAACGTGATCTTCAGCTTTCGCTGGAGCGGTTTGCAGCTGAGTGTGAAGAAGCTGGGATGAGAATCAGCTCCTCTAAATCTGAGAGCATGGTCTTGATTCAGAAAAGGGTAGAATGCCTTCTCCGGGTCAGGGATGAGGTCCTGCCCCAAGTGGAGGAGTTTAAGTATCTCCGGGTCTTGTTCACGAGTGAGGGAACACTGGAGCGTGAGATCGATAGATGGATTGGTGCTGCGTCTGCAGTGATGCGGGCGTTGTACTGGTCTGTCGTGGTGAAGAGAGAGCTGAGTCAGAAGGTGAAGCTCTCGATTTACCGGTCGATCTACGTTCCTACCCTCACCTTTGGTCATGAGCTTTGGGTAGTGACAGAAAGAACGAGATCGCGGATACAAGCGGCCGAAATGAGTTTTCTCCGAAGACTGTCTGGGCTCTCCCGTAGAGATAGGGTGAGAAGCTCAGTCATTTGGGAGGGGCTCGGAGTAGACCCGCTGCTCCTCCACATCGAGAGGAGCCAGTTGAGGTGGCTCGGGCATCTGGTCAGGATGCCTCCTGGATGCCTCCCTGGTGAGGTTTTCCGGGCACGTCCAACCGGGAGGAGACCTAAAGGTAGACCCAGGACACGCTGGAGGGACTATGTCTCTCACCTGGCCAGGGAACGCCTTGGGATTCCCCCGGAGGAGCTGGCCCAAGTGGCAGGGGAGAGGGAAGTCTGGGCCTCTCTGCTTAGGCTACTGCCCCCGCGACCCGACTCCGGATAAGCGAATGAAAATGGATGGATGTTACTTGCAAATCTTAAAGTGTGCTAAAATGCATGCAGAAGCTGAGAATATTTGCAGGTTTTCATGCATGAAAATGAAACCTTAAATCCAGGTGAAGCAGGAGCGAGCTCTGCAGGAGCAGGCCAGCACGTACCTCCAGCTTGTGTGTTCAGCGTGTGACCTGTCAGAGCTGAGGGTCAGGGAGACCGCTGCAGCCATCCAGCACGTCAAACTGCAGGTTCGTTCACTTAGTAGGTTCTGTTGCTTTTAAAACTTGACAGTTTGACTTTAGATTCACGCCTTTGTATTTTTCATTTTTTTGTAGATTGAAGAGCGCATGCTTCTTTGTGAAGAGGTAGCAGACAGCTGGAGGGACTTTGAGGAGCGTAAAGCAGATCTGGAGACCCAGCTTAGAGAGACAGAGCAGCAGCTTCAGAACCTGGTCCGGAGACCTGCAGAGTTGGAGCCTAAGATTGCACAGAACCAGCTGGACAAGGCACAGGTCTGTGTGCTTGAGTAATATGTATTTCTTTGAAGACTTGGGGCAGGAATTGCTCACAGGAAGAGAACAAAACAAGAGAAACAAACAAAGACTGGCCCAAGATGCCTTCTTGTTCTTCTGGTGTTTCCTGGTTTATAGTCTTAATTTTCAGTTTGGAAGCAAAGCCCACCTGTTCACAGCAACGTTTGGATGCTTGCTGATTGCAAAATGTGTCCTGTCAAAAAGTTTTAGCGCCACACTAAATAATCTCTTTTCTTTCCCAGGAGTTCCTGCAGCAGATTAGGGAGAAACAATCCGAATCAACGCGATTGAACGAAGCCATCAGCAGGTTGACGGACGGGCAGGTCTCGCCTGTCCTGGAGGAGATAAGGAGACTGAAAAGAAGCTGGATGGAGCTGAGCCAGCGGGCCGAAGAGCTGGAATCCCAGAGAGGGGAGGACATGCAGCGGAGTGGAGAGTACCAGGAAAGTGTGGCTGCTGTGGAGGAACTCTTCCACCAAGTATCCAGGGAATGGGACTACCTCGCAAGGTTTGTAGGTTTCTATAGTAAACTTAACTGATCATGTGGATCAAATACACTTAAGTTCTTTAAATCCTGCATGTGGACCCCTAGAGCTGACACAGAAAGTACAAGTGAACATCTGGAGGCTCTGAGGAAGCTCGCTAGTGACCTAGATGATCAAAAGGAAACTCTAGAAGACCTTAGAGACCAGAGACAAGCCATCCTGCCTCGGCTAAGTCTGCTGGACAAGGAGCTGGTCAAACAGCAGGTGAGAGCATTTATTTCACAAACGAGTGGAAGAAGTTTGGTTTAGTAGCATCACTATGTGGCGTATCACCAGGTGGGTCATCTGGAGCAGCGCTGGTCCCAGCTGGAATCCCTCATTTTGCAGAAGATTCAGGATTCGGCTCAGACACTCAAGGATCTTGCTCGGGTCGAAACCCAGCTGAGAGACGCCAGGGAGTGGGTGGAGGAGCAGCATCCCGCTCTCACTTCCGCACTGAGGACCAGTCCACCCCCAGATCTCGCTCAGAGTTTCCTGTTCGACCACCTGAGTGTTTGCGTGGAACTGGAAGCCCGTCAGCAGCTGCTCGGTCAGGCGGTGAGCGAAGCCCAGGGCGTGGCCTCCAGGCTCGGGCTGAGTGAGAAGAGATGCTTACAGGAGCTTGTTGAGCAAGCCCAGATGGAGGTGGAGGCTCTCGGGGCTCGGGTAGCCCAAAGGAGGAAGTACCTCAGTAAGGTAAACAGCTGGAAGTGAAAATTTAAATCCTAATGGATTTTTAATTGTTTGTGATGAAACTTCTGATGTTCTCTTTCTCTCCAGGCCTTCACAGAGCGGACACAGTTCCTTCAAGGCCTGGGGAGAGCCTTGTCCTGGGTGAAGCAGCAGGAGAGGAAGGCTTTGATAGACGACCACATAGCACTGCTTCCTGAGGATTTGACCAAACAGGTCGCTGCGTGTCGGGGCATTCAGAGCGGATTACGAGCTTACCAAAGAGAGCTGGCATCGCTCTGGGTACAAGGCCGAGAGTTAGAGCGAGATGCCACAGACAAAGAGAGAGGGGAAACGCTGGCGAGAATTGAGGACCTCCAGGCATCTTTTGAAACTGCTCTACAGAGAACCACCCAGCGTCTCACAAGCCTAGAAAAAGCCTTGATCTCCAGGAAGTACTTTCAGGTTGACCTGGACAAGACGTGCCTCTGGCTGAGACGAGCAGACGCCGTAACGTTCCCCGAAATCAATTTCAGCAGCGTTGACGACAGCTGGGATCTGCAGACGCAGCTGTCTAACTTTCAAAGTGTCTTAGAACAGGCGTCAGAGTACGAAAACCTCCTTCTCATTGTCCAAAGAATCGGTCAGGAGATCCTTCCTACTCTGAACGAGATCGACCACTGCTACCTAGACGAGCGACTCAACGCCCTGCCACAGCAGTACAACGCCATCCTGGCTCTAGCCAAAGAGAAAAAAGACCGAGTCCAACAGATGATCCTTGAGAGGAAAGAGTTCAGCACTTTCTTCGATATAACTCGTAACGCACTGCAGGAACTCCAGGAGCAATATGACAATCTTGAGAAGCAGACTATCAGCGTAAGAGAAGAGGATGTTGTTGATTTAATGAATAAATATAGAGGCATTGAAGAAAGTTTGGTCCATATCAGCCCCGCGGTTAGAGAGCTCCACAGGAAGCACGAGGGGTTCCTCATTAGGGGTCAGCAGTACAGATCTGAGGAGACGCAGCGGTTGGTTCGTCTCCACGATGCGCTGAAGATGAGAAACAATCAGAGGATCACACATCTAAACGACTGCTTGAAAAAGCTAGTGGAACACAACAGGGTGATGTCCAAACTAGACTCCAAGGTTAAATCTGTTGACGAGGAGCTGGTCAAAGTGAATTCAATCAAAGATTTAAGAACTTCAGATAAAATCACAATGCTTTTTTCGCTAATGGAAATACTTGATGGAGCCAGGTCTCAGGTTGAAGAGTCTTTTAAAGAGATTAAGAGTCTTGATCTAAAGTTTGAGGCTGCTGCCTTTCAGGAAACGTCGCTGCAACTGGAGTGGTTGCATTCCCGCCGATGTGACGTTAAATCTTTAGTCGAGAAAAATCAAACAACCGTTCCCAAGACCGAAGACTTCACGAAAGAAGCTGAGAGGACCTCCGACTGGCTGGAGAATGTTCGACACAAACTGAAAGAGCCTTTAATGTTTGTGGAGATTAAAACTGAGAGGATACACCAGGAGAAACTGAAACTGAAACTCCTGGAGGAGGAGTTGATCAGTAGGCTGAAACTTGTTGATGTCTTAAGTGTGAGAGAAAAGCAGAAATATGAATGTGGCAAAGAAAGTGTTCCTGTGGGAATGAAAGAAAAACTACAAGAGCTGATGAAGCTGGGGGCCGAAGTTCAGCAAGAAATTTGTTCAAAACAGGTAATTTTACCTTTTTTTCTGTGAGGTGCAACCATTTCCTTCTTCCATCTGGCTCATGGCTTACATCTTATAAATTCAAATCAAAGGTGTGGAACACTTGGGGGCGGGGAGGGGGGGGGGGGCGAAATAGATCTATATGACATTGTCACTTAACATTCATGGACTCACTCATCTTGGCTAACAATCGGGAAGGCTGTTGTTGGTTTAGCGCCCGTAAAACAGCAGAGAACGTCTCAGCTAATAGATGCTAAATTCCTCCAGGCTTGTGTTATTTGTGGAGATACAACATCAAGGTTACAAGTCAGTAGTAGATTTATGTCGCTGTTGTCCAATCCGAGGCGAAATGTCCAAATATCAAGAAATAAGACTCCAAAACCTGCCGTCTGAAGCTCAGCTGTGGTGTGGCTCACTGCTAGCTCCCGGATATGGTGCACTGGTGTGTGTGTGTGTGTGTGTGTGTGTGTGTGTGTGTGTGTGTGTGTGTGTGTGTGTGTGTGTGTGTCCCCACGAGTATGGCTTAAGCTTGGTTTATGCTTGACGCATTCACTTTCCGCTTGGTGATGCGGCTCGCGGATGGAACACGCTTCACAACTTGCAGCATTTATGGTTCATGCGGCTTGTCTCTGCGGTGAGCCAATATTCTCCCAAACTGTAGGGGGCAGCATGGAGCTCTACAGCATGCATCCAACACTACACCATAGTAGAAGTAGAAATTACTGTTTACAACATGGCATTCCAGCATTTTTAACAGCGTCCTCGTCTTTTCCGACAGTGCGAGCTATTTCGCTCCAAGAATTATTAACAACATGTTGATCACGGTGATCTCTGAGAGCTGAATCATACAAATGTTTGTATTTACGAACCTCCGCCATACTAGTTCTTGCCGGTCCGCCATGTTTTTCCACGTCCGACCGTCCGCGTGGTTAGAAATTTTCCCAGGTGCGCGGTGCGGAAATTTTGGGCCGTGCGGAGGCGCGGTGGAGGGGCGTGGTTGTTAAAATGACGCAATTTCGCCACGCGGAGCCGTGCGGACCTCGCGGACGCGTTAAGCATAAACCGACCTTTACAAGGCATTCATTCCTACTAGAGACTACTGCACTGCCTTTAATAAAAGCAGATGATGATATCATCAAATTGTGGGACGAATGTGTTTAATGGAAACATTTGGACCCTTTTTAAAAGTTGTCACCAATTCCTTCATTTCTTATTAAAATTTCTAACTAAAATGTTTTGATGAAATTCAAACAGTGTCATTAGATTAAAGGGTTTTTATTACTTTAGATGTTTCCAGCCAGTTTAATCCGGCCATGTAACCGTGTCTTTTGACACGAATTATACTTGAAAACATGCTGAACATTATCTGTGTTAGATAATTCATTGTATTGAACCTGGACAGTTAACAGCTCAGGCTAGCACTCGGAGAAGGAAAAATCATTTTCTGCTCAGTTGGATTTAGATAAAAATGTTGCTAGATGGACTTTCCCAGATCTGGATCATAAATTGTACCCTTTATTTAATCGGTTTTTGTATAACTACAAAAAAAAAAACACATTAAACCACCTTCTGTGCCTTCTAGCTGACTGTGGATGGAGCTCTGGCTCTGCTCCTGCGGTACCACTCATCCCTTCAGTCCATGCAGACATTTCTGGACTCTGCAGCAGATTTGCTCCACAGGACCAGCTCAGGAGTGGATCTTGAGAACCACACAGACTGTATGCAAGAGCTGGAGGAGGTTTTAGTCCAGGAAAAGAACTTCAATGCTGCCTTAGAGGAGCTGAGGACTTTGGATCCTTTGCTTGTTGATTTTATGGATGCAGGCGTGCTGAGAGGGCTTGGCGAAAAGGTTAGATCGTTGCAGCTGATGAAGGCAGAACTCAAACAGCAGGTGGAAGCTTACAGAGATGTGCTGCAGAGGTATGTGTTAATACTTGGACTACTATAATTAAGTATTCAGTTGTTTATTTCACATAATTCCACTCATCAGTTCGTTGTCATGTGCATTTTTCTCAGGTGTGGCGCTCAGTGGAGGTCATTTATATATGACAAGGAGGCTCTGGTTGAACACATGAATGATTTAGAAAGCAGCATGGCCGTGTTTACATCCGCTAAAGCCGTCAGTGCCCATGAAGCAGAGGACAAGTGCCAAAGATACATGGTGGGAATCATCTAATCCACACGTTTGTCGTTTTTATTTTAAGATTCAAGTCTAAATGCTTCAGGAGGATGAATTCTTTAATTAGTATGATGTATTTTGGCTGCAGACTCTGGTGGCTCAGACAGAGATGCTGGAGTTGCCTCTAAACGCTTTGAGAGAGAACGTTACAGAGTTGGATCAATTCGTCTCTGAGTCGAGCAAAGCTCTCACCAGTCATGTAGTGTCATCGCTATGGCAACGATGGACGAGGCTCCGCAGTGTGGCCCGGGCCCAGGAGAGGGCATTGGAGGACACGGCGAGGGAGTGGAGGAACTTCATCGAGAAGGTAAAAGCCCAGATGGAGGCTATGTATATATATATGTATGTATGTATGTATGTATGTATGTATGTATGTATATATATATATATATATATATATATATATATGTGTGTATATATATATATGAATGCGTATATATATATATATATATATATATATATATATATATGAATGCGTATATATATATATATATATATATATATATATATATATATATATATATATATATATATATATATATATATATATATATATATATATATGAGAGAGAGAGAGAGCGAGAGAGAGAGAGAGAGAGAGAGAGAGAGAGAGAGAGAGTGATGTAACTCCAGGCTTTAGGCCAGCTGTGTTTTCCTGCCAAAACTCTCTGTCATGAAGCGTTTTCCCGCCTTTTGACCCAATTCACGCTCACTCTCTGTCTGCTCCCAAGAACACCCACAAAGCACCGTTTCTAAAGAGGAAGTGAAGTCAGACTCAGGAGGATGTCCACTTCCTCATATGTGGCACGTTCCTGTTGTCCATTGTGTGTTTTTGTCTGTGGCTCCTTTTTTTTTCTGGACATGATGTCATCCACCTCTGACTTTCACAAACTTTCTTTAGAGGCTTTTGAAACAGAAACTTTTCACCTCAGAAATGTTGTGTCAGTAGAAGTAAAATTTGCTCTATTTTTGATTTAATTTTGTGATTTTATTACTTCTGTTATAAGCGTAAAAGTGATAAACAGCGCCCTTTTAAATCACTTTTCTCAGAGCTGTTTTCTACACCTAAGAAATGTTTTTTTTCTGTTTTCACTATTCAGAAATCTTATTTTTACATGAGAAATTACTGAAACTGATTTTCTAGCACCGTGCATGAAGACAAATACATGCAGATCAAGTTTGCTTTTTTCTGAACAGTCATATAAATGCTATTTGATGATACTTAATCTAACATAAACGCTGTAGAAGACATATGTATCCTTAACCTAAAGCCTACTTAAGTCATTATCACATTTTCCTTCTTTATAAAAACATCTGATAACTCTTCATTTCTAATTTCTGACATTTAGGTGGAGAAAGTGAGTTCTGTGTCCAGAGACCTCCACAGTCGCCTTCCAGACAGCACCGTGGAGAAGGCGGCCACCAGGGCGGCACTCCAGAGCCTGCTGGAGTACCACGACTCCTTCAGCCAGGAGGTGGAGAAGGAGCAGTCCATACTGGCCTTGCTGGGGCAGCAAACTCGCTGCCTTAGAGGAGAGGATGGAAGGGAGGTGGTGATGGAGAAGAAGACGGAGAACGGGCATGAGGAGACAACATGCCTACAGGAGATCAGGAGGATGCAGGAATGTTACGACAGGTAGGGTTGCTTCAGGTTATTTTTACAAAATGTATAAATCCTGTTAAATGTGTTCAGTTTAAGTTTTAGCATATATGGCTAAATAATGTGTTGTTGTGCAGCCTGCTGTTGCAGGTGCGCTCCAGCAGGGCTCAGGTGCAGCAGGAGCTGAGGGAGAGGGAGGAGGTGGAGAAGGAGCTAGGGTTAGTTAAAGGCTGGATCCAAGACACTCGAGGTCTGCTGCTGAGTCCCACAGCAGATCTGGATTCCCTGCTGCACGAGTTAGAGGTAACCAGCATGTCATTGTCTGCCGTTCAGGGGAAGGAATTTGTTGTCTTGAATGTGGTCTTGTTTGTGTGGCAGACTGCTCACGGTGAGGTCATCAGCAGGCGTCAGAGTGTGGAGCGCATGACAGAGCTGCAGCAGTCCAAGTATCAGGACTTTCAAGCTGGCTTGCCCTCTGAACTCAGCATGCAATTAGCAGAAGTGGCTCTGGCTCTGGGGTCAGCTGAAGATCAGGTAATATCTCCTTTTATCTTCTTTTAGAAAGTTCGGTCATGTTTACATCTTGAGCTTCACCAGTTCATTCATTATTGCCTAATTAACCTTCCCCCAGTGCTTCTTTTGTCAAAAAAAGCCATCACGCACCCTATCTAAGTCTTTGTGTGTGTGTGTGTGTGTGTGTGTGTGTGTGTGTGTGTGTGTGTGTGTGTGTGTGTATCCACTTTAGGTGCAGGCTAGAGAGAGGGAAGTCCAGCAGACCAGAGATGTAAAAGAGGACTTCAGCTACAGACTTCAGGACATCGAGGCGAAGCTGAAGACCGCTGCTGTAAAACTTGAAGACAAGGGCGCCGACTTGGAGGAGGCCAAAGAAGAGACCAAAGTAATAAAGCAGACAGATTGACTAATTAGCGAGCAATTAACCCAGGTTAAAGTGGCGATTCATCCTGCAGGTGTTGGGGTTAATGAGTGTGTGGGAGTTGGAATGGCCTGAACTGAATTCTGCCTTCAGCTTGACCCACTTTTGAGAGCCGAACTCCAGATGGGAGCTGGAGTTCTTCTTCTGCTCTTCATCTCATCTCCTTGATGCTTCCTTCTTCTGACCATCTGAGGATTTTAAAAGTTAAAGTGCAGTTAAAATAATTCGTTTTCTACGTTTTTATCTGTTTCTTCCCCCTCCAGGCACTTTGTGAAGAGTGTGAATCCTGCAGATGCTCTCTGGCAGAGTTAGGAGGATCTGTGCAGGAGTTTGGAGAGCAGAACCCACTGCTGTGTAAGCAGCTTGGAGATGCTGTGGCTAAACTGACTGAGCTACAGCGCCACACTGCTCAACAGGCCCAGGATAAAGTCAACAGACTCAAAAAGGTGAGCAGTTTCATCTCAACCTCTAATAACGAACAATATTCTAGACATGCTTGAGAATAGTTTTAGTTCATTTGTCTTTTTTCTACCAACGTTGAGCAGGCAGAGAGGCAGGTGGAGGAATATCACAACATGAAGGCTTTTATTTTGAGCTGGATTGAAAAGGCTGAAGCTCTGATCACCAGCAACATCGTCTGGAGCTCTGCTACTCAGCTGCAGGAGCAAATTCGAGCCCACCAGGTGAATTTTTAGGGTTTAAAATTTCTTTACAGTCATGAAAAAAATCCTTCATTACCTTATGAGATCTGAAGATACGTCTCAAATCTGCGGTTAATTAGATTGTGGTTTCCAGTGAAAGCCTCCATGTTGGCTGACCTTAATTAGTATCATCACCCAACGGAGGAACCTCCTCTCTTTGACTTGTAATTTATGGTCTGATTGTGACAGGCGGTGCTGAGGGAGTGTTGCGGTCTCCATGGAGACCTGGACGCCATGGGGGAGAGGGAGGGGCAGCTGGCCGACTTGCTGCAGATGGAGGGATGGAGCCAGCAGGTGAAACACCTCAGCAGGCGCACCGAGGAGCTGCAGCAGTCCGCCAAGAGTCGCCTCCAGAATCTGCAGGATGCCACCAAAGTAAAGAGACAAAAAAAATGCTGGAGTTTGAGGAATTTATAGTTAAATGTGCTAAATGCAGTAATAAATATTTTAGTGCGATATGGGAAGAGTAAAACCCTCCTGTTTGGTGCAACAGTGCCCCCTTTTGGTACATAACAGAACAGCACCATGATTGTTCAACAGCATTAAAACCCAGAAGATTACCAGCTACTAATTTTTGCTAATTGCAATGTGTGTCTGGGCCTCTTGTCAGTATTTTTCCTTTTTTGTCTCATTCCATTTCTATTGAACACAATTTGACTTTGCAGGCATTTGCCAAATACTTCATAAGCCAAGTAAAGCGTAATGTTTGTACCTCAAACTAGATAGAAATCCTGCATTTCTCGCGTCTCATCTGTTCCTGCATCCGCATGATTTGCTTGACTAGTCCTGCTTTTTTCAGGACCTGCTGCGTCTTGAGTCCGAGGTGAAGAGCTTGCACGCTGCTGTAGACCAGATCCAGGTCTCTCTTGCTTCACCTGATCTCAACAAGCTCAGCCTCAGGGAGCAGCTCACGCAGAGACAGGTATTTAATCTGAGTAACAGATTAAGATGTTGTTGCGGAAGGTTATTCTACCCTCTAACGTCCTGTTTTAACTCGTTTTCTAAGTGCCTGCTGGTGGAAATGGAGAGCTTTAAACAGCAGGTGGTTGCAGTGCAGCAATGTCAGAGTGCCCTCCGGCTACCAGAGGAGGTAGTGGCCAGTCTGCCTATCTGCCGCACAGCCCAGACTCTGCAGCAGGAGGCCAGCCAGCTGCAGCATACCACCATCCAGCAGTGCAACATCCTGCAGGTAGAGGGCAGTCATCGTCTTTTAAACACTGTTAATGTGGAGCGATGAAAATCTTCTCTAAATAAAGGAGACTTTTATTATTTCTCCTCATAACTGTTAAATAAACCCATCTAAGCTGTTGTTACGTAGGCTGATGATGCAAGGGGTTCTCTAAAATCTGGCGTTCTGATCTAGCTACTCTGAGATGTCTGAACAGGCCTTCTGAAGAATGCTGTTTTCTTTTAGCCCCCATCACGTCAGCATGTCTCTCTGGTCCCTTAGCTAGGCATCCAGCTAACTGTGTGAGGAATATTTTTGCCTGGTGTGTTTTCAAACCATGCACACCATGTTTAACTGTAAACTGTAAAGCATCCATCTGCAACACGGCCTTTTCCATTCCAGGTGTTTACAGAAAAGAGAATATAGTTTCCTTTACAAGATAAAAGGTCGTTTTCACCCAAAGTCTCGTGTTTCCTTTGTCGTCAGGAGGCAGTGGTGCAGTATGAGCAGTACGAACAGGAAGTCAGGAACCTTCAGAGATTAATAGAAGATGCTCATCGTATCATTCAGCACCGACCCGTGTCCACTAACAACATACAAGAGCTTCAGGCACAGATTCACCACCATGAGGTATGAACGCACTTGCCTGTTTTTATGCTTACCACGTGATTTAAATGCACCGTTTATACTAAAAAAATCCTTTTATTGCATCGGGTCTGAATGTATTTGAAAAATTATTCAATATTCATTTTAAAACTTATCTTGTCTGCTTTAGCTAAATTATTTCAGATTTTATTTTTCTCTTTTTTACAAGTGTTACACCTTCAGTGTTGGGTTTAAAAACTGTTTATTATCATTTAAATTGTGGGTTTTGTTCACCCTAAAATATGAACTGTATCATCTTCAATGCATATATTTTTTTTTCTAATATTTATTTAACTCGTTCAATACATAACATTTTAAGATGGGCAATTACATGAGTTTTGCTTCTTTCTGTTCCTTTTTCATTTTTGTTTTCGCAAACCTGTTTTGTGTTTTGTTTTTAATTGTGAATAAATGAAAAAAAACTTAAAAAAATAATATATATATATATATATATATATATATATATATATATATATATATATATATATATATATATATATATATATATATAGATAGATAGATAGATAGATAGATAGATAGATAGATATAGATATATATATATAGATATAGATATATATAAAATAGTAATTGGATAGCCAAGCGGGGTGCAGCAGTGGCGGTTGCCGAGGCCAAATCTTGGGCATGGGAGGAGTTTGGTGAGGCCATGGAGAAAGACTATCGATCAGCTCCAAAGAGGTTCTGGCAAACTGTCCGGCGCCTCAGGAGAGGAAGGCAGCAACTCACTCACACTGTTTATAGTGGGGATGGGAAGCTGCTCACGTCAACTGGGGCTATAGTCGGACGGTGGAAGGAATACTTTGAGGAGCTCCTCAATCCCACCTATGCGCATTCTGAGGAGGAACCAGAGCCGGGAGACCTGGGGATGGACTGTCCAATCTCGGGGGCAGAAGTTGCTGAGGTAGTCAAACAACTACACAGCGGCGGAGCCCCGGGGGAGGATGAGGTTCGTCCTGGGTATCTCAAGGTTATGGATGTTGTAGGGCTGTTGTGGTTGACACGTCTCTGCAACATTGCATGGTCATCGGGGGCAGTTCCTGTGGAGTGGCAGACCGGGGTGGTGGTCCCCATCTTTAAGAAGGGTGACCTGAGGGTGTGTTCCAACTATAGGGGGATCACACTCCTCAGCCTCCATGGAAAGGTCTACTCCAAGGTACTGGAGAGGAGGGTCCGATCGATAGTTGAATCTCAGATAGAGGAGGAGCAATGTGGTTTTTGTCCTGGCCGTGGGACTGTGGACCAGCTCTATACCCTTGCAAGGGTGATGGAGGGGGCATGGGAGTTTGCCCAACCAATCCACATGTGCTTTGTGGATTTGGAGAAGGCTTATAACCGTGTCCCCAGGGGCACCCTGTGGGGGACGCTCCAGGAGTATGGGGTGGGTGGCTTTCTGTTAAGGGCCATTCAGTCCCTTTACCAGAGGAGCGTGAGTTTGGTCCGCATAGCCGGTAGTAAGTCGGACCTTTTCCCGGTGAGGGTTAGACTCCGCCAGGGCTGCCCTTTGTCACCGGTTCTGTTCATTACCTTTATGGACAGAATTTCTAGGTGCAGCCGTGGTGTGGAGTGTGTCGAGTTTGGTGGCAGGAGAATCTCGTCTCTGCTTTTTGCGGATGATGTGGTCCTCCTAGCTTCATTCAGCTCTGACCTTCATCTCTTGCTGGGTAGGTTCGCGGCCGAGTGTGAAGCGGCTGGGATGAGGATCAGCACCTCCAAATTTGAGACCATGGTTCTCGACCAGAAAAGGGTGGCTTGCCAACTCTGGGTTGGGAGAGAGGTCCTACCTCAAGTGGAGGAGTTTAAGTATCTCAGGGTCTTGTTCACGAGTGAGGGTAGGAGGGATCGGGAGATCGACAGGCGGATTGGTTCGGCATCTACAGTGATGCGGACGCTGAGCCGATCTGTCGTGGTGAAGAGGGAGCTGAGCCAGAAAGCCAGGCTCTCGATTTACTGGTTGATCTACGTCCCAATCCTCACCTATGGTCATGAGCTTTGGGTAATGACCGAAAGAACGAGATCGCGGATACAAGCGGCCGAAATGAGTTTCCTCCGTAGGGTGGCCGGGCTCAGCCTTAGAGATAGGGTGAGGAGCTCGGACATTCGGGAGGGACTCGGAGTAGAACCGCTGCTCCTCCGGATTGAAAGGAGCCAGTTGAGGTGGTTTGGGCATCTGGTCAGGATGCCTCCTGGACGCCACCCAGGGGAGGTGTTTCGGGCATGTCCTGCCGGCAGGAGGCCCCCAGGTCGACCTGGGACACGTTGGAGAGGTTACATCTCCAATCTGGTCCGGGAACGCCTTGGGGTCCTGCCGGAGGAGCTGGTGGAGGTGGCTGGGGAGAGGACGGTCTGGAGCTCCCTAGTTGGGATGCTGCCCCCGCGACCCCGACCCGGATAAGCGGAGGAAGACGACGACGATAATAGTAATGGAAAATTAGTCTGTAATTGTTATTACCAGCTAACCCTAATGCATTAAATTAAATATAAAAATACACAAGTTTCATTATTTAACAGATAATTTAAATATGATTTTTCATCATAAAGGGTGAAATGCTGATGCAGTTAAATGTCTTTTTATCAAAGATTGAGACCAAGAAATAGAGAAAAAGACACAAATTGCATCTTAGAATAGAAAAGATCAACTGTTGTGACTGTGTCAGACTGGTCAGATGAAAGATTTGGTCATGAAGTTATTCTCATTCTAAAAATGTTGCAGCTGTCATTTGATTTGATAAAAATGTAACCGGTTAATCATTTAAAATCTTATTTGTTAGATATGTCAACATTTTAAGATTGGGGCAAGATCATTTGGTTTTGACTGGATTGATGAGCTAACAGCTAGTGAAAGTGAGGTAAACAACAAAGTTTAAAAAATGTCATAACGAGTTTCAAGTGAACACTATTTTAAACCATTCTATCTCAATTTTTGTTTAACCTAGTTTTTTATTGTTGACATTTACCATCGTCTGCAACACAAATCAGTAGCGCTAACTAACTGTAGCACTTCCTGTTGGAATTAAACAGTGAATTAAAACAGACAGGGATTTAAATGTGTAGAATTAGCATTTATGTGAACAGTAGTGAGTTATTTTAGATCAGAGTTGATTTAAGAAGACATACGTTTACTTTTTAAGTAGCCACATTGTGATTAGCTGTTAGCTTATGTGCCATTAGAACATATGTCTATTTCACCAAACTGGAATGGATAAGACATTAACTGTTCATAACCTTTCCACTGAAACCAGCTTTAAAATATCAGATTTGTCCCTTTGAGAGTTAAAAAACAACAAATTTAACCCTGTTTGCTTTGAAGCTGTTAACAAGTAGAGGATTGTGTTGAGTCTGTAGATGATAAACTCTGACATTCCTCTTTTATCAGATGCTCCATATCTACAAAGGTAGATGACACCGTTGGTTTGGAATATTCAAGCATGAGTTGCAGTTTCTCTCTAGCTGAGTAAATGTGTTCTGATCTTCCCTGTGGACAAACGGATCAGATCTCACAGGGAAAACATTTTATTACGTCATAACTTTCCCTGCAGATTTTCATCCACACTCACAGGAAAATGTGAGCTCAGGTATTTTCAGATAATTTGATGTTTCTGGAGTTCAGAGTGGATCTCTGAGCTAAGCTGCAGTTCTACTGGTTCCCCGAGTCATGTGGTCTGATTATCAGTGCATCAACCATCTGTGGGAGAGAGGGAGCAAAAGGAAGAGGAGGAGGAGGAGGAACATCCAGTCTGCTGGCTGTAATTTGACACCAGCTCTGTCATTCCCCTAAACACTCCTCCGCTCCCTTCAGATCTCCTTTGTTAACTGAGGATTGGTGGAGACAGGAAGAGGGGGGGCGGGGAAATACGCAGTGAGATCACTTCCTGTTTTCTCCTGCCATTTGTATATGTGTACAAGAGGGAGTGTCTGAGGGATTTTGAAGTATTTCTACGAAGGTCTCGGTCTCAACCAAACATCCTGTGTGCTGGCTTCACCGCCGGTCTGAGTCACCCGCCTCTGAGCCGTCCTGATTGGCTCAGAGAAACAGAGGAGACACTCAGAGAGGGGAAAGAACTGAGGCTCTGAGAGAGACCGGGGGAGAGAAGAGAATGCACCAGCACAACATTCAACACACTCAGCAACCCTCTTTTTAAGCTACTGATCATCTGGACACTCTCCTGATCCTGAGTGTGTTGGGGGGGGGGGATGGTGTTTCCTCTCTGTGACAGGAGCTGACCCAGAAGATCCGTGGCTACCAGGAGCAGATTGCCTCTCTCCACTCTAAGTGTAAGATGCTGACGGTGAAGGCGAAACACGCCACCATGCTGCTGACCGTCAACGAGGTGGAGGGCCTCTCGGACGGCCTGGAGGAGCTGAGTGATGAGGAGCTGCACAGTGTGGTCCCCAACTCCACATCAGATTCCTCCAAGCTGCTTCCAGCACACCCCTCCGTCGTCATGGTGAGTAGGGCACTTCCTGTCTGTTTTACAGTTATCACTCCTGTTGCACTAGTGTTGCCTTAACTTCAGGTAATCCAGACCCACTGATCTGGGCTCCATGGGGGCCAGACCATCTGTTGCAGAACTCTTTAGTCTTCATCCTGTTGTACTGAAACTAATCTAAAGAGCTGCACATTTACCTGAATCTGTCTGCAGTGAGATCCTTTCTCTCCCCTGCTTCTGCTTGACTGACTCCTTCTCTTCCTCTTGATGCCTGGTTTACATGGTGTCTTCCTCTGAATCAGACTTCTTTGGTTGCTTTGCTTTGTCACAGTTGCTTGTGGTGTATTTAGCATCCGCAGCTCAGGAAACAGGATATGACAGCATGTGTGTGTGTGTGGGGGGGGGGGGCTTGTATATCTGGTAACAGAAGGACTTTCTTAAGTGAATCTATCTTTCTAAAACCACTCAACTGTGTTGATGCCGTCTGTTGCACCGCATCGCGTCATGAAGCCCGGGAAGAGGCCGTTTGAGTGTAACAGTGTCCAGAGTCAGTAGGCCGAGCTCCGTGTCACCGGTCCAGAAGCAGCCCGGCAAAGCTCAGCTCACGTTTCAGCTCTGCCCCTCTGCTGAAGCATGCAGGAAGACCGTCTGAGACAGTTGCTTTATTCTCTCGTCTGCCTGTTTCTGCAGCTGTGAGGAGAACTTTAGCTATTTTTGGTTAAATCTGATACTCTTGAGATTTTCCCTCAGTTACATCCATATATTTATCTTAAATCTGGTGTTAAATAGTGCAGATTGTGCTTAAAGGCATTCCTGAGTCACGTAATCAAAATGAGAATGAGCTTCCTGCAGCTTTGAAACCAAAAGTGTGTGAGGTGCCAGTAATGTGACCTAATCAGTCTTCACACTGCTATTTGATTACCACTTAAATAATCAGCAATGCAAAGTGCCCTAACTCACTTCCCTGTATTAATTTTGATGTTTGTCTCTTCTTTGTGTTGCTTTTCCCTCTGTGTGTGCTTCTGCTCCCTCCTCTGATCTGGCATTTTTATCCACTCTTTCTCTTTTTGCATGCTTGTTTGTGTGTGTGTGTGTGTGTGTGTGTGTGTGTGTGTGTGTGTGTGTGTGTGTGTGTGTGTGTGTGTGTGTGTGTGTGTGTGTGTGTGTGTGTGTGTGTGTGTGTGTGTGTGTGTGTGTGTGTGTGTGTGTGTGTGTGTGTGTGTGTGTGTGTGTGTGTTTTGCACCTCTGTGGTCAGATGACAGCCGGCCGCTGCCACACGCTCCTCTCCCCCGTGACAGAGGAGTCGGGGGAGGAGGGTACCAACAGCGAGGTCTCCTCTCCCCCTGCCTGTCGCTCCCCCTCTCCGGGGGCTAACGCTGACATTCCTCTTAACCAGGTACCGGTAATCTCCATCCTGCCCAGCTTCCATTACTACCACCATCTGTTTTCAACACTAATTTTAATCATCACAATCACAAGCCGCCTTCTTTTTAAATCAGTCATCAACCCAGTTTTTAACCTGTCAGAAAACTGCTTCTGTGATGAAAATAATTCAGTTTTTCTAAATATTTAATATCAAGGTGAAGAATATTCAGTCAAGTAGCGTGATCAATGTTATTCTGCCGGGTTGTTCTACGGAGGAATGTGGGAAGAAATAACTAAAGACTTCCTTTTTAATGTGGACCCCATCTTCCCCCCGTTTTGTTATATGTTGCATTTTCTTTTTGCCTAAAATAAACTGTTCGTTTGTATTTTTGCTGTAACAAGGATAAAAATGCAAACGTAAACTTAACGATGTAGCTTTGAAGGGAATTTTTTTGATAAAATTTTGAACTCTGGTGTGATCCGTTAACACTCAGAGGATAGATGTCACCCTGATGCAGCAGTGTGACCCCAGTGCCGATCGATGGTGTGCCGTTTTCCTCAGCAGCTAAAATAGGGAGCTGATAGAGTATCATGAGTGTAACCTCATCTAATTAGCCTTTAGCAGGAAGCTAATTAGACCAAAGCAAAGCACAGTAAAGGTTTGACTCGTGCAAGGCAGTAGGATGTGCTGTCTGCTCTTAAACTCTCACAAATACATTCTTGTGTGATTTATGTACCAGTATACTGCAGGTGTGGAATGATACTTTATATAATGTCTGGGTACTTGAGGGAACTACAGCAGTGAGCAGATGTTGCTGTTGTTCTGACGCACTTATGGAAGTGATGGTTGCTGTGTTGTTGTGCTGCAGGGTCAGGGCGCCCTGAGTCGAGCACCCCTTCAGGAACTCTACGACCCGTCCATGGAGAGCAGCACTGCTAACTTAGACGACTTGCAGAGATCTTGGGAAACCCTTAAGAATGTGGTACGTCTTGTTGTTGGTCCCGCTGAGCCAAATGAATTTAAATATAAACATAAATGTAAAAGTCTTTATTCATTTGTTTCTCTCCTGCCACAGATCAGTGAGAAGCAGAAGAGCCTGTACGAAGCTCTGGAGCGGCAGCAGCATTATCAAGAATCCCTCCAGTCCATTTCCACCAAGATGGAGTCCATCGAAACGGCGCTCAACGAGGGCCTGGAGCCTAACAAGACCCCTGAGAGTCAGATGGCAGCGCACCAGGTCAGGGGGGATCTTTGGGAGGGTCTTGTTCTGGTGTGAGGGCAGAGGAGTGTTTTTATGAAGTTATGAAGATCTTTTGTGAGACGACAGTGAAAACGGTGACCAATTGATGGGGTTGCTGTTGCACTTGGCTGTTATTCGTTGCTATGCCAACATCACAGCTCCAACACACACATTTGTTGGTTGTTGCTCCCAGCACTCATATTCTTCCTCTGTTCAGGCTCTGATGGATGAGATCCTGATGCTGCAAGAGGAAATTGGTGAGCTACAGACATGTTTTTCCGAGGAGCTGGGAGACAATGACGGCGATGGGAAAGCTGGGGACCAGCTGGCCCTTCAGTCTACTCTCACAGTCCTGGGAGAGAGGATGGCTACCATTCGCATGAAGGCTTCTGGGAAACGCCAGCTCCTGGAGGTAGAATTCAGTCGATGCTTGTTTCTTTACCTTCTAGCTGGAAATCGAACATCGTCTCTTCACGGACTTCTGCAGGAGAAACTAAGCGAACAGCTGGAGGAGCAGCGCCAGGAACAGGCACTGCAGCGTTACCACAGCGAGGCAGAGGAGCTGGACCACTGGCTGCTCAGCACTCGCGCCACCCTCAGCTCTGCCCTTCGACCCCAGAATGAAGATATGGACATGGAGGAGCAGCTCATTGACTGTCAGGTCAGTCCCAACAGTTCTGCTCTCATTCAAAAGCGTTTTTTTTTTTGTGTTAAACTACAACAAAAACAACGTGAACTTCACATGATCATGATGAAAATGGGCCCATCGTACCGGAGCAGGGAAAACCTTAAAATGTTATTTCCACAGGTGTTTTATTAAAATCTGTTTTTAACCTCTTTGTGGAGACGGAATGTGTCTGGCTTCACGCTTCTACAAATAGCAGCTTTCCACAGGTTCATTCTTTTTACGTGACGCTACGTTTCTATTTTTAGTCAAACATAAACGTTAGTCCTGAAGAGTCCTGTCTGATTTAAAGAACTTTGCTAAAACGGACGGAGCTCTAATGTAGAACAAATTCAGCCATTTTTCTTCTTTACCCTTGAGTTTAAGCCTTGTCTTAAAGCATTCTTCAGTCAACCTAGCATTGTTTTATTGCTCAACCCCGTTACCGTGGCAACTGGCTCTTTGTGTAGGCTGTGGTTTATTTTTCATAAAGATTTATTGAGAAGCTATCAGTATGCCAGAGAAAACACAGAACTTTCTTGACTTATTCATTTAGTTTGCTGAATTTATTTTTATTCTACAAGTTTGGACATGTTTTATTATGACTGTTTATTCTAAGTAGACACTAAACCCACTTTCTGTGCATCTTCTGCTGGAAATTTGGTCCAGATGTTAACGATGTGCGTGTACTACATGAGAACCAGCGGGGTTCATTATTATTTATTTTCAGAAGCACAGATCAGTTAAAGTTAGTGCTGCTGCCCCGGTGAAGGAAACCAAGATTAGACGTGTTTGTAGCAGCCGGGAGGAGAGTAAGCTGATTACAGCTCACATGTGCCTCCTACAGAGGTTTCAGGGTCCAGAACGAAAGATCCACTAAAGTAGAATATGCAGGACTTCATAGAAGAAGGTTAATAATTCTATTTGATGGAATTTGGAGTGGAAAAATTCCTCCTGGAAAGCAACACCTAGTATTTTAAACATGTTTTGCAGTTTGAATTTTTTTTTTCTTGTTGGCTAATACATGAACAGTCAGTTAGTTGAATAAAAAGGTTCATAATGTGGAAATTTCTGAGCTTTTCCATGATAGTTTCTGTCTATTTTGCACTAATTTCAGTCAAAACTATGTACGTAGAAAGCTCTTCCTGGTTTTCCAATGTTCCCAGCACTTTTTAGATGAAGGAATAGGGCACTGATGGAAACGACCCAACGCCTCTGCAGATTGCTCAGGTATCGCTCACCTTTTCAGAACATGCTGTTTGAGATCGAGCAGAAGGTGTCATACCTGTCGGAGCTGTCCGTCCACAGCGAGAGCTTGCTCTTGGAGGGCCGCGCTGAAACCAAAGAGGAGGCAGAGCAGCTCACGCTCAAGCTGCACTCACTCAAAGACAGCCTGCTGGAGCTGCAGCAGATGCTGCAGGACAAACAGGTCGACATACAGGTGAGACGGATAAACACGTTTTTCCTTTCCTTCTCCCTCCTGATTTGCTCTTTTTCTGTGCTTCGCTGTCTTCCATGGAGCTGGGAGGCAGCATCAATGGTCATATTGTCTAAAATGCACCAAGAGTCATTCATGGCCCTTTAATAAAACTACTGTTTTGTTGTGTGGAAAACAGTGAGCCTCAGACAAACAGATGCTGACTCATCACATGCAAACACCAAATGCATCAGGTCTTATTCTGATGACACACGATGACCTTTTGTATAAAAACTAGTGAGAATTCAAGCAACACTTTCCTTTATGGCTGTTTTTCCATCAGGGCTCGCTGCAGGAGCAGGATGACAGCGAGCCGGACTCGTCCCTGTCTCAGAGTCCAAACGTTCAGGACTGGCTGTCTCAGGCCCGCTCAACGCGGACACAGCAGCACCACAACAACCTGCTTCGGCAGAGGGTAAGAGGCCCCACAACACTTAACCAGCTTCTGTCAGTGCGCCCCAGGGCAGCTGTGGCTACATCGTAGCTCATCACCATCAGTGTGTGAACGTGTGTGTAAATGGATTAACGATACACGTGTAGTGTAAAACGCTTTGGAGTCCTTACTCTGAGAGGCGCTATACAAGTGTGGGTCATTTAATAAGACTAATGCAATCATAATGAGTACACTGGAGATTGAAACGGAAAGTATTTATTACTAAATATTTAATTTTTATATTTTAGGAGCTGCAGGAGCAGGTGGAGAAGCAAAAGAAGCTGCTTCAGTCTGTAGCCAGTGTTGGAGAAGAGCTATTCATCCAGCACAGCACATCTAATGGGGACGGGTGCGTCTACATCTGTCTCTGTCCTGGAGTTCATGTCCCAACAGTCTTCGTACAGTTTGGATGCTTTTTCCTCCTACAGTGAGATTTCTGTCCCTGGTGGAGTGTTGTTGGAGACTGAGACATTGTCTCCTCTGGACCAGCTGAGACACAGATGGGAAAACCTGAATAAAGACCAGAGCACCAAGCTTCAGCTCTCTCTCAACTCCCTGGAAGAAGACCAGCTCAGGCCGGTATGCACGGCAGCCTTTTCTGTCATTTCAAAGATGAATTAGCCACCAGTTTGACCTTTTTAAAGCTCTGTGTGCAGGTCCTCCACCGGTCCCGTTTCACCAGTCCAAGTGTGGTGTTCGGGAGCGAGGTTTGCCACCAGGACTCCTCCTCTCCCAGGGCGCTGTTTGAGGCCTGCAGCCAGACTTTGGAACGACTCAAAGTAAGAGTAAAGCACTCTTTATTTTATTTTCAGTTCATCCTTTAACCAGGATGCAGACGTTTTCTTACTGACTACTTTTTGAGTGAATCATTTTTTGTCGTCACAGGCAGAGGGCAGTGACAGGAAGCTGGCAGCGTCGTTCGGAGGGACGACAGTCCAGCAGGACCTGTACGCTGCCGTGTCAGCAGCCTCCTCCTGGTTGGATGCAGGAGAGAATCACCTGCTCTCTGGTCCCGTGCTGCTGTCAGACGACACAGAGACTCAACTCACGAGCCTAGAGGTAAACTCAACCAGCAGATAAATCATAAATACTGTGTGTGTTTTCATAGATTCTGGCTAAAGTCAGAAGAACCAGCTGACTGTTGGTTTTCTGTTCAGGGTTTAAGTAAACACCTAAAGGAGTTAGCCAGAGAGGTGAACCAGTGCAGAGACCACCTGGGTGGAGGAGCGGCTCAGCTGTGTGGAGGAGAGGAGCGAGCCCTGATGGAGGACACCCTGGAAGGTCTTCAGGAGAGAATGAGCCTCTTGGGCACTGCTTTGGAGCAGCACTGTGACAATGTGAGGGACAGGCTGCAGGAACGCTCCACCTTTCAGGTGTGGGACCTCTCATTGTTGCAACACAAATTCTAATTTGTGCATTTCGTTTTTAGAAACCAGATGCATCTCATTTTTGTGTTGATGTTTTAACCAGAATGAGCTGAGGATGCTGTTCACGTCTCTGACTGAATGCAAACACCAGCTCCTGCAGAAGATGTCTGGAATTGCAGCCAGACCTGCATTCAAACAGCTGGAGGTGCGTTTTCAGTTGGACTCGGTGTATAAACAAAAACATCACAAGCTACTCACTGGATGTTTCATGTGTTATTAGATGTTGTCAGAGATGGAGGACAGCTTAAAGGAGTTTGAGCAGAGAGTGACTGAGCTGAGGATTAGAGCAGAAGGACACCAATCTGATCAGACCTCCAACCAGGAGCTCCTTAAACTACAAGTAACGTCTTTATTATTATTATTATTATTGATGTGTGATCCCTTTTGTCCGTCTGACTCACTGAGGTGTTTTCAGGATGCATACGAGGAGCTGGTGCTCATGCTGGGCTCCAGACGGAGCAGCCTGAACCACGGCTTGTCTCTGAAGGCTCAGTACGAAGCTGCACTTCGAGACCTCTCTGACCTGATCGACACCGCTCAAGACAAGATGGCCGCTGACCAGAAGATGACCGTAGCTTCTGTCACAGAGGTCCAGATGTTACTGGAAAAACACAAAGTAAGGAGGCTCGTCTCTTCTCAGCTGCTTTTATTTTGTATTTCTAAACGTTTCTGTTTTGTTTTGAATCCAGGAGTTTTTCCAGGGGCTTGAAGGCCACATGATCCTCACCCAGACGTTCTACAGTAAAGTATCCAGTTTGGTGGCCCAGAGGGAAAGCCAGGCGCTCGAGGAAACCATGACTCTAGCTCAAAATGTGCTCAAGCAAGCTCACAGGAGGGGGGTGGAGCTGGAGGGCATTTTGGAGGTGAGAATGATCATTATTACAGGGAAAGGAGGAAGTTTCAGGTGTAAAAATTACTGCTGCATGAGAAACAGCAAAATGTAAAACCTTTATCCTTCTTTCTGCTCTTTTTTTCCCATCTCTCAGTCCTGGAGCCGGCTCATGGAGGACTATCAAGCTTTGTGCCGACAGCTGGAGGCTGTGGAGTGTAACATCCCCACTGTTGGACTGGTCGAGGAGACAGAAGAGAGACTAGCTGAAAGGATCGGTCTCTACCAGGTAGATTTACGCTCAAATCAGAGTTCATGCAGGATGAGAGTCCAAAATCTAAGCACGAGTTTAAGAAAGGTCTGCCCCTGTGCAGCGTCTTAAGGCGAGCCTCGCAGAACATCAGCCACAGCTCTACCAGGTTCTGGAGGAAGGCAAGAAGCTCCTCCTGTCTGTCAGCTGCTCAGACTTAGAGAGCCAGTTGACTCAGCTGGGAGAACACTGGCTGTCCTCCACCACTAAAGTCAACAAGGAGCTGCACCGTCTGGACTCCACGCTCAACTACTGGAGCAGGTCAGCTTCTGTTCTAACAGATCCTCGCTCCTCCCGTGCTCCTGTTGATCTTGCATGTTGTTCTTAATGCAAAAATGACAGATACCAGAGTGAGTCAGCAGATCTGAGCCACTGGTTGAAGTCTGCTCTGGACAGACTGGAGTTCTGGACAGCCCAGTCGGTGACGGTCCCTCAGGAGCTGGAGACCGTCAGGGACCACCTCTGTGCCTTTCTGGTGAGTCAGATCTGCACCTACTTACATCTCCATCAATCACATTATTCTCTGAGTTAATTTAACTAAATATTTTTTATCTTGTAGGAATTCTCAAAGGAGGTGGATGCAAAGTCGTCTTTGCGTTCGTCTGTGCTGAGCACGGGCAACCAGCTCCTGCGGCTGAAGAGAGTGGACACAGCTGGGCTGAGGACGGTGCTGGGACACATCGACACTGAGTGGGCCGAGCTGCTCACTCGGATCCCCGTGGTCCAAGAAAAGCTTCACCAGGTTTGAGAACACTGATTTCAGATTTAGAGGTAACTGAGATGAGCTGTAGGTTTTATTTGAACCCCTCCACTCCTGTTCTCTAGCTACAAATGGAGAAGCTGGCATCGCGACACGCCATCGCAGAGCTGATGAGCTGGATTTCTCTCATGGAGAACATCATAGAAGAGGACCAAAACAAGATCATGGGGGCTGTGGGCTCAGACGTGGTCCAAAGCTTCCTGCAGAAGTACAAGGTACACAGAAACGCCTTCACGCTAACCCATTCAACCAAACCCATCACACTTATCACAGCCCTGTGATGTTTGTGGCCCAGGGCTTTCGGATAGATCTGACCTGCAAGCAGCTGACGGTGGATTTCGTAAACCAGTCCGTGCTGCAGCTCAGCAGCCAGGACGTGGAGGGGAAACGCAGCGACAAAACGGACTTTGCAGAGAAGTTGGGAGCCATGAACAGAAGATGGCAGATACTTCAGGGGCTCATCACTGAAAAAGTACAATTATGTCATCATTTTAATAAGAATGGCTCTGCTTCTCAAGGGCCAGCTCTAAAGAGGTGAAAACGTTCTGATTTTTATTTCAGATTCAGCTTTTGGAAGGAGTTGTAGAAGGCTGGTTAGAGCATGAAAACGGGGTCCAGACTTTAAAAAGCTGGCTCACGCTGCAGGAGGAGAGGTTGAAGAAGAAACACAGGTTAGAGGATGTAGCATCGGTGCAGAATGCACTCAAAGACTGTCAGGTGGGTGCACCAGAGCCTTTGATGGATACCTCCAACATGTTGTTTGATTGAGAAGGAACTGGTTTTTGTTCTTATGTGGACCATCAGGAGTTGGAGGAGTTGGTGAAGGAAAAAGAGAAAGATTTGGAGAAAGCAGAAGAGAGAGGAAAGGCTCTAATCCAGGATAGGAAAGAGGAAGCCTGCTCTGTTGTGAAGGAGACCCTTAAAGCCCTGAACCAGTCCTGGGCTCGGTTGGACCACATGGTGGGTTTTCTGTCCTTTTTAGGGTTTTTTAAAATATACTTATTCATTTTCATAGCGTTCCCACACATACGTTTCACATCGCTCTCGTCAGATAAGTCAGATGAAAGTGAGTCTGCGGTCAGTTCTGGAGCAGTGGACTCTGTATCGGCGAGCCTCAGAGGAGATCAACGGCTACCTGATGGAGGGGAGATACTCTGTATCCAGACTGAGGCTCCTTAACGGGTCTTTAGAGGCAGTGCAGCAGCAAGTGGAGAGTCTGGAGGTGAGGACTCCAGGGAAGTTGTGTTGTGAGAGCATGCACACACACACACACCTGACATTAATGAACATCTGTGTTTGCATTCTGCAGAACTTGCAGGAGGAGATGGATAAGCAGGAGAGCAGTTTGAAGAAGTTTGGCTCCGTAACTCACCAGCTGCTGACTGAGTGTCATCCGTCTGTGGCTGAAACTCTCCACAGAGCACTCCAGGGCGTTAACACCAGGTATCAGGAACTGGAACACACCTCAGTGGGTTTAATGGGCAGTTTAATTCCCAATAACGAAGTAAACGCCTAAAATCAATGACTACTCTGCTACTTGGACCATTGGAGCAAGACAGAAAAAAAAATCTGACTATAAAATTGATGTTGTGACAACAGTGTGTGTTAACTGCTTACATTACAGCTATAGAGACAGCCAGGACATTCAGGACTGTCTGTGCTACTCGCTCAGATTTTAACAAGATTAAACGTTTATCTGTAAAAATTATTGTTCAGATAAATGCCGTCATTCATTGTTTTATTCTAAATGAATACAAAACACTTATTAGTAAATAAGACAGGAGTTCATATTAATAACCATCTTTGCGCTGCGGTCTCAACTACATGTGTAGTTCCTCATGGCTCATTTCTTGGTACCCATCCTGTTCTCACATTGAAAAAAACAAACTGAAGTGGAAACCCCAGCTCTCTGAGATTTTGTTTGTTTTTCTGTCTTTTTGTTGTTTTTTAAACACAGCTTTTATGAATGTGATGCTCGTCTTTTAACAGGAATCAAAGAGCTTGATTTTTGTAACACAACTACTGGTTTTATCCTACTGGCTTCCTGTTTGGTACTGGGAAGATTCTGTTGCCAGTTTGTGAGGTTCTGAATGGGCTGGTCCAGATTAAGGAACTTTTATGCAGACCACACTTGACAAAAAACAGACATGATTAAATGTTCCACAAACCAAAAGTACATCTGATTGCCCCTTTTGCCCCTTAAAAGAGCTGCACATTACTAAAACTGTTTTGTTTTTTATCCTATTATTATTAGCTTTTGCTTTAAATTAATAATGTATTATTTTAGTTTAATTAGATCTGTTCAGTTTACCATCCAGCTTGTGGCTCATAAATGTGGACGTTGTGAGTAATAATTATCTTTGTTTCAGGTGGAATCATCTCCTGGAGCAGATCTCAGAACAGCTACGGAGCAGTAAGGCCTTACTGGGTCTGTGGCAGCGTTACAGATCTTTATACAGCCAGTGTGTGACGGCGGTCCTGAGGCAGGAAGATTGTGCCGATCGTCTGCTGAGGAGCGCCACTGATGGGGAAATCACAGAGGAGGACCGCAGCTCCTGGATACAAAACTGCAACGTGAGGAAAAATGTTCAGAAATTGATCATATAAACATGTTTTATTGTTTGACCCTCCGTTTTTTTCACTCCTCAACCCACATTTACATTTCCTTTGTGTCCAAGACACTCTTCCTGTCGCAGTCTCGTTTCAGAGGAGTTGGGAACAAGCTCCTAAAATCTGTTGTCAGCTCACTGTGAGAGTTCACAAAGAGCCTGTCCCCGCAAGTGAAAACCAAATTGCACCCTGTCCCGTTCTCTGCTTGAACGTAAACCCAGAGGACAGTCTAACAAAAGGCTTTTAGAAAGAAACCGCTAAAGGGGGAGACAGGCCCCCTGATTTACACTACAGGGACCCACGGTGTCCTGCTGGGCGTGCCGGAGCCTAGTGTCACAGTTCGGATTTTGTTGGAAAACGGTCTGAATGGGAATTGCTGATGCAAACTGTTGCTAGACAGCATAGAAAAGAATTGTGAGGATTCTTTGGACCGTCTCACTTTTAGTTGCTGATTAAAAGCGTGCAATTTAATG